CTTGTAAATCTAAAAAGACAACAACAACAACAAAACCATCACCATTTAAACAATCCTCATAATTTAAATTATACTCCATTTACTTTACAAAATCATCATCAACAAAAAATTTAATAAATAAAAGGAAAAATGATATTTTAATATTTCAAACACACATTTTAATTGTTATTTATTTTTAATTATTTTTTTATATTTGAGAGAGTTTCTCAAGATTTGCTACTTAATTTTGAATAAAAGTTATTTGTTATCATCTTATCATCCAACATTTTTTATTTTTCCTTAATTTCAATAAGATAACTTTTTATATATTTTAATTTCTTCTTAGTCTAAGAAAAATTTTTTAGCATTAAAAATTTAAAAAATAATTGAAATTTTTATTTTAACCTTATTTTAAAAAAGCATCTAAAAGAATAGCTTTTGGTGTTAAATAGCTCAGAATTAGGTCGACATTCAGAGTTCGGTCATTTTTTATAGAGCACGTCGAGTACCGAGTAATTGGGAAAAAATCAAGTTCGAGTCATGCCGAGTTTGGAAACGCCGTGTTCGAGTACGAGTTCAACTTTTTAGGCCGAGTTTTATAAAACAGTATTTTAAAATAATTTTACCAAAAACAATACTTTTACTCATTATCAGTGCTGGGTATTGGGCATTTGTTGAGATTGTGCAGGGGATCATCATCAAAATCCCATTTATCTTCTTAATCCGTCTATAATAGCTCAGAATTAGGTTTTATTTACCTCTTAATCCGACGATATACTTGGTTTTAACAGAGTCTGTCGAGTAGGAAGTTTCCGAGCTCGAGTAATACAAGTATTATGATTCCGAGTTTCGAGTCGAGTAATTATGCAAAAAACCCGAGCGGTCGAGTCGAGTAACTCGAACTCGCTCGACTCGGACATCTCTAATTTTTTACTCTGATTTCGTACTTTTTTATTTTTGATTAATTACTTTTTTATTCATTTCTGATTTCCTGCTCTTCCTCTTGATAATATAAAATAAAATTTATAAAATTATTAATTTACATCAATTATTCATATCCAAACTATATTAAAAAATTAGCAAAATTTTTTTAAATTAAATTATATAACTTCCTGATTCACCATAAATATTCATTAAAAATTCATTTAAAATTAAATATAATTAATACAAAATTAAATAATAAATTTTGATTCATCATAAAAATTTTTTTATCTATATGGCTTGTAAAAAATTTATTTACCTATTCATAGAATTGCTGTTTTCATTTTCAATTTTTTATTTTTAATTTAATTGATTTAATTTTTTAATTTAATTTTTTAATTATTTTCTATTTAAAAGAATTTTTATTTTTTTTATTTCAAAAATGTTCATCAAAATTATCATTTTTTTCATATTTTTCGTTGTGATCCAGCATGCTGAAGGCAAAAAATTTTTTTATTAGAATTTATTTTTTAATATTTCTAGGCCTCCAATGCGTCATTGAAACGAGTTTGAATAAACCTGAACCGGTGGAACTTGGCGAATGTAAGGCGAATGATAGTTTTGTGTACTGTAATTTCGTGTACAGGTTGTTTATTAATACTAATATTTTTAGTTAAAAATATTTTAAATTTTTAAAAATGGCTAAATGATTTTATTAGGTTACTTTTTGACAAATTGTGGTTATTGTACAGCTGCTAAAATTCAGTGGGACGACAACACAATATGCGACTGCTTTATGTGTGACAAGGATATGTGCAATTCTGTTATTGCTCGGTTAAATAATACTAAGACCGAAGTTGAAGTTGCTACAAACCCTCCAAAACCTGTTGTGATTGATCACCCTCCTCCAGCTAAACCTGCACCCACTGAAAATTTTGCTTTTGGGAAATATTATGGCAATCAGTTTTTGATTATTTTCATGTTGATCGTGGACGTTGGGGTAAATATATTTAAATTAGGGTAGAAACCCGATGTGTCGGGGATCGGGGTTTGCCGGGGAAGACATGTCGGGTTTGGGGCGGAGTTGACTTTTCGGTCGGGGTTTCGGGGGTCGGGTTGCTACCCTAATTTAAATTATTTTATCCATAATATTTTTTATTTAAGTTGGGCTTCATCTTCAGACTGAGATTGGTAACAAAATTAAGAATATTTAAGAAGGGACTAATCTTTTGGAAAAATATGGGAAAATAATTTTTTTAATTTTTAAGCTTATTTTATTTATATATTTTTTTAATTTTAATGTATTTTATTTAAATTTAATTAAATAAATTTTACAATAATTTTAAAGCATTTTCCACAAAACCGCTTAGAAATATCGTTTTCCGGTCCAGAGATATAATTTTTTGAAAATCGCATTTTTCGTCAATTTTTGCAAAAAATTCAATTTTTAAGGGAAAATGCGATTTTCAAAAAATCATATCTCTGGTCCGGAAAAAGATATTTTTAAGCGGTTTTGTGGAAAATACTCACAAAAATATGCTTTATCAAATGGGTCTGTTAAATTTATTCAGAAAAATTTTTCCAAGGATATGGGATTTGTTATATCCGGTAGATCCGGATTATCTCGGCCAATTTTCATTTTCATGAAAAATGCAGAAACATGTCAACTGGGATACAAATAGAGCTTTCGATTGCTATATAGAACGTATTTTTTGACTGAGAAAATAATTCATTTTCATTTCAGTTATGCGTGTCCAAATCTTTTTGTCGACCACTGTATATTTTGTCTTTTATTAATTATTTTATATCCATTTTATATTAGATATGCAGATAAATTAATTATTTAAATCGTAAACAAAATTTTTTTTCAAGTTTCAATCAAAAATTAATTTTTAAAGAAACACTTTTTTTTCAAAAAGTTTTGGTCTTTAAAATTAAAATAACGTTTAATTTTGCAAGAAATATTAAAATTTTCAATTATAAAACCTGTTATGGCTAAATAGAGATCGGACAAATAGCAAATTGATATTAAAAAAATTATTTGAAATTTGAAGATTTTTTCCAAAAGTCGTTAAACAAATATTTGATCAAATGTTTGTTTGGTCCGATCTCTATGTCTAGCCCTAGTATTTAGAAAATCTGTCATATTTATTCTGCAGCTAATTACCGTATTTCTTCTAATAGTGCGACCAGTCGGTTTATTTTTCAACCTTCCTCTAGAGGGTCGGTTTATTAGAAGGGGTCGGTTTATTAGAGACAGTTGCACTATTAGAAGAAATACGGTATTCAAAAAATACGTAAAAGTATTAAATAATTATATATTATTCAACCGACGAGAATTTTTTTAATATTTGTTTAAAATTGTGTTAATATTTTCCACCTGCCAATTAAATTAAAACTTAAGGGTGTTTAAATATTTAAATTGTAAACAGAAATTATAAAAAATGTTTAAACAATGTCTCTAAATTATAATTATAATGAATTTTATTTTTTTACTTTAATTATATATTAAGAAATAAAAGTTGAAACAAATATTTTTTATTAGGGGTATATTTTCTTATACATACTAAGTTCCTGAGTGAGGACCTTCAATTTAAGATATAAATCGAAGGGGTTATCTTATACATAGTAATGTCCAATAAAGAGGAAACGGGAGCCAGACATATACTAGTGAAGAAAATATTGGAATAATTCAATATAGCAACTAAGGTTGTCGGATCCGGATATCCGGATCCGAGAAAAGCCGGGTATCCGAAGCTTTCGGTTCGGATACCGGATCCGAAGATTTCCAACTATCCGACAGCCTTAGTAGCAACAGCTAATTTACTGGTTCAGGACATACGTCCATTGGGCCGTACATTGTCCTATTGAAGAATATTTAGAGTTTTTATGTTTTAGAACCAACCTAGATACACTTAAAGCTATTCTTTGTTAATTCAATCCATATATGTCACCTTAACTAAAAATTATAATTTAGTACTAATTAAAAAATGGAATATATTTTGTGGAATCGCACTAATTTTGACATAATTTACAATTGTACAGGAATAAATGTTGATGATATCCCATTTGAAAAGAGGAGATATCCAATAACTGCTATTATTTGTATAATACTGGGATTTATATATTATGTAGGGAATTTAAGAAAAATTTTATTTTTAAATTTAAAATTTAAGCCTATATATTTCCCTTGTCTCTACTCTTTTTGGAAGAATAGAAACAAAAATCCTTGTTATTTACTGTTAATTTATCTCTCAATTTTGGACCTATGCATTCTTTGGATACCAACATTTGCAGTTGGAATTCTTAGTTTAAATGGTGTTGTCTACTGTTCTTCACCTGTATATACCTACTTTGTTGGATGTGTTAGTTTATGTAAGTGCTTAAATATGAGGGTTAAATATTAATTAACAACACAAGCATACAAGTAGTGTTGTCAGTTACTAAGAAATTTAGAACCAAAGTTTTTATTAAAGTAGTGAAATTGTCTGTTGATTTAGAGGGTTTTGGGAAAAATTTTTGTGGAATGCAAAAACATTTAGTGTTGATAATAAAGCAGATTTCTTGTTTTATAGTGTCTTGGTGATATTGAAAATTTGAAAAGATAATACAGGGAGATTTCCGGATACCCGCCAACCTTCCATACAAGGTAGAGACGGGTCGAAGAATTTCGGGTATAGAGCATAGTTGCCGCCCGAAACCCTTTTTGAACATTTCTTGAAAAAGTAAGAAATCTATCTTGTGGACCTCAAAAAAGTAAAATTCTTTAAAAATTCCCAAAATTTTCACCCACGGCGCTTAAATAGAGAAAAGGGGATTGGTATGGATATCGGAGGAAAAAAACTTACTTCTTGACCTTCCAAATCCTCAAAAGCTTCGCCTGCGTCTCAAAAAAAGAAAAAATTTAGTTAATATGTATATCCGAAGATTTTTTCGAAATTTTTCAAGAACCGACAACCCTAATTAAGACTAGATTTATTAATATTAAAATATTTAGATTTATGGACTGCTGAATGTTCAGCTGATTTGGTGTGTTAAATAAATTGGAAAAACTTTATATTTTTCCTTTCTAGATTTTGGGAATAAATCGTTGTATTGAAATGGCATTTCCAAAAATTTCAAAAAAACTTTTTCACAATAATCGTGTCTATATTTGGATTATTTTTAGTAATTTATATGGACTTTATTGGCTTTTATTTCGACATACTGGTATTTTTAATGGAGTAACATTTGAATTTTCCTTTGAACCTTTAATTGGATATAGAGATTTTAGAATGGAATTAGTAATTTAAATTTAATTTAAATATACCAACTAACTTTAGTTTAAAGAAGATTTGAGTGTATTTACTATACACAACACAATATTGGCTGTTGGTTCTCCTATAATTTATTTGATTTTTTCACTTTGTGTTTTCATGAAAGCCCGTGAATTAATTGATAGTGTTTCTAAAGAGGAGAAAATGGTATAAATTATATATCGTATTTATTTTAGTTAAATGGCCTCTCCATTTGAATGGCAATATAATGACTTGAATCAAAAGAGAGGCGAGATTACGGTGGATATCTGTGGATTTGGGAGGATTAAGAACGATTTCAATGATTACAAGAATAAGGGGGAGATATTTAGTGATCCGTAGAACCAGTCCCGTTTAACGAATATTGCCGGAGTGCACAGAATTTTGGTAAAATTCAAGTCAGTCAGTTTTAGGTTATAGAACTAGTCGTGCTGAGTCGAATGACACGAAATTCAACGTGGTTGTACATGATTTGACAAAGTTATGGCATAAAGTAAACCTATCGGAGTCGGCAAATTATGTCATAACTTTATCAAATCTTGTCCAATCACGTTGCTTTTGGTGTCATCGTCTCGGCTCGAATAGATAACCTAAGACTGACTGACCATATTGTATACTTCGAGGAAAGGAAAAGGATGGGGGGGGGGGAGGGGGTGAACGAACTTGAATTTTACCAAAATTTTTGTGCTCAAGCAACATGGAGCGGCTCCGAAAATCGCCGGCTCCGGAGCCGGAGCCAAGATTTTAAAAGGCTGGAGCCCGGAGCCGAAGCCAAGATTTTGAAACCCCGGAGTCCGGAGCTGGAACCGGAGCCAACAAATGGCAAATACCCAGCACTGCTCAAGATTGTGTAAAATTATTTGAAGAAAATTAAAATGGCTTCCTCATTTTTTGGGGGTATGAAAAATTGAATGGTGTTAAGAAGCCAAATTTTATCGCTTTCTAGTGCATATTAGTCGAAAACAATTTTTAAATTAAAATATTTTTAAGGTCTTTCTTCAAGTATTTATCATTTCAATGTTCAATACATCTGCAGGTATTGCTTATGCTTACATTGCGAATCATCCTGATCATGGGATGTTGCCGTTAATGCTTGCTCATTTTTCCTGGTAAATAAATAAATTTATTTATTTTTTAAATTATTTTATTTTAAGGATTCATATTCACGGTAATTAAAAATATAATTAAATAAATTCAATAATATTTTTAAAATTATTTTTGTAGGTTTCCCACCAGTAATTTACTTAACATTAAACAAAACTGTGCGGACTGACACAAAAATTGTGTTTGGAAAATTTCTTAGTGTATTAAAGACAAATCAAAATAAAATTTCAAATTTTTTTGGACATGTTTAAAAATTAGCGTATGTATATGCCAAGGATAGGTCGGGTTACCCGAAACCCGGACTTTTTCTCGACCCGAAACCCGTCCCGACTTTTTTCTCAACTCATCCCTGGTATATACTGAAATAATTAGGGCAATTATTGTTTCAACCTCTCGCTGGAGAGTGTAATTATTTGAGAGGAGGTAATGATTTGACAAAAACTCTTTTAAGAATGATAAATAAATATGTAGTACTTTATTACTTTTGTAAATTATTTCCTAATTTTTTGAATAAAGAGATTTTGCATATTTTTTGTGGTAAGCTAAAATGTTATGAGCTAGAAACTAGAGAAAGGTAGATATTGGAGATCATCCAATCTGAGGATTGAAGTCAGTTAGTAATTTATATGGACTATATTGGCTTTTATTTCGACATCCTTATATTTTTAATGGAATAAATTTTGAAATTTCCCTTGAACCATTAATTGGATGGTTCAAGGGCCAGTTCCGATTGGTTCCAAGCCGACTTTAGAGCCAGTTCCGATTTCCGGCTTTTTCGACTTCAGGCACCTCGGACTGTTCCGACCCACCTCTGTCTATGGCTAACCCTACTCTTTAGAAAATCTGTCAATTCTGCAGTTAGTTATTCAAGAAAATACGTTAAAGTATAAAATAATTATATATTATTCAACCGACAAGAATTTTTTTCAAAATATTTGTTTAAAAGTGTGTTAATATTTTACACCTGCCAATTAAATTAAAACTTAAGGGTGTTTAAATATTTAAATTGTAAACAGAAATTATAAAAAATGTTTAAACAATGTCTCTAAATTATAATTATAATGAATTTTATTTCTTTTTACTATAATTATATATTAAGAAATTAAAGTTGAAACAAATATGTATTTTTTATTAGGTGTATATTTTCTTGTACATACTAAGTTCTTGAGTTAAGTTTCTTGAGCTGTTCTTAACATATTACCATCAGTTTAAAATATAAATCAAAGTGGTTATCTTATAGTGAGGTCAAAATTAAGAAAAAATAGGAGCCAGACATATAGAGAAAGAAATATCGGCGCTGGTATTGTTTATGCGTCCAATGATCATATGCGTCCAATCACAAAAAATTGGATTTTTTTGGCGTTGCAAAGTTGGTATGGTTCCAAATTTTTCATCATGTTCGGCCCCTACGCCCACTGGTTCTGGGACCATTCCTTACTCTATCCCTCGAAATTTCTGAAAGTTAAAATCGTTTTTCTGAATTTTTAAAAATTGGCTATAACTTTCTGAAATTTCGAGGGATAGGGTAAGGAATAGTTCCAGACCCAGTGGGCGTAAGTCCCAAGCATGAATTAATGTTTGGAGCCATACTCCAACTTTGCAACACCAAGAAAAATTCAATTTTTTGTTGTTTGGACGCATGAAAGTTTATTGAACGCATAGACTAGACCAGCGTCGAAATATCGGGATAATTCAATGTAGCAACAGCTAATTTACTGGCTTCAGGACCTATGGGCACTGGATCTTGGATAGTACGTCCTATTGAAGAATAGAATTTTTGTGTTTTAGAACCAACGTAGATACGCTTAAAGCTATTTTTGTTAACACAATCCCAATACATACATATGTCTCTTTAACTAAAAATTATAATTTAGTACTAATTAAAAAATGGAATATATTTTATGGAATCGCAATGAATTTGACATAATTTACAATTGTACGGGAATAAATGTTGATGTCATCCCATTTGAAAAAAGAAGATATCCAATAGCTGCAATTATTTGTATAATACTCGGATTTATATATTATGTAGGGAATTTAGGAAAAAATTATTTTAAATTTAAAATTTAAGCCTTTATATTTTCCTTGTCTTTACTCTTTTTGCAAAAATAGAAACAAAAATCCGTGTTATAAACTTTTAATTTATCTTTCAATTTTGGATCTATGCATGCTTTGGATACCAACATTTGCAGTTGGAATTTCTAGTTTAAACGGCGTTGTTTACTGTACTTCCCCGATTTTTACATACATTGCTGGGTGTTTTTGTTTATGTAAGTTGATTTTAGGGTGTCAATTGAGCTAATTTTGAATAACTGAAGACTTAATTGAAAACACATCCCCTGCAGACCTGAATCTCGAAAGTCCGTAACGGGTTTGGGACAGCAAGACTATACAAAATAATTTTTATAATGCTCTGCTGAGTAGAGTGCTTCAAAGCTCGAAAAAAACGAAATTTCGATTAATTTCGGTTTATATTTTACTATTTTTTCGGGTCATATTTTACTGAGTAATATTTTAGATATATCTTAGATCAAGAATTTCATTCGGATTACTCCCCAAAATTTTATAATCAAAATATATTTGTTAATATACCTATAATTTAGATTTATGGGCTGCTGAATGTTCTGCTGATTTGGTTTTACATTATAAAAAATTATTTAATTTTTCTTTAGATTTTGGGAATTAATCGTTGTCTCGAAATAGCATTTCCAAAAATTTCAAAAATATTTTTTCACAACAATCGTGTCTATATCTGGATTATTTTATGTAATTTATATGGACTTTACTGGCTTTTATTCCGACATCCTTATATTTTTAATGGAATAAATTTTGAATTTTTCTTCGATCCTTTAATTGGATATGAAGATTTTAGAACGGAATTAGTTAATTTTAAATTAATTAATTTATATAATTTCAATTTATTTCTAGTTTAAAGACGATTTAAAAATATTTACTATACACAACACAATGTTGGCTATTGGTTCTCCTTTAATTTATTTAATTTTTTCACTTTTTGTCTTCTTCAAAGCCCGGGAATTAATTAACAGTATTTCGAAAGAAGAGAAAATGGTTAAAATTAAATACTCAATTTACTCAATAATAAATAACATCCCTCAAATAATTACCCCCTCCATAATTACTCCTCGACGAGTAAATACTGGATTACGTCTGTATACAAAATTTGTGTACATATTACCCACTAATTTGGCAAATTAAAAATCAAAATTTTTAAAAATTGAAAGAAAATCGCTTAAAATTGAGGACAGATGTTTAACACCCCAAAAATTATGAAATTCTTGGGGTGCGAAATAAAAAAACTTTTAATAACCCCAAAAACTATTTTAGAAAAATTTAATCAAAAATATTATCGATATACATATTGATAGTCGTCCTCATTTTAAAGAGTACTTTAAAAAAATACAACTTTTAACTCGAAGATTTTTTCTAGAAGTTAATCAAAAAGAGGCAATCGAAACTAAATAATCTCTCATTTAACAGCCTTTGTTGTAGGGTTGTTGGATTCGGATATCCGGATCCGAGAAAGGCCGGATACTCAAAATTTTCTGTTCGGATATCCGGATCCGAATATCCGACAATTTCCAACTACCCGACAATTTTATTTTGTTGCTCTTATCGGTTTCCATAATTGTAATTAGGCAAAAACAATTTCTAATTACCGTAAATGCTCGAATAATTACCCTCTCTCAAATAATTACCCTCTTTAATAATTACCCCTTCCCTTTCCCTATCTAATTTTAAAAATATTGAATAAATCATTGTCAATTTAAATTATTGAAACATTATAAGAATCAATATCAAAAAATAAATGGATTTCCTCCTTGATTTATTGAGATATACCCCAAATTTAGCACATCCTCTCGATTAATTACCCCCTCCAGCGAGGGATCGAAACAATAATTACCCAGGGTAATTATTTGAGCATATACGGTAAATTAAAATTTTGAAGGTTTTTATCCAAGTATTTATCATTTCATTGTTAAATACATCAGAGGGTATTACCTATGCTTACAATATGAATCATGCAGATCTCGGAATTATTCCATTGATGATTGCACATTTTTCTTGGTTATCAATTAAATTTGTTTATATAATTTTAATTTACTTTTTAAGGTTACATATCCACGGTATGTTAATGTTTAAATAAAACTTTTTGTTTTTAAAAACGCAAATTTAAATATTTGTTTAAATTTTGTAGGTTTCCCACCAGTAATTTATTTAACATTAAACAAGACTGTTCGGAATGACACAAAAAATCTTCTTAGAAAATTTTTCGGGTTATTTAAAACAAATCAGAATCAAGTTTCGAATATGGTTGGACATGCTTAAAATGGATGGTAGAAATGTTCTGTTTGCTTACAAAAAGAGTAAAGATATTTATTCTCGAAAAACGCCGGCTTAAGAACGATAAATAAATACATTATAAATTTTGTCTACTAATGTATTTTCTAACTTTTTGAATAAAGGACTTTCTAAGTTATATATTTTTTAAATTTATATGAAAGTGTATGACCAACAAAAAATCTTCTAAATTAGTCATGAAATGAGAATTTGTTATAAAATGAAATGACTCTGTAAAGTCTATAAAATAATGAGCAGATTTTTTAATTGTTGAAAATTTAAAACAAAATCTAAACCCAATTTTATCTACTAAAAATAAAATAAACAAACATTCGTTAATAAAAAATAAATTTTTAGCATCTATACATCCTCAGACACTCAAAACTAGGGGTGAGCGGTATCGGATCCCGACCGGTAACGGGCGGTATTATACCGGTTTTTTGAATCCCGATACCTATTTTTCTGATACCGGTACCGAGTCGTTATCAATCCCGATACCGATCGGTATTGGGATTGCGTTATTAGCAAAAGATTGGGAATGCAGATACCGATTTTGGCCAATCCCGATAAAGCGCATCATTCCAAAATACCGATAGCGATTTTTTCTCGGAATAACGATACCGCTCAACTCTACTCAAAACAATGGTTTTTAAAAATATAAAATACCGAGCCGTTATCAATCCCGATACCGAAAACATCCAATTTCAGAAAATGTTTAAGTTAAACCCACATAAAAAGATTGAAAAATGGAAGCATAGAGCTTCTATTAGAGTTTTTAAAATAATAAAAAAATAAAAAAAATGTATCGGTTGACTGTGCTATAGACTAATAATTTTTTTAAATCGCGACTAAAACATTAAAATATGTTAAGAAATTAGAAAATAAAAAAATATAGGTACATAAAAATAATTTAAATCCTCATATAATGGCATACCTCCCTGTTTCAAATTTATTTTTTACGAAATTGAATTTACGTTACAGTGAAATCTCGATATAACAACAACTCTAGAGTCCAAACTTTTGACTGTAGAAAGAAAAATGTCTCATCCTATGATTAGAGGACGAGTCTCGAATTATAAAAACCTAATCTGGAGTCAAATATGACTAAAACACTCGTTATTATGCAGAGATTTCCCTGTTTTATGTAACCAAAAATAATTTTCTCCACAATTTGACCATTTATTTGAGGATTTATACATCACAAGTCGTTGAAAATAATTTCAATATCACTCTTAAACTCTCACAATCCCTCGATCTTCCCAAAATCATCTGAATCTCTTGATATCCTTCGCCCTCTTAACCTCGGTACTGACCGACCAAAACCCGAACTTTAACGATACGAAACCAAGTCCGAAGAAAATTATGAAAACCGACAGAAAGCTGTTTTAAAAAACCGACCGCACGTTCGATTTTGCCAAACTCTTACTATGTAAATCCCATTTTAAATATAAAAAGAAACAAAGTTAAAGAAAAATAAAAGATATAGGAAAGTATTTTAGAGAATATAACAAAGATAAATAAATATACCGAAATATGCTATAAGGTTGATTAAAGCAAAAATATTTCCCAACCATTGACCGCAATTTATCCATGCTTGACGAAGAGCTTCAAGAATGTCTCTTTTTTTGCGATTTCCCTTCTCAAAATTTTTTGGAGAAATTAAAGGAAAGGAAGGATTTTTATTTCCAGATTCTGCACCAATAGTCAAAAAATTTAAGAAATTTCCATCAAATGTCGATGAACATGTTCCTTTTCCATCTTAAAAATTAATCTTTTTATTATTCCAAGAAAATATTTTTATATGTATATTTTTTTGAAATAGTCGGTAATTTTTTATTAATTTGTTTGTACTTGGAGACCAAAATCTTGCGGTGACCAACTTCCCGAAAACTAGTGAACAAATTTCGTGGAGTTATTTTACGTTACAAAAACATACTAGTGGCTAAACTTTTGCTAAAATCTTTTTAATTTAGAATTAGGTATATAGAGAAAATAATTCCCATATTTTGTTAGACTTTATCAAAGTGGGCCAAAAACAGCCCTAATAATTTTACTAATTTGTAATAAATTTCAAAATTTTTAATCATAAAACCTTTAAATTTTTTATCCGATTTTTGTTGTTCTGTTTTGTCCTTTGTAATCTTCTTGGCACTCTTTTTTAACTTGGTATCTCGATTTTTACTAGCATCCTTGTTTGAAATATCAGAATTAATAATTTCTCCATTTTTCTCTTTTCCTTTATGATTCTGGCTCATTAAAGAAACAGAACGACGTTTACGATCTTGGAAAGAATATTCTGGGGATGGTGAATGTCCATCTGAAATAATACTTTCATCAGAATCGTCTAGTACATATGGCTGAAAGCCAGATTGATGTCCTGTTCGTGGATTGTAGCTTCGATTATAGAAAGACAATGGATCAGAAGAAGACGGCATATTGGTATAACTAATATCGGCATATGAAGAAGCTTGTTGTTGTGGTCGATGTTGAAACCATGGTATTGGTGGACGAGGTTGAGGCAAATTATGTTGTGGATGAGGTTGGGGAATCATATTTTGAGGTGGTAGTTGTGGGCGCATCTGTGGTGGCTGTATTTGTGGGCGCATTTGTGGTTGCTGTATTTGTGGTTGTATTGGTTGACCGAATTGATTTCCTCCATTATTTCCCCCATTATTCTGTCCTTGTCCTCCAAATGGCCAAAGATTTCTAAACCAAGTGAATTCAGGAACAGCGCAGTGAATTTCAATTATGTAAGCAAATATAGGGATGGCAATAAACATGAGATAAGAAAATCCAACTACCAAATAACCAATTAAAATATCCAATTTTTTTATTGTCTCATCAGTAAATAAAGCTTTCATTATTGCTCTTGCTAATCTTCTATTACTTCGTCGTGAACGCTTTTTACGACGAAGCATATTTATATTTTGATTCGTATTGCTCTATAAAATTTAGTTAAATTTATAAAATTTATCCTTTTACATACATATTTAAATATAAGTTAAAATAAACTAATTTTAATAAAATTATATTATTATTATTTTCTGATTTTTATTTGGTTATTTATTGTTTGTGGATGTATTTGCTAAAAGAGAAGACTTTTTACTCATTATTTTGTTTACCCCTAAAGTCGGACTTCGATTTAGTTCGATTGAACGTAGCACCAAAGATACTCCGTTTCGATCAGCTCGTTCCCTCATACACATGGAGATAGATAAAGTTACTTTATACTGGAGTGCCTAGATAGCTTCCATCATGCGGTGGTTAACAAAGAAAATTATGTACGTAAAATAGAGTGTAACTAAATTTACGGGGACAAGGAACATGGACTCCGCGTGTTCTCATTGAATCCCCACGGGTAGTATCAAAATCTGACTGTATATTTTATATTTAATCCCTTTTTAAACTAAATCGTTATCATAATTTATCAAAAAATCAAATTTTCAACTTACTTCATTAAAATCTGACCAGACCACATTTCTTAAATTATTGTTAAAATTTGAAATATTTTCTTCCAAATTTTCTGAGAATACAGCCTTTTTTGCTTCTTCTAAATTTATATTTATCAAATTTAAAATTTCTTCAGAATCATTTATTTCCTGAGCCTCAATAATTATTTTTTGTAACATAATTTCTCTATTATTTCCTCCTTTCCCCCATTTAATTATTTTAATAAATTTATTTATTAAATTAAATATGCCTTTAAATTCGTTTTTAATGTCCTCCGGATTTAAATTTTGATTATTCCAATTTTTAATAATTTCTTTTAATTTAATTAAAAATATTTCGGCATATTTCCTTCCATAAAAATAAATTGGAATAAATATTTTATTTTTATTTTCTTCATTATTTTGATTTATAACCGAAATAATTTCAAACATTAAATTAATAATTTCATTAAATAAAGGATTAAATAATTCCCAACTTTTTTTGAATATTTTATTTTTACTTTTGTTGGTCTTCTTTTCAATTTGAGCAATTAAACTTTTAAAAAAGCTCAATTCTTTTTGGTTAATTTGTTTGGAATTGTTGAGAGAATAAATTGGTGTAGTTTGGAAATCAATTTGTTCAAATGTAAATTTGAAATTGGAATTATCTTTAAAATTAATTAAATTTATTTCGCCTTCCTGTGTAGGAATAATTTGACGTAAAAGTTAGTAAAGTGATCAAATTATGGCAAGAGTTTTCAAAAAAGCAGGGAAAGACGTTAATGTCTTGAGCGTAACATAAAGGAATGAGGTTCTGGCTGTCTATTAATTTTGTTTAATTTTTAAATACAGTCGAATCAACACGAATTCTTGTAATGAAAAAAAGAAGTACACTCTTAGACAACTTCTCTCCCCCACCTCTTTTTCCAAATAAAATTTCTTGGATTAATTAATCTTAAAATAAAAAATAATTACTTTGCATGTCATAATCTTTAATAAAAATAATCATTTCATTTTTCAAATCCTCAATAAATGTATCTTTATCAGTATATCCAATTTGACTCAAAATTCCTCCATCAAACTCCACAAATAATTTTTCAGTTAAACTTTCTAATAATTTTTCTATTTTAAAAAATCTTTTATTTAAACTTTCAACTTTCTCAAATTCTTCACTATCAATTTCTAATTCAAATAATTTTCCTGAATCAACAAAATTTTCATTTCCCTGTATCACAACAATTTCTTTCATTACTAATGCCAATGCATAATAATTTGCTTTTACAAAATGTGAAAAACATTCATTTAATATATCATGGTCAAACTGATGTCCATTTTTCAACCTTTAATTTAAACAGGAATTACTGTATTTAATTACCCTTGGAATTTTAATAGATAAGGTCCTCCTAATGCTAATATCACCAGGCAAAATTAACTATTTACCGTATTTCCTATATTAGAGCCCCAGCCTCTGTTAGAGCCCCACCCTCTAATACAGCCCCACTTTGGAGGTTAGTTGAAAAATAGAGCCCCACCCTCAATTAGAGCCCCACCCCAAATACAGCCCCACCTAAAAAATTTTGGAGGAAAAAATATCCAAATAACTTTATAGATGTATTAAGAGAGTTAAGGAAAGAAAGAGGGATATCGATGATTCGTGATCATGGAGGAGGAGGGATCATGGGGATATACCAGTTCTAGTTCTGGAACTGCTTTTTGAATTTCTTCAGTTCCAGTTCTGGAACCTGTTCCAGAGCCTCGTCAAACAAAATCACTTCATATGCCTCCTATTACCCCTAGTCCAGAATATTCCTCTTAATCCCGCTAAATCTCTCAATATAAACTTAATCCGCTTATATTCACCATAATCCCTTAAAATCCACTATTATATCTTTGATCCATCGATGTCAAATACTGGTCCCCTAATATTTCCCTTAACCCGTCCAAATCTACCAAAATTTCATAATTGATCTTACTCTCATTGAACTATTGCTACTATTTTGTTATTCATTGCTTATAAAATTTTAATTTTTGTGAAAAATCGAAAATTTCGATCCTCGTTCGATATTTTTCGGTTTTATCGACCACCCCTCCGGCCTAACTCTAGTTGCAATGGATATTTAATAAATGGGATTTTATCTCAAAAGAGGGTTGAAAAATAGAGCCCCACCCTCAATTAAAGCCCCACCCTTTAATACAGCCCCACCTTGGAGGATAGTTGAAAAATAGAGCCCCATGGGGCTCTAATATAGGAAATACGGTATTTTATATTTACTGAATTTCTAGAGACATTCATGCTACTAAACCTTAAATCCAAAACTTTTCATGGGGTTTCTTCGGTCTTGGTCCTAAGCTGCAATCCTGGTTTAGGTTCCTAGAAATTTTCAGTCTATAAGTCTCAATAAATCTCCACTCTAAAATATTATATATTTAATTCACATTTCACGAAAAACAGAATCCAAACGGCCAAGAATATCTTCACTGAGCTTCTTTAACATTTGAGACAAGAAATGAGAATTGGGGACTATATCTTGATCATTCTTTAACCCATCAAAGCCAACTTCAAGTAACAATCTATTATCATTTTCAGAATCAACAGAAACATCAAACTCGTACCGACGTTCCTTATTTGTTAAAAGATTTATAAATATTTTTATTTCTGTTCCAAAATTTGATACAAAGTTATCATAAGATTGCGTTTGTGAAGAATTTTCTGTAAAATTAAGAAATATAGTTAGTTTTTTATGGCACATTCGATGGTGATTTTACAATTATTTCATATCATGAAGTACCTAATTGCCTATTTTCAGGGATGAACTTTTTAAAAAAATAAACTGTATCGATATAAGGAAATCCAACTTAATATTTAGGACTTTATTAGCGAGGATCTAAAAGTATCGCCCATTTAACTTTGTCAGTAGATCACTGTGGTTATGTCTAGCAACACTGCTAGAAGATCGTCTTTCCGGAACATCAATCCTCTCTCTCTTACTCCCATGAGATTAGCTTTAACGTGTATATAACCTACCAAGATTTATCAAACATTTAATTGAATTTCTAAATGCATTATCACTCCACTCAATTTGATCAAAATAAATATTGTCAATCTTTCCCTCTAATTTAAGCTTTTCCTCTTCCCCCATAAAATCTGTTAATTGTTCCTCTCCAACTCTATATGAAAGTATTATTGTTCTGATTAAAAGATTTAAATCCAGATTATTTAAAGAACTTTTTAACTGGGAAATAAAGAAATCACGTATTTTCTCTTTATTTTCAATAAGTTCAATGTAGTAATCAAGACTCGAATTATTCTTTGAATAGTTATTATATTCAAAAAATGGATGCCAATCAGTGAAGTTAATACTCTCGTTTGTCTAAATATTAAATTATTTGCTAAAGTTACATATATTGAGTCTCGATATAACGATATATCTTGGGTTGAAGTTTTCCTAAGGTATAAGAAAAGTGACATGGTTCAGAACTGGCTAAACACACCTCCAGTGTTTGGAATTTTAAAATTTGCGAGTACGAATTTGGTACGAGCTTCTTAACACTGCACACCACATGGGAATGAATTGAGGTGACATTTGAAGGAAATGGGACCTTATGTCGGGAGTCGTTATATAGAGATTCTGCTTTATGTTGTTGTTGCAAAAACCTGACTGTTAATTACTGGCTTCTTGTAGCATTCCGGATTAAAATACCAATTCAACAACCAATTCAGCTTTACTGAATCAAAAATATTTTGCTCCTTAACAAGTCTATTAAATCCAGATTCGGAAGCAGGATTTAACGACTTCATTATTTTCATTGCCAATTTCAATTCCTCCCTTTTTTGTGTGCCCACAATCCCCAAAAATGTTTGTATGTCCAACTTTTGAATAGATTCGTAAATTATTTCTGCTATATACAAAGGTCTAGTAAGCATAAAGGATCGCAAAAAGATTTTATAATTTTCATTAATTTTCAGAGGTTCTTGTCCGTTTAATTTATCCAAATAAAATAATCCTTCATATTGGGCAGTTTCTTCTTGATTTTCAATTTTTATGAAGAATTCATCAACACATTTAATATAACGATTAAGATGTTTAATCACATTTTTATCAGTCATATTATTTTCAATAATTCCCTTAATTTAAAAATACAGTCGTGTTAACGAGGGGAATTTTAAGGAAGATCCTTTTCAGCCAAATTCAGTTATACCTCCTCAACTAGAGACCGGCCGACATGTGGAATGTACTCTTTGATATATTGAAAGTTATTTTTTAATCTTTTAAGACTCACCCTGATTGGATCCTTTATTTGTTTTCCCTCTTCATTACAAAATGAAAGAATTCCTTTAAATCGAGAACGGTCAATGTAAAAAGCCAACCCATTCAAAAGTTGATTTCCACAACTTTCTGGGTCAATACACATTTTAGCTTTGTTTAACAATTTTATAACACTCTTCTTTGTTAACTCATCAAGTTTCTCCAAAATTTGGTCACTCCATATTTGATTAACATAAATCAACAGAATTAACTTTAATATTAAAAACGGCTTTTTTAACATTAAAATTTTTTAAATTTTTTTATAAATGGTAAATTTTGGCCAAGAATTTTTATCTTGTATATACATATGTGAATATAAAATCAATTATAAATGAATATTAAATTATAAAAAGTCAAAGGAAGGGGAGTTAATGTAAAATTATGTCTTGTTGTAAGTAAACAGTCAGAGAAAGGAAAGAAATCAAGTCTCTTCATCCTCAATGCTATTCTTTATCGCAAGATGCGAGGCAATTTTTTGCCATAATCAGAGATTCAAAAGAGTGAGTGATAAGTGAATGAGTGAGTGGTAGCAGATAGGGATGTGCGCCAAATGAGTGATAGCAGATTAACAAATGTTACTAAAACATTATATAATATTAAGTTTGTTCCTGTTTTTTGCTACACCAAGCTTCATAGAAAAGTTAATAGAAAAGTGTTTAATGTCGGGACCGAGATACAAGTTCCAGAAAATTTAAAACCATAGGAGCGGCCACCTCATTCTTGGTCAAAACATTCAATCATACAAATAGCTTATTCCAAAGAGTTTGTCGAGCTGAGTCGAATGACACCAAACTCAGTTTGATCCAAGTCTTTTCTGCCGCGAAATTTGCGCCGCAGAACCTATCAGTAAAAAAGATCAACAAAAGGGATGTGCGCCAAATCTTTCACGTCGCGCGCAAGATATCAGACTTGCTCAAATTTTTACAATACGCTAACCCTTTTCAATTAGAACTCGCTTGTATTTTTATACATATAAATGAGGTTTACTGATATATTTATAGTTACTGATACCTGGACTTCCAGAATTTTTGCCTTAGTGACTAAAAAAGGATGAATTTTGGTTTATTGGCCTTTATATTTACCTTAAAATCTTGGCGTTTAGTTTTCATTTTTGTCCGATTTCAGGCATGTTGGGTTTTTCGTGTTTTAAAAATTTGAGCGATTGGCGTCTGTGATATTGCGCGCCACGCGAGAGATTTGGCAAACAGCCCTCATGTTGATCTTTTTTTATTTTATAGTTTCTGCGGCGCAAATTTCGTGGCTCAAAAGTCACAGACCAACTTAACTTTTATATATAAAGTATAAATTAAATTAAAAATTAAATATAAACAATTTTTATTTAAACAATTTATTTATAATTCTTTTTTTAATTTTAAACAATATTTAATTGTTTTTGACGGAAATTTAAATTTTCTTTAACATTAGCTATAATTAAATTTTATAAAATTATATAGAATTATTAAATAACCAATCTTTTTTTTTGTCTTTTTTAAAAATTTAATTTAGATAAACTAGGAATTTTAAATTAAAATTGTCAGTTTTACGAATACATGATAATTTAATTTTTTTATTTAAATGAAAAAAACGTTAGTATTTATAGTTTTTAATTTTTAATATTAACATTCAATTTGGTGTTAACAAGTTTTGGGATTATTCTCTAATTTTTACTTATTTCCAATTTAATCTAGACAAAATTTGGTACTTTTCGGTTATGAGGTTACACATTTACAAATTTTAAAAAGCTCTCAAAATGGTCAATATATCATATAAGTATAGGGTAGAAAATGGTGCTGAGTCGAACGGTACCAATCTTTTTACACGGAGATTCTTGTGGACCGAGATATAAGGCTCGAAATGGTCAAAAATCATAGGGATAGTAAGTTCATTTTTGGGTCGAAAAATTCCATTTTTTTAATGATAGCTCATTCGAAAGAGCTCCTCGAGCTGAGTCGAATGGCACCAAAATCAAACCGATTTAAAAAGTTTGGACAAAGCTATGATCGTTTGTTTTAGCTCCTTACCTATGGACTCCCTATGATTTTTGACCATTTCGAGCCCTATATCTCGGTCCACAAGAATCTTCTGAAAAAAGATTGGTACCGTTCGACTCAGCACCTTTTTCTACCCTATACTTATATGATATATTGACCATTTTGAGAGCTTTTTAAAATTTGTAAATGTGTAACCTCATAACCGAAAAGTACCCAAAATTTAAAAAAATTTAGAAAAAGAAATTTTATATTTTAAATATTTCCAAATAAAATTAAGCAAAAAAAAATAGAACCTTGGATAATATTATTTTAGAAAATAAACGAACCTCGGACTTGCGTACAGCCCACAATAAGTTACACTTCAATTTAATGTATATTTTAAGTTTGTTTGGCCAATGGGGGCTACCATGGGTCAGAACTGTCAGAGGTGTCGGAAATCGAAAGAGCCGGAAATCTGAACTGATTCAAAAGTCGGAAATCGGAAATGAAATTTTTTTCGGAAATCGGAAGAAAAAAACGCCGGAAATCGGAATTCCGGCCCACCTCTGGGGACTACTATAAATTGTTACCGCAAAGGCATACCATTTTAAGCTACTAATGTTTTTAACGTCGGAGTGACGTAAAATCGTGGTTGGTATATTAATTATTAAATAAAATTTTATTGTCTTTTAAATTGTAATGTTAATAATATTTTATTTTGAATAGAAATTAAAAAATATTCCTATAATAAATGACAACTCCAAATAAAGTATTTTGTTGTTTTGACAAAATCCATTATTGGCACTCTCGTTTATGCCCTCCAATAGGTCTAATAGCAAATATTGGACTTATTTATTTAATAATCAAAAAAACACCAAAAGAGATGAGAATTCATAGTCGAATCTTGTTACAAACTTGTGTGATTGATATTGCTCTTTTGATTGTTACAATATTTGGACAACCTGTAAAAAAATTTTTTTTTGAAATTTTGGAATTTTTGGGAAATGAGGGAGACCCTAAAATTTATAAGTAGTCAAATGAAAGTTGTCGGTATGGAATCAAGCAGAAATTAGTTTAGGATTCGGTAAAGGGAAGGAGTCGTTTTTTTGTTAATTTCTTTTCTTTGAAACTTTGGTACTAGCCAGACCTGTGCATGGATACGGATATGGATACCGATAATATTAACATGCCTGCGGATATCCGCCTGTATCCGCCGTATATATCCGGATATGGATACCATTACCCGTGTCCATGCACAGGTCTGGTACTAGCACAGGACTGTTAATTCTATATTTATGACTAATAAAAAGTACAAATGCATTCGGTGAAGACAAAGGAACGAATAAATAAGGGTTGTACGAGAATCGAAATCTCGATAACCGAGATCTTGATTCGAAATTTTATACAGTCTGGTCTAAATTTATAATATGTAGGATAATTCTTATTTATTTAATTGTTTAGGTACTGAGCTTCCAACCAAGTGGTTTTTGTGTTATGCTTTTCCAAGGATATTTTTCTTCTTTTTTTGAAGAAGTTCCTTTAATACAAATTTATATATTTGCTATCTGGTATTTTTTGAATACATTAGATGTTAATGGAATTGCTGTACAGTTTCTTTATCGATACCTGGGGCTTAATTGGTATATTTACTTATTTAACATGTAGTCGGGCCTCAATTAAGGTTGGCAGTTCCTGGGAAATTTTCGGGTATCCGGAACTGAAACCGATAGCCGAAATGAAAATTTCCGGATACCCGGAGTTTTTTCGGTTCCGAATACCAGAAACCGCCACCCTTAACCTCAATCACATGTAGAAGAAAAAACCGTTACCTCAATCATATGTAGGACAAAATTACTCATCCTAGATTGACCTATATTGAGACAATTATTCTAAAAATTATTTTAAAGCCGAATTACTATCAACATTCTTCGTTATACATATCTAGCAACAATACCTTTTATTGCTAGTCTATTGCTTGCAATTAGCTGGTTCTTTATGGTTGCTAAAGATCAACTAAATAAACAAAATCTTGATATTGGCTTTTTTTCCTATTTTATGGACCGAGAATCAGCAGAAAACTATATTGCTGTTACATACTCATTTAATGTTTGTTTTTTAATATTTGTAAAGATATAACCGGTTATCTCACCGATTTTTCTCCTCCTTTATCCTTTTTTTAAAAAATATAGATTGTCAATGATTCATAATGGTAAGGGTTAATTAATTTATAAAGGCAGGCAATAAAAGAAAGAGGATGTAAATATAAGATCAGAGGTGGATCGTGAATAACGCTGCAGGAAATCGGACTGTTGGAAATCGAGAATGGCTTAAAAGTCGGAAATCGAAAACTAGCCTAAATTTTCGGAAGACGGGAATCGGAAATGCCAACCGATAAAAAGTACAGGAAAAATTTTAAAAGGTATCTCTTATTCTAAATTGGTAAATAGAATTGTAAAGAAGGAGGTGATGCTTCATTATTTGATTTAGAGTGATATCGACTAAGGCAAATTTGAAGGGATTAGAAGGGATATAAATAGTAGGATTTGGTGATAAGTGATATCGGTGAATATGGTAGATTAAGAGAAATTTGGAGATTAAAGGGATATCGAAACAAAATTTAAGAGGGTTGGGGGAGATATTGAAGTATTTACATGGCATTACCAGATATACACGCTTAATCCCTAAAAATCCCCTAATACTCCGATTTTGTTGAAATCCGCCGACATTCCGAAATTTTCGTTAACCGAAACCAAAATTTTTTAAGAGTTAAGAAGATACAAATATATCCGAGTTCCAGATCTAATGAGATCAGTCCCTCCTCCTATCAGCGCCGTAGGCGAGAATTTTGGAAAGATCGGAAGGAGAAGTCGGAAGGAAAAAATGTTGGAAATCGGAAGTTAAAATTCCGAGCCACCTCTGCATAAGAAAACTATTATGCATCGTTATCGCCTATAATTTTTAATCAAAAATAGAAAGAAGGCGGCTCTACTCCAGTTTATGCGTCCAATCGACTTTTATGCGTCCAATGAAAGTTTATGCGTCCAATAAAAAGAAAATTGGATTTTTCTTGGTATTGCAAAGTTGGGGTATGGCTCCAAACCATTTCTTCATGTTCGGGACCTACGTCCACTGGGTATGGGACCGTTCCATACCCGACTCCTCGAAATTTCTCCAAGTTATAATCGTTTTTCTGAAATTTTAAAAAATTGGCTGTAACTTTAAAAAATTTCAAGGGATAGGGCAAGGAATGGTCCCAGACCCAGTGGGCGTAGGCCCCGAACATGAAGAAATGTTGTGGAACCATACACCAACTGTGCAATACCAAAAAAATCCAATTTTCTTTTTATTGGACGCACAAACTTTCATCGGACGCATAAAAGTCGATTGGACGCATAAACTGGAGTAGAGCCAAGAAGGCCCGAGATAAAAGAACTGGGAGAGGATTTTAGTAATTTAAATAAAAAATATTTTTTAAGGCAATGGATTTGGTCGCTTATTGGAGTTATTCTTATCAAATCCTTCAGATTATTTGTTATGTTATTGTAATCTTTTGTGGATTTAAAATGGTCCGCTTTGTGCATATTCATTCAAGTTTAACTCAAAAAATGAAAGAATTGAATAAACAATTAATTAAAACACTTATAATTTTGGTAGATTTTTTAAATAGAAATTAATTAACGTATTTTCTTTAGAATAGCCCCCCTCTCTATATAGCCTCCTCTCTAGAGGTCGATCGAAATAATAGCCCCCGAGTGCTATTTAAGAGAAAATACGGTATATAAAACGTATCGACATTTACGGATATCCACTTTGCACCCACGAAGCTTTTCATATTTTAACATAAATAATATTCAACGCGTGATATGCCACAAATTTGTATCTTAAGTCCAGAGGTTGTCCTTATATTCAAAAGTAGATTTTAGTGAGTTTGTCCGCAAATGTCACTACCAACTGTCGTAAAAAATATTTTTAAATTTTCTAATTATTTAGGCAAGCTTCCCATTAATTTTGATGTCTACAAACACCTTCATTAGCAGTGTTGCTCCACATTTTATAGATTTAAACACTGAAAGTTTACTCTTTATGTTTCAAGGTCTTTTAAGTCATTGGTTACCACTATTAAATCCATTGGCGAGCATTTACACAATGCGTCCGTACAGAGAATTTTTAATACAAAAAGTGTTCAAAATTAAAACAAAAACTCAGAAAGTAACACCAGTAACTATTTTGGTACAGCAAAATTCAAAATATGGAAATTCAAAAATATGAATGATGAAAAAGAATGATTTTATAAGATTTTATAATTTGATTATTTTTATAAAAATGATAATTTTGATGATAAATGGTCATTAGTTAAGTTACGATCTGATCGAAAGGAAAAAACGGAGTATTCGTAAATGAGTCCCTACTACTGGATTCATAGTAGTAGGGATTCATGCGCTCGAGTAATTACTCAGGGTAATCACTATTTCAACCTCTTGCTGGAGGGTGTAATTATTCAAAAATATAAAGTAGCTAATAGGTCTAAAAATAGACAAATAATAGCAGATATTATTTATGGGGCGGGGGTTTCTTCGGATCAGGTTTCGGATCAAAAAAAAGACCGGGTTTCGGCTTGGGTCAGCTAAAAATTTAAAAATTCCTTAATAACAGTTCATCTTAGTATAATAATTAAAATTATGTTCAAGATTTAATTATTTAAATTTCTTTTAAATTTCTTTAAGAATCAATTAATTCTAAGTTTGTTGATTTTTAAAATAAGGTCCAATAGGGACGACTGCATTTGCTTGTTGTTTAATACCAAAAGCTTTTTTGAAAGCATTTTTATATTCAGAACTTTAATGTGAAAAAAAAATATTTTTAAAAATATATTTTAAAGGTAAGCTTTACTTTGAAGTAAAAAGAATTAACGAATTAATTCCAGCTGAAATTGGATTAATACAAATAACTATACTAATTAAATATGTAGTTATAATATTAGAAATTGTTTGTGATGGGTTCCCTTTTTCATCTTTAAAAATATTAGAAATAGCTGTAGTTATAGTATTACATAATGTTGTCACAGAATTTCTTGCAGCAGAACCAACTATCCAACCGAAAATAATTATAAAAGAAATAACAAAAACTGAACGAAGAATTCGAAGATTTGGATCGGGAATTGAAGAATTATTTTGATTTTTAGTTTGATTATTTATTTTTTTATTTTTTTCTTTTGATTTTAAATAACGCCAATAAATTGAGGAATAAATTAAAAAATAATTTAAAAAAGAAGCGGACAAAATAAAATAGGAGGGTATTGAATTTAAAATATCAGAATATAAACCAGAATTACAATATAATAATCTAAAATAAAAATATATTTTTGTTGTAATTGAGCTTCGACCACTCCCCACCCCCCCCCCTCTCTCCCTTCTTCCCATAAAATATTAAAAATAATCAGGTTTAAAATGTGATTATTTAGAACCCCCACTTTTTAGAATCACACGTGTGTAACATAACTCTGGGTGTGTACATATGTCTTTCTGTCACCATAAAAAAATTTTTGGAATAGGGTGAAATAATTGGAAATAGAATTGTGGTATGAATTATGGTAAGAATTGTGGTTACGATTTCCGAAAAAAGAATTGTGGTTACGATTTCCGAAAAAACACGCAACAGTTCTAAGAAGATTATAGCCATCGAGTAATATTTTTACAACATTTTGTCTGACCATTTTAGCATTTTGAGGATGGAAAGGAGGGATGAAGTTCAATTTTACCATATTTATTATTTAAAATTAAAAATTAAGATTTTACTTATAAAATGGAAGATTAAGTATAGTCCAAACATTAAATTGAATTAATGACATTATTATTCCAAAAACAATACAAATAATAATTATTAAAAAAGAAATACGGTGAATTGTAGATGTATCAATCATGTGTATTCTTAAATTTAGGTTAAAATATTTTTGATTTCTTTTCAAATATTTAAATTAATTATTAAAATTTACATACCGTATTATCTCTATTAGAATGCCTCTCTCCATTTGAATGCCCCCTCTAATAGAATGCCCCTCTAGCGGAAGATCGAAAAATACAATGCCCCCCTCCATTTGAATGCCCCCCCTCTAATAGAATGCCCCCCCCCTTTTAGTGAAATTTTTCTAAATATAAAAAGATATTAATAACTACATATATTTAAAACGTTTAATATTCACTTTTACTTATTTTTCTTGCCATTTTTAAATCATTATTTAAACAACATGCAATGAATATGAAGGCTAATTTGTTACATTCAGCAAGTCAAAAATTTAGAGTTTTAAGAGGTCATTACGGATACATCCCATTCTAACTCAAAAAAGAGTTTGCCTGGTTCTACTTTAGAAACAGTATTATGTAGAAATAGATAAATATTTATATTTATAAATTCAAGCCAAGCCTAGGTTGTCTGGAAAAATTTCTTAGATTTTTCCAAAAATTTCACAGAAAAATTTCCCACTAAAAATTTCCCGCGTGTCAAAAACCTCCTGTCCAATATGAGGAAACAATTGTCCAATTCTTAATGTATGTATGTTCGACAACTCCGTATGAAGAAACATTTTGGTAACAGAATTTATGGCTGTGATGAGACATCTGTTTGGTTGGACACCGGTGGGAATTCGATTGAAAAGCGAGGTGCTAAGGATGTTTCCGTTTTTAATAGAAAATGTTTTTTAACTAAAACACTCCTAGGTTACCGTGTTATCAACAGGACACGACAAAATGAGACTTACAGTTTTTTATAAAATTTTAATCTAAAAATTTTTCAAACTTTAAAATTTACTCATCGAAAATACAATGCCCCCCTCCATTTGAATGCCCCCCTCCAATAGAATGCCCCATTGGAAGGTGATTGAAAAATAGAATGCCCGGGCATTCTATTAGAGATAATACGGTATCTTTAAGTATAAAATTTTTTAATATAACATTTTGTACATATAGACCCAAAAATTTTTTTTCCATTTATTTTTAAATTTTCAAATAAACTACTCTCGAAACTCTTTTAATACTCAATAATATCCTCATTTCAAAATATTTTTTAAAATTTTCTTAAATTGAATTTGGATGAAGGAAAGCCAGATCTAGTCTTTGAAACATCCTTAACTGATTTACAAGGGTCCAAAAATTCTAAAAAAGAGGTAAATAATGGTCAATAATTTTTCAGACCCAAGATCAAATCTTTAAGTGATTTATATCTCACACTAAAATTGTTAGTCTTAATTTTGAAGTTTATCTTCCATAATTTAAAAATTTTAAATTAAAACCACAAACTTTGTTGGAAAAAATATAATTAAAGCTCTTTCCAACGAAATAAAATAAATAGCCAAAAAAGAGGAATACGAACCAATTGTTGAAATTAAATGAAAATAAAAACAAACACGCCAATCAATTGATACAAAATTTAAAATTAAAGCTAAAAAATTTAAACCAAAAGGAGAAACAGCCAAAATTAGACAAAAAGCATCGAAAAGAATTAATAAATTGCAAATTCTTTCCATTGAACTTTAAAATTTAATTTTGAATTTTTTGAAATTTTTTTAAAGAAACATACATTTTTCGAATTGAAACATAAATTAAAGTAATATTTAAAATTATAGAAATAATTGTAAATATGCCTGGAATAACCATCCATGGAACTATTGGGTTAATAAAACCTAATTCATCATAATAATAAAGTGTACTATTGTAATAAGCTTGTGTCTAAAATTTTAATTTTGTTTAATTTTATTGACAAATTATTGATAAATTGATAAATTTTAAGAAATAAGGAAAGGATAAATGATCGGGCTGTTTGCATGATTCCACATTTGGTCGTGTCAGTTGCTTAGGTTCACATAGGAATCTCGTTAAAAAGCATTGCTATAATCTGCTGCCTGGTATCTGAGCTTAATCTCATGAAAAGTGAAGGAGTTCTAAAAAGTCAGGGCCATGCCCTGATATTTCAAGTATATTTTTAATAATAAATACTATTAATTTTCTAAATCAAAATTTTAATTAAAAAAATATTTTTATATGTACATTCATCTGTTTAGATCTATAATTATAGGAACATTCTCCAACAATTAATTGATGTTCAATTGTTGGCAGATAAATTGTTAAAAAACTTTTATTTGTTCCTTGATAAATATCTAAAGTATTTAATTTATCAGCTAAATTTTCTGAATCAGTTTTAGTTGTTTTTGTTATGTTTAAATAAGCACAAATATCTCCAGTTTAACGATAATTTTCCAATGATGTTGAGTAATTTTGTTGAATCATTTTTGGGAAAAATTTTAATAAAATTAAAAGAAAATATTTATTATAGTATATTTAATTTAGGTTTTGTAATCTTGAAACTATAAAATAAGGCTAAATTACGGGTTTCGAAGTAAAACTATTTTTATAGCCTAATTTTGGGTGATATTCCTAAAAATGGTTGAGTTCGTTTCGTTAACGAAACGAGTTTTAAAAATTTTTGCTTCGTTTTGTTTAGACCGAAAAATTTTGAGTTTCGCCCATGTCTGATCCTATAACTGATATCACCCTTACTTAATCCTTCAAAATCTCTACAAATGCCTGATATCCGTCCAAATTCACTTGTATACAACTAAAAAGTACTGCTTAGAATAAATAAAATAACACAAAAAGTAAATCTTTTCCTTTGTTATACTAATTTTTCAAATATGTATAGGGAATACTATTTAAGTGGGTGGGGGGCATTATTTAGGGGGAGTACCAATTCAGGGGGTGCAAATGCTGGAATTTTAAATAAAAAATTTTAATTTATGTATTTTTGACTACATTAAAAATTATTTTTTAATGTTAAGATCGACAATACTAATTGCTTAAATAAAATAAATAATTATTTAGACAAGCACGTCAAGATTTTATTTACCATTTATTGTGTTAAACAAAAAAAACTTTTATAAACTTTTTAATATTTAATTATTTTTTCAGGTGAAAATTAACGAATATATTATGATAAACATATAATTATTAAATGTTTAAAAGTAAAAAAATTCAGCTGGCTTTTTATTAAATTATTATAAATGTTTGAAATAAAATGAAATTATTATTTAGATAAACAAAAAAATTGTGTCGGGACATTAATGATTCTTATTATTTTAAAACGTTTTAGATAAATTTTTAATAATTATATATGATATTGTATAATTAATTAAAATTCCAAGATCACGAAAACATTCTGTTTCTAGTACTTTTAATACATTAATGTTAATATGATCTTCTTACGTTACGTTCTCTGGAGAAGTATAAGACAATTTTTTGCAGAGGTCGAATATAGGAGTGTTATACATATTTCATTCGAAAGCTCTTCGAAAACCGAATCGAAATAGGTGTGGGGGAAGCTGATCCGTTAATCAGACTTCGAGTTACAGGCTTTTGAAAATTAAAAAAGAGTAGGGGGCAACGACGGGGCGTACGTGCTAAGAAAATATGTACTTTATAAATAATAAAATAATGACGTATTTATTTATTCAACCAACCAGAATTTTTTCAAAATATTTGTTTAAAATTGTTTTAAAATTTTACACCTGTCAATTAACCATGGTTGTTGGTTCTCGGAAAATCTTCGGAAATTGAAACGAGCCTAAGAATCTCAAGTTGTCGGTTCTGTCTTAACCATCAACCCTATGAATAGGTTTCTTTTGAAATTAAACATGATGGTATATTTGTTATCTAAGCTCTAGTTGATCTCACTATCTTTAATTTGAATAAAGGCATGTCATTAATAATGTGTCAGGTTTTATTAGAGTCACCCTTAAGATAGCTAGATCGAAGATGGCAGGTTATTCGGATCAACAATAATCGGATCAACAATCTTTCAATCTTAACACACTAATAAAACGAATTGTCTCATAATTGTAAAAAATTATTCTTCGTTTTTGGAATTAAATAATTTTTATGTTTATCTTATGTCAAGATATGCCCAGAATTTAAAAATATTTAAATAAAAAATCACTAAAATTTAATAATGATAATATGTGAATTCAACATTAATTTAAAATTAATTTTGGCTTAAGAAAAAAGCAACTCCTGCCAAAATCCAAGAACTTTGTAAAGATATTGGACATGTAACGCCCACTTGAAATATCATTTCACGCCGGTCCAGGTCAGAAAATACTGGCAACGATAATTGTTGCTTGTCTTTGAATTGTGTTTGCTCCCCTATTTCCTAAAAATTTTAAAACTTCTTTTGAACTTTTCCAAATTCTTTTTTAAAATTCACACCTCTTTTCTCCAAAAAATCTTCAATGCGGGTGCCTCAGTGAATGAAGGAGTATTTGCAGTAACTGATTTAAGCTCCTTTCCATCAAATATTGCACCCTGTACGCGTAAATTCGAAAGTGTTAAAGTTGGAATATCGTTTGGTTGCGTAATATTATTTTGATCATTTTGCCAAATTGTTGATAAGATTAATTCATCCATACTAACATTTAATTTTCTATAAAGATTAAATTAACTTAATATTTTTACAGTCGAATCTCATTTTTAAATACTCTTTGGGATAGAAAAATTGTATCTTATAACGAGAGGTACTTAAATAGAGAGTATCTTGTAAACAGCTTCCCTCACCTAGTAGTCAACCAATTAAAATAGTCCATATCTTAAAGAGATGTGTATCCAATAATGGGAGTATCAGAAAATGAGGTCTGTGTGTATTAAATCTCACACCTTGCTGAATATTGTCTAAAAGCATTTAACAAAGTGCCAGGTCTGAGAAGATGAGCCAAATTGACTCGAGAACCAAGAAGTTGATTTGACCGTGCTGAAGAAAGCATTAACTGTGTGCTTTTTGCTTTAGAAATAAGAATTTCCAAATATTGACTGGGAACTGGTGGACCACTCCAAAGGGCATCCCATGATGAAGGGACCTGGAAAAATTTTTTTGAAATTTTTTTTAAAAAATTTTTACTTGAAAATGCATCAATTCTTTTGCCATTTCTACTATACGCTTTTCTGGTAATTGAGTGCCTTTGATAGCTCGACTTAAAGCAGATAAGGAAGTATGTATAAATTGCATCAATTTGAGAGCAAATACAAGCTCTAAATGTAAAATTTCTGCAAGAGGATCATCGCCAGTACGTCTTCCAAATGATGGTGATGTTTCTTGGGAATGATAAAAATAAGTGAAAATATAGTTGGATATCAAATAAAATACTCACTTAAGGCTGAAAATATCATAACTTATAAGTCTGAGAAGATGAGCCAATGAGGAATATATTAATGGGGGGTATAGTCTTTAAGGTCAGGTTGTAGTCTTTAAGGTCAATCGAGGACGATTATAAGGACAAATGAGATTTGTTCACAAACAATGAAAACCCAACACTCTTCATTTTATACCTTTTAGTTCCTGTCCTGCCGATATAGGTCTCTGATTCTTCTGTTCAGCAGCTGCATGTAACAGGCCAGGATTTTGTTGATTCAATCTTTTCCATAATCCTAATAACGGATTAAGAGCGTCAGCTAATTGTTGTCTAGAAGCAATTGCAGCAGGGCCACCAGTTGAAGTTGCTTGTAAACGTTGATAAGTTTCTTTTGAAGTAAAAAGGAGGCGAAGTTTGGAAATAACATTAGTGCTTTGAGTCAAATCCCAGGAAAGCATAATATTTCTTGGAAGGTATAACAATTCGGCTCTGTCAACAACAGGAAGTGTTGTTTCTACCCAATGAATATATTCCTAAAATTTCATTTTCTTCAATTAAGGCAACTAATTAGCTCTGAAAACCCGACCGAATGTCTCCCAAAATTAGGCATTTTCAATCCATTTGCCAATTCAATGTTCCCATCCTTTCCTTCAATTATTGAAGGATTAAACAAGTCTAAAAGAAAAGCCGATAATATTCGATTATCTAATTCAGCCTCAATTCTTCCTCCATATAAAGCATTGGACATAAGTCCACGAAATCGTTCCCAGTAGATAAGGGGGTCTGAATTTGAAGTATTTTTTGCGAAAAGTGTATCCAATGAATTTTTAGCAACGCGCAAATCAGCACCAGAAAATTCATAAAATCTGAAAATGTGAAGTTTTTGTATTCATTGTTTAGTAGATACATCCCTCAGTACAGGACATTATTATTAGTGTTCGGCAAATGACCTTTTCCGGTATTCGGTATCGGTATACCGAAAAAATACCGATACCGAAAAATACCGTTTTTTACAAAAATTGACCGGTACGGTATCGGTATACCGGAAAAATACCGATACCGGAAAATACCGTCTCAACATTTTCGGTATACCGGCCGGTATTCGGTATTGTTTAAAAAATTTTATAAAATTTTTTAAATTTTATTTTTAAAATCTTAACAATAAATCTTAACAATCTCAAGGACTTGAGCTTCTTCTAATCGATCATAGGCAAGATTTGAATGAGCAAAATGTTCAACAATTGCTCGACATTTAGCTAATTGAGAAATACAATGCCCCCTCCATTAGAATACCCTGCTTTAATAGTATGTCCCCTTAGGATGATTGAAAATTACTATGCCCCCACCATTAGAATACCCTCCTTTAATAGAATGCCCCAGAAGGATAATTGAAAAATACAATGCCCCCTCTAATAGAATGCCCCTATAGAAGGCCCCTATATATCCTTTTTCAGCGCCGCAGGCGAAAATTTTGAGAATTTCACAAATACCGAAATACCGGAAAATACCGCGGTATTTTTTTGAGGACCGGTACGGTTTCGGTATCGGTATACCGAAAAAATACCGATACCGAAAAATACCGTTTTTTTCAAAATTTGACCGGTACGGTATCGGTATCGGTATACCGGAAAAAAATACCGCGGTATACCGGGAAAAATACCGCGGTATACCGTACCGTGCCGAACACTAATTATTATCTCATCATAAGACATTTGGAATGAGAAAATTGTATCATATGATGAAAATTTGCCTTAGGCAGGGGGTGTCGTATCACGACAATTTACAATAATTTTAACTAAACTTACAAATATTTATTCTTTAAAATTATACAATTTATTTGGGTGATTTGCTTTTGGGGGGAAAGATAGTAAAAAGTGAATGTCTTTTGGGAGGATTGAAAAAGTTTAAATAAGGGTAGAACAATTGCATCAGATTTAAAATTATGAAACAAAAGAGAATAAAAATATTTTGAGAAAATTGTTGAATAATAATAAGGGCAAAATATGACAATTCAAGAATTTAGAAAATATTAAAAGAATGGAAAAAAATGAATAAAAATATTTTACAAAAATAAATTTCAAATTAATAATCTTTAAATTATCTTCATATGATTTCCGTCATCTCCAACACTCCGAGCGCAAAAAATTTGCATTCCTCTTTTAAGCATTAAACGAAAGAGAAGAGGCATACAGCAATAAAACAGAATCAGTAATATAAGAAGAGTGCAGAGAAAAATAAAAAGGTAGCGCGGATTGATCAAGTAAAAGAAAAGATTGGTGTAGTCAAACTGTTGTAGCCAATGTATAAAAGCTTTTGTTTCAATTCTCTTTTCTTTATTTTCTACTTTATTCCAAAAATCGATATATTTATTTTCTGTTGCTGCGAGCGTTCCTTTTAATTTAAAAGTAGTAGGGTGTAATCCACAAAAAACTTCGCATTCTTCTTCAATATGCGCCTTATTTAAATTTATCGATATAACTTTATCAATTCCTTTAGGCCCACATGTTGTAAACATGTTTATACTCGGGCAAACAATATTTGCCAATGATTTTCCAAAGTCTGTATTACAAGTCAGATATACTTTAGCACCCTCATCACATTCATAACATCCATATAGACTCACATTTGTTATTAAACATTTATTTAGCTCAATTTCAGTTTTAAGTTTCATTCCTTGCAATTTAAATTGTAAAGTAGCGGAGGAAATTTCTGTTGCTGCTATTATGTTTCCAAATTTATTTTTAATCATTATACCATTATGTGAAAATGGTAAACTATTTTCTGGTTTAAAAATCATACTCTGATTGTTTAATTCTTTACAATCACAATTAACTTTATTATCCGCAGGGCGGCAGTGACAAATATTTGGATCTATTTTACAATTTAAAAATGTTTTTGCTTCTGTTCTTGATTTACATTTAAACATTCTTAAATTATTCTCTGTTTCAGTATCTATTTTCGCAATTTTCTTTGAATTTGAAACAAAAGTGCTTGCAAGCATGGGAATTAATCCCATTGTAATATCTTTTAATGTTATTTCTATTTTATTATTTGTGACTTTTCTTCCTGGTATTAAATTAAACATACTATTCGTTATATTTCCATGACTATCAATTAATTTATTATTTATTTTAATTATTGGTTCCCACTTATCACAAGTAAATATATCCAATATTTCTTTTTCTGATGGTATAGCATAATATCTATAATATGTGCATGCGGGGACCGTGTAAAAACATCCTTGAAACCAGCCCCCATCAGATTCAACGCATTGGGTTATTCCGGGAAATTTATTTATATCTTTTAATTCATCTATTTTTTCATTTGTTTTTAATTCACTGCATTTATTATCCACGCAGCTCCCCTCCGAATAACAACGTTTGACTGACATTGTTTTTATTTGGTAGGTTCTAGAAAAGAATTTAATTGCTTTAGTACAGATCATCTCCACATAATGTACTTCAATTTCAATTGTCCCGGCTAATTTTCCTGTATGGTCATTTAATAATATTTTTACTATTTGATTATGTGGATTTAAGTTAATTTCAATAATCTCTTCAAAAAGACAATTTCTTTCTCCTAATTTATTTACCGTGCAACTTTCCTCTCTTGCATTAATTGAAGTTAAACTTTTAACATCTTTTATTAAATAAAAAATTATAATAGTTATCATGATTTTCATCGGAAGTAACTGGGAATTTTCTAAATTTTTGGGATTGAATTCTTTTGTTTTATTTTTATCTTTTCTGTTTTTATTTGATCTATCTTTTATTATTACTTTCCCAATCCATTTAATACATTTAATTTTAAATATAAACAATATTTTTAGAAATTTTAAAACAAATTTAATAATTTTAAATATCATCAAAATTGTACTTGTTAATAAGTACAAAGTTATTCCAAAGGTTATCATTGCTATTTCAGGATAACAATGAGGATTCTTTAAGTATTCCCAACATAGTGTGCATTCAATTAATACGCAAACATTCTGTCTTTCACACACTATTTCTATTTCTTTTAGCTTCTCTCCATTTCTAAAAAAGCTAGTCATAACATTATAATCATTTACTAAAATATTTTTCGAAAAAATCATTTTTTCTGTTTCGTCTGGAAAGGATTTATATACACATTTTTTATTTACACATATCTCAATACCATTTAATTTTCCCTCATTTTTTATTTCGATACCATCTTTTGTACACTTCAATTCACATTTTTTACAAATTAAATTTTCTTTTTTATCTAAAAATTCATTTGTTTTAATTTTTACTCTTCCCCAGGCTTTAATTGGTATTTTCTCTTTACTTGTTTCTAAAAATGCAATTTCACTTCGAACATAATAGCAAAGTTGTGTACCTCTCTCATTACAATGATGATTTTCACAAAATTTTGCTGAGCCAGTTACGGGTCCTTGCCCTACACACACGTACTCATTTTCCATTAAGTCTTCTATTATTATATTTAAATCATTTACTAGTATTTTATTACCATCATAAAGTTCAATTTGATTAAATTCTTTTATTGTTCGTAATTTTGCACAATTATCTCCAGATTCTATTTTACACAATTTCGCTTTTACTTCTTGGGAATTTAATATTTCGTATACGCTTTTATTTTTTAAAGTTGAATTTTTTACGGATGGCCCATAGTAAAAGCTACATTGATTTGTCCATGAAGGACATGAGCATTTTTCCCCGCAATAATTATTATACATTTCTTTTTGTATTCTCAAATGTTTTTCTTTGCAATCAATATATTCCCAGCATAATAATCCTTGATTATCCCTTTTAATCACTAAACCGTCATGAACACATTCATGCATCTCTACGAATTTTAATTTTTCATTTTTCGTACAGGGATTCGCAACAACCGTTATTTTTGAGAGATAAATTAATAGAAGAATCAATATTATTGTTTTGCTTGTCAATTTATTTAAAATAATTTTTAAAATGTCTTTTGAACATTTTTTAATTAAACTCTTTTTATTCGTTTGATTGTTAAATTCTTTTATGCTTTCTCTAAATGGATTATATTTTAAACTATTATTTCTTATTTCAAATTTCTTCCACTCTATTTCATTAAAAGGATCATTAGGAATTGGATAGCAAGAACATGGATATGTTCTGTTAATACAAATACATCCTTCATTTCCTTCTTGACAATCACAAAAACAAGCCGACATTAAGGGTATTTTTTCTCTAAATCGATTATTTATAATGGGTTCTCTTTTAATTTTGGCATCAATTGGGTCCTCTATTAATCTTGAGTTAATTTCTCTATTTATGGGGCGAAAAGCAAAAAGCCCTCTGTTAACGGGAATAGGCTGTCTCAAAATTACAGCAACTTCTCGATCTTCTTCGTCACTGCTGCTCTCTATTTCACTGTCTGTATAATACATTATATTTACCTCATCTTCACTTTCACTTTCAGTTTCTTTATAATTTATTTTATTTACCCTTTTTCTAAGTTGCATTTTATGCTTTTCAGTTTCACCACCCTCCTTGTTTTTCTCATTTTTATCTTTGTTTCCTTTATTTTCATTTTTACTAGTTTCTTTTAAATTTTTATTTTCTTCTTCGATTGTATGGTCTGCATACAATTCCAAGGGGTATAAAAGGGCTATGGCACGTGTTAATGTTTTACCTTTCGATTTAATCTTTGCCGAGCGGATTAATCCATCTTTGCTTTTTATTAACTCAACTATTTTTGCCATTTGCCAATAATTTTTTGGGACATTTTTGTCTTGTATTAACACTATCTCATTTATATTAGGAAAATAATTTCTTTTTGCTCTTTTTTGACTATGTTTATCTATTCTTTCTCTTAGCTGACTCAAATATTCAGTTTGCCATTTCGCCCAAAAATTATTAAGCATTTCATTAGCCCTTTTCCAATCGTTAATTAATTCATCTTTTTGTGTTTCTTTTAATTTAAAATCTTCTTCATCTATGGTACCAAAATCAAATTTATTTTCATTTCTTTGGGGCATAATCAAATCAATAGGTCTTAAAATATCTAATGTATCTTCAAAATTTTCATAAATGTAAGTAAGGGGCCTTGTATTCATTATGAGTTTAATTTCTGGCAAAATAGTTCTCAGTTCCTCAAAATACAATAATTTTTTACCGATTGCCGATTTAAGACATCTTTTCATTATCTTGACTATCGCTTCATAGAAGCCACCAAACCATGGTGATAATGAAGGAATAAAGACCCAACTTATATTTTTAAGTTCCAATTTTTTCGTAATTTCATTTACTACTTTTGATGTTAATTGATATTGAGTTCCATTATCACTTATTATTTTTCTTGGTAATCCATATTCGGCCAAAAATCTTCGAAATGCCATTATACACGATTTAGCTGTTAAGTCTCTTACTATTTCTAAATGAGTAAACCTTGTGGACATGCAAGTAAAAATTTCTATCCAGCACTTGCTTATTTTTCCTTCATTATTTTTAACTTCAAATGGACCCGCGTAGTCCACGCCACAGTTTTCAAATGGTTTGGATCGAGTCACTCGTTCTTTAGGCAAACTGGGCATTTCCGGTATTTTAAAAGGCTCTAGTTTCAATTTGCGACATTCAAAACATTTATCTATAATATTTCTCATTTTCTTTCTTGCTGATGGTATCCAGAAATTAATTCGCAGTTCCGTTAAACTTTGTCTTACCCCGCTATGGAATGTTTTTAAATGAGCTTCATTACATAATAAATTAGCGAGAAATGAATTGTATGAGATAAAAATAGGATTTTTCATGCTTGTATTTTCTAGCCGACCTGCGCAAGTCCAAATTCCATATTTTTCTTTCTTCATTACCAATTCATTTATTTCTTTTTCACCTGGTGGGTGTTTAAATTGTGATTGCATTATAACTAAATATTCTGCCATTTTTCTTATGCCCACATTTGTTTTTGAATTTTTTAAGTCTTTTAAATATTCAGTATTTATTTTTACCTTTTTAATAAATTTTTTAAGGGCCAAACATATTTTAATTGAAATATTTACAAGCTTTGGGTATTCGTTTCTTACTTCCATATCTATAATTTCACCAACTAACAAATCAATATTAATTGTATTTAAATTTTCCTTTTTGTCTTTTAAAACAAGATTTGTTAGAACAGGCCATTCTGATTCATTTTTCCTTAAAAAACTGGGTCCCTCCCACCAAATTTTATGACTTTTTAACTCTTCACACAAACACCCTCTGGTCGCAAGATCCGAGGGATTATGTTCAGTTGGCACGTATTTCCAATTTATGCTTTTATTTTCTCTTAATTCGGTGATTCTTCTTTTTACAAATTTTGGCAATTTTTCTTCATTTGAATTTAAAATCCATGACAATACGCACGTACTGTCAGACCAAATATAACAATGGATTATTTCTATATCACACTCTTTTCTTATAAATTCTATCATCCTTTTTCCAGCAACAGCACCCATTAATTCCAGGCGGGGTATAGTCATAGGATTTTTCAGCGGGGAGAGACGACTTTTAGCAAAAATGATAGATGTATTAATTTCTCCTTTCTCTTGCTTTACTCTCAAATATGCAACACTTGCAAACCCTTTTGCTGAGGCGTCAACAAACACATGCAGATCAGCTATTTTTTGTTTAAAAATAGCTTGCCTTCGTATAACAAAACTTCCAAAATCGTTTTGTAAGGCTTTCCAATTTTCAATTATTTTTTCATCTATTTTATCGTCCCATCCTAGCTGATTTTTCCACAATTCCTGGACAAATAATTTTCTTTTAAAATTTACGGGAACAATTAGACCTAATGGATCAAAGGTTTTGGCTAATCCTTTTAAAACTTTTCTTTTCGTCCAAATAATTTCGTTTTCTATTTTATTTAATTTTACTATTAAAGCGTCCTTTTTCATATCCCATTCTAACCCTAATATTTTCGTGGGATTTTTCTGTTCCTTATCACCAAATAATTTATTAATCGTATCGGAATTGGCACAAAATTCATGTAGGTCCATTTTAGCGTCTTTAAAAATTTTTATAGCGTTTTTACATTTCTCTATCGCGTCCTTCTCGTTTTCTGCGCCAAAAAATACATTATCGGCGTATGTCCCTCTCTTTAATTCATTTCCAAATTTTCCACCAGATTTTTCTAGATGATGATTTATTACTGCAGCTAAAAGAAAAGGCGCAGCTATTACACCGAAAGGCATTCTAACAAAACGATATTTTATTAAATTGTCTTCAGTTGGTCCAATATTTGGATTTTTTAACCACAAAAATCTTGAGAAATTTCTTTGATTTTCTTTTAAACTTATTTGGTGAAATGCACTCTTAACATCTGAACTAATCATTATTTTTTGATTTCTAAATCTTAATAGGACACCGCAGATATCCGGGAGGAGAACTGGTCCTCTCAAAATAATATTATTTAAACTATGTCCTTCTTTTGTCTTACAGCTAGCGTCGAAGACAATTCTAACCTTTTTCTTTTGCTCGTTCAATACACAATGATGAGGAATGTAGTGGATTATTTCCTTTTCTATTTTATTTTCACATTTTTCGACAATTCCATTTTTTAATTGATCAATAATTAATTTATTATATTCTAAAAGCAAATCTGGATTTTTACTCAATTTATTCCAGACGGACTCTAACCTTTTCTTTGCTACCCATAAATTATTACTAATTTCAATTTTATTTTTTACGGGCCATTCGATTTCGTATCTACCTGTTTTGTCTCTTGTTACCGTTTTTTCGAAATGTTTTTTGGCGAATTCATCATCTTTTTCTGTTGGATTATCGGAAATCCCGAAACCCTCTAATTCCCACCAATTATGAATTTTTTGCTCACTCGTTACTTGACAAATATTAATTAATTCTGTTTTTTCCTCAATTTGTCCTTTTCCAATTATCAGATTCCCTATTTTTGTTTTTAAAATATTAAAACCAGAATTTATTTCATCAAAGTTCATTATTTTTCCCAAATAATCAATTCCTATTAATATATGCGGCTTTACATCATATAACATTTTAGAGTTTAAAAAAGTGTTTTCATTCTTTTGAAGGATCTTATTGTCAATTTTCTTTAAATTTTCTATTAAATCGTCAGTCCCTCTTGCAACAATGTTAATTTTTTCATTATTTTGTGTGTTTAATTCAAATTCAAAGACTGGCGATGTTACGACAATTGATTTATTAAAAAGTCCTTTTCCGCGAAATTTTTTATAAAATAATGGTTTTAAATTTAATTTTTCGGCAAAGGAATTCAAAATAAGGGATATCTCACACCCCGAGTCCAAAAAAATATTTGCTGTTTCACTTTTATTACCATTTATAATTTTTCCTATACCTACCGGTAAAAATGTTTGAGTTATTGTATTTTTATCACATTTTTTAAAATTATTGATTAGAACAAAATTATCATTATTATTATCAAATTTTAGTTTATTATATTTTATTTCTTTATTATCTTCTTCAATTAAATTATTAAACAATATTGGATCTTCTTCCGGCTCATTCTCCACTGTGACGCATATTCTCTTGTCCTTCTGTGAATTATTACTTTTATTCTTGTAATTTTCAAAATTTTTATTATTATCACTGGTGTTATTTGTATTACTTATTTTAACGCAAAAGGCACTATTATGTCCTGCTTTTTTACACAAATAACACAAAATTTGTTTTTTGCAATCTTTGGATCTATGTCCTTTGCCAAAACACTTGAAACAAATATTTAATTGTTTTACTCTTTCAATTCTTTTTTCTTTTGAATTATAGGTGCTACATTTATTTTCCCAGTGTACTTTATCACAAAAAATACATTTATGTGCTGATTTAATTTCACTATATTTCAAGTGTTTTCCCTGATTATTTTGCGTTTCTTTAGTATAGTACATGGCAGTAGCGTGCATTTTATGCCTTTGTTTAATATTTTTATTTCTATAGTCAATATCCTCTTTATTATCAATTTCAAAATCTTTATGAATACGATAAACATCCTCTTCGAGCTTTAAATAATCATCCAGAAATTTTAACATTCTTTTTAAATTCCACCCTATTTCTGTTCGCTTTTTTCTATAAATTTCTGATAATATTCTCTTAGGCATTTTTGACTCAATTTCTAAAATTAGCTGCTCGTGTTCTATATTTTCACCCATGTTTTCTAACTGTTTTATTATTGATTCAATTTTACGTAATGTTTTTCTAATTTCAGGTATGTATTTTCCTGAACGAGGCATTCTTCTTAAAGCTGAATGTAGACTGCACTTTATGCTCTCTTGATCTCCAAAATTCTTTTGCAGCAATTCTAAAACTATTCTATAATTTTTTGCTTCTAGAGGATACTGATCCACGAGCTCTAATGGCTCTCCTTTTAATGCACTTTTTAGATATTGCATTTTTCTTTTTTCTGGAATTACCTGATCTTCGACTGCTGCCTTAAATTCTTCATAGAAAGCATTCCAATTTTTTAATTCGCCACTAAATTCTGGCAGTTTAATTTCCGGTAATTTAACGTTAATATTTTCTGTATTTATTAAAGGGATGGAGCTCATTTTTTCTAGAGTGCGTTTATTTTCAGCTAAAATCTCTAAAATATCTCGACTTTGATCCATTACAACTAAAAACCCATTAGGTCCTGTACCAAAATTTGCATACGCTTCTTTTTCAGCTGCCCTTAGAACAGGTCCTAAACTCCCGAAATAATTGACATAATTCATATTTTGCTTGTCTAATTCCTCCATTGTATTTTTAATTTTTATTTCTAATGACTCAATCTTATTATTTAAATTTTTAATTAATTCTGATTTTTCTAACTCACTTAAATTAACGGCGATTGTAAAATCTGCGCTGGCGGCCTCGGCGTTGATACGAATGAGACGTTCCTTCAAAATTTTGATTCCTTGTTCGATTATATCGCCCATTTTGATTTCGGCGCTGATTAAAGAAGAAACGTTGTCTTATTTGGTAGGGTTGTCTTTGTTGGGAATTATAACGTCTGTCAGATCGGCGAGAATAATTAGGTTGGTGCCACTGACGAGAATAACTTCTACGATTAAAATTACGCCTTTCCGGTATATTTCTGTTTTGTTGTTCAGAAACACGCTCCTGTGGAAGTTCCTGAGGAAGTTCTGGAGGAGGTGGTGGTGGAGGAAGAAAGTATTGATAAGGCACTTGATGCTGAAAGGGGGGAACTTGTATTTGAATAACTACAGGCTGATTTTGTTCCTGTTCTTTTGCTTCTTTAGCTTCTTGTATTTTTCTATCCTTAATACGTTTATTCAGAAGCTGTACACTTTTTTTCACTAATTGCTGAGCAACACCTTTTGTATTTGATGTGTTTTTCGGAAGGGATGAAACTCTTTGAGCCCTCCCGACTTGATCAGTGTTGGACTTCAGCTTTATAAATATTTAAATTTTTGGGGCACCACTTTGTCGTATCACGACAATTTACAATAATTTTAACTAAACTTACAAATATTTATTCTTTAAAATTATACAATTTATTTGGGTGATTTGCTTTTGGGGGGAAAGATAGTAAAAAGTGAATGTCTTTTGGGAGGATTGAAAAAGTTTAAATAAGGGTAGAACAATTGCATCAGATTTAAAATTATGAAACAAAAGAGAATAAAAATATTTTGAGAAAATTGTTGAATAATAATAAGGGCAAAATATGACAATTCAAGAATTTAGAAAATATTAAAAGAATGGAAAAAAATGAATAAAAATATTTTACAAAAATAAATTTCAAATTAATAATCTTTAAATTATCTTCATATGATTTCCGTCATCTCCAACAGGGGGTATCGTTCAGACGCTCTCCGAGCCAGTGGCCAACTAGATTTCAAAACGTATCTTAAATTGAGGCGTCGTATGGAGTGATCAGGGATGTGCGCCAAAATTTCCGCGTGGCGCGCCAATCGCCAATTTTTTAAATTCTTAAAACGCGCCAAACGCCAGAATGCCAAAATTGGCTAAAAATCGACGCCAAAACGCCCGATTGCGTAAAAATTATTTTGATTCAATAAAGTCTTGAGTTATAAAAATATTCCATATACCTTAGCCATGCTTGAGGAATAAAATTTCTTCTTTCCTGTATAACAGCATGTAGCCAATGCAAAAGAAAATTAGCTTTTAAATTAGATAAACTTTTCGGGGCAATTTCCATTTCTTGGCCAAAATAATTTTGTTCCAAATTTTGTTTAATACCGGGAGGTGTCTCATATGTAATTTTCACACAAGTTTGTAAAAATACTCCAGGCAATTGTTCTTCGGGTTCGGCTGTAAGCCAAAGGCGAAACTCTCCTTTACTTAGATTTGACTGGCCTATTGTTGACTAAAATTAAAATTATTTAAAAAAAAGCATTGAATTCTACTAAATATGTTAAACGTTCAGTTTAAATCTATAAAATTTTCGGCCCAAGATAAAGGTAGATAATGAAAATCAAGATTAATTTTTATTAATTTTGGGTCCTATTTAATCGTTTTTATAAATGCCAGGCAGATGTGTGTCAGACAGTTAATCTCTTCAGAGAACGGTCTTGAACATCTCTCGGCATTCAGGATTGATATCTCGAATAATCTTAACATAGGTCTCATTTCGATTTAATCTTTAGATTTTATAAATCTAAAGAAGCCACATTTATTAGAAGATATAATTCAGTTAAACGTTAAAAAAATTATTTATCTAAAAAAGTTCTCTCACCGAGATTTCTACCAATAATTTCCCAAGTAATGAAGGGGCAGATAAATGTGCATTACTTAAACAAATCCAATCCCCGTCCTTAAAACACTGTCTAAGCATTTGTAAAACAATAGATTCCGTCCCAGGTTGGCCAAAAGCCATTTGATGAAATTTTCTTTGTTGTTGTTTAGCAAATTCAATTAATTCGGCACTAGGATCAGCAGAAGAGCCAGGGGAGACTAACAAAAGAATTGGACGAGAAGAAGGCTCTTCTTTATGTATAGCAAGTAAATCCAAATGTTGAGAACTTAGAGATTCTATTCCAAGAACTTTTGATGCAAAACGATTTATTCCTGCATGGAGACGATCGGGGCGGAGAGCCTGTTATTTAACGATAAAGTTTGTAATAAATATACAGTCAACTCCTATTTATAATGAAACTCGCCATATGATCCTAACTAGCAATTAGATTATTTTTCTCCTAAAATAAGCCACTCTAAAGGTTAATTTTAAAGTCATATTCTCTTGATTCTAAAAATCAGTGGTCTAATAATTCACCGATTTGTGCATTTCATTTTTGCCGCATTATCATCATAAACTAGTCTTAATATTTCCTTAAATATTTTAAAAGAAAAGTACACCTGAATAATCAAAACTCTCTGAAAATCACTAAGACGCGAATTAATACTAGGAGGATATGCATTTTCACATTCAGTCGATTTCATAAAACCAGCCCAAGCCTGTTGATCATTAATCTGCATTTGCTGAAAAAGAGAAGGCAAATGTGTTCGAATAAGTTCAATTGCTTGTTTTTTATCACGATAATCTGACAGCCATCCAATTTGGGATAATTGACTATACTATAAATTTGAATAGTTGAAGGGGGAATTTTTCTGAAGAACATACATTTTCTCCTACATTTTCAGAAGGTAATTGTAAAACACCAGTAAACAATTCCCATTCCTTTGGGGCAAATAAATGTTGTCCCCCTCCTCCAGAAACAGCTTCCTGGTGCAAATATTGCATTGCAAAAGTCAATCTGTCCTCTTTGAACAAAGAAAGTGAAATATATTCAAACAATTTTTGTCTCAAACGGCGATAAATCCTTTGAAAAAGTTAAATAGAAATCATAATAAAGGAAGGGACATTTAAACGAGATCGGACATAGGCAAGAGAGAATCTCTGTTAGAAAGACAAAGATTCTCCAATTTCAAATGTCTTGATTTCCCAAAAAAATAAAAATTATCATTATTTCCACTCCTCAAAATCTCATAATTGACCTCACCTTTCCAAGTGACTTTTTCCTCCTTCCTCTGACCCAGTAGTTGTTTTAGGCCGTGTATCGTTTACATTATTAGAATCAAAACATTTTCGAAACAAAGCAATACAATCATTTACACTATATTGATAACAAGATTTGATACTATTTAATGGACGTATGGCAAAGTAAAGTTGAGCACAACGCTCAGCAAAGGGTCTGAATGCCTCACGTTTCGAGTCAATTTCAGCACGGAGCCGTTTGGATTCGACTATTCCCTAATGAAAAATTGAATGATTTTTCATGTTTTTAACCTACTTTTGCAACTTTCTCAGCCTTTTCTTTGCTCTGATTTAGAGATTCTAAAAGAGAGTTGTTCTCAAGTAAAGATCCCTCTGATTTTGCTAATTCCTCTAATAAAACTTGTTCAATTTGGTCAAGCTGTACTTGAAGGCTTTCCATTTGACTGCTTAATTGAGCAGAATTACGTTCCAATTCTGGCTGTTCTATTTGAATTGCTAAGCCTAAAAGTTGCGAAGCAAGGCCAGAACGAGTGACAGAAAAGTTAACTTCAGTGAGTGAACCACGAATATGTTCACCTAACCGGTTATGTTCATTCCGAGTGCAAAGGAATAAACGAAATTTGTCATTGAAATCAACCTTTTAACAAAATGTTTTTTAATTTTAAAGAATTTTGAGCACCTGCTTTTCTCCCAATTGAACAGTCAATCGAGTTCCAATACTTTTAAACTCACGACGGAGTAATGGAACTAGTGATGGTTCTATATCGTTGTCTAATTCATCGACAATTAATGTTTTCCCAAAACGAACGCCTAATTCAATCTTAATTAAGAAATTTTTACTTCTATATTTTTTGTTATAGTATACATAGTATCTATTTCCAAAAATTATTTTAAGAATTTTAAGGGCATTGTGGCAGATGCGGACCGACTTTTACGGCTGAAACTTGCGGCCAGATATGTTCGAATCCGACACTTACTGTTGCAATCGACACATGCGGAGGGGTGGGCAATTATGCTTGAACCAGAGATAGCTATTTAATTCCTAAGGCTGTGCAGGAGGCGATGCGTAATGAATAACATATCAGTCCGGTCTACTGGAGATGCTGGTTAGCTTCCAGCCGTCTTATATCTTTTACACAAGCTAATGCTGTTTACATAAAAACGTCTTGCGTTTTGCGGCAAAAAATAGCATTGGGAAGGAAGAGACGCAATTTTGTCTCTACTCCATTTGAATACTATTTCTTGCCGCAACAGCATAAAGGAGAGAAATAGCTATAGCCCAGCTTGCTTTACTAACGTAAGACTTCAACCCCCCCCTCCCTCCCTCCCCGTTAAGAGGGATCGAGGGAAATTAGGGGAGATAGAGAGATTAGAGAGAGAGAGATATTAAGAGAGAGTTAGGAGATACCAAACTATGTTAATACATGTCTACCTATAACAAATCAATGTTTAATATATTTCAAAATTTTTTATAGAGCGTTTAATCATGTGTCCTCATTTTAATTATAGGGAAAAAATTTAAAAAGGACAACTTACCTTAAAGTGCTTTTTATTTATTAATTTTATTTTTTAAGAAATATTCCATATTTAAAATACAACTTATTATAAGATACAATTTTTCAGCCCCCAAAGGTGTATTTTAACAATAATTTAGATAAAAATGAATATTCATATAATCATTATTTTATTTATAATTTATTTGGAAAATTATAACAAATTTGCAAACGGTAGAATAACCACAACAATCAAAGTAGAAATTAATTCGGATTGGTTAAAAACGAGAGAATATAATTATTTAAAAAATAAAACCCCCGAAAAACGTTTTTCTTTTAAAAATTTGATTGGAGAATATTTAAACACAAAGGAGGATAAAAATTATTATTCAATATCTAGAAAGTATAGATATACACCAGAAATAGAAATAGCTAAAAACAATATAGTCGATGAAATAATTAGTTCATTACCAAAACAAGTATACTAAAAATTTTATTTATAAATTGTTTTGTAGAAAGCAGATGTGGTCGGAACAGTTAGAGGTGTCGGAAATCGGAAGAGCCGGAAATCGGAACTGGCTCATAAGTTGGAACTTGGAAATCGGAAATCAAAATTTTTTTCGGAAATCGGAAATCGAAATTCCGACACACCTCTGGTAGAAAGGCAGACTTAGAGCATCTACAAAGAGCATCTAACACTTAGAGCATAAGGCTAGGTTTATAAACTAAGGCTGGCCTTAGTTTCCGCGAAACCCAGCATGAACAAACCAAGATAATAAAAATACAAGCTTGACCTCTACTCACTTTTTTTCTTTCCTTAAAATTCGCAAAATGGTCTAACCTCTAGGAAAATAGTGTTTGACCGTTTTGCGTCTTTTGAGAAACGAAAAATTGAGAAAGAGGGTGAATCTTTAAATTCCTAAGGGTTTTACAAGTATTAAAAAAATTAAATTTAAGATAATTAAAAGAATGTTAGTAGGTGAAATAAGTATTCTGGAAAATAAAAAGTCTAAAAATTATATGAAAATGAATTTAAAAATATCAGCAAAGGAAAAAATAAAAAATTACAATGAGGAATTGAAAAACAACTATTGGACATTAATTAATTTAGCTGCATATAAAATAGAATTATTAAAAAAATATATTAAAATAGTGGAGAATGAAGACGAAAAAATTAAAATTAAAAAAGAAATTGATAATTTAAAGGAAAGGATTGAATTGGAAGGTAATTTTAGTATAAAATTTTTCTTAATTCGAACAAGATGCTGTCAAATATCACTATGGCGCACACAATATTAAATAAGACTTTTAATTTAAAATAGGGTTGGCTAGCCGAGAATAGGGGTATCGGCTGTCTTGTATTGTTGACTAATGTTGGCCATTCATAACAAAAAAAATGTCCATTCATAAGTCATGAAAAATTGTAGTAATCAATTATAGTGTTATATGATGGGACGCATATACTATTTTATGAACGTATATACTCTGAAGGGACACACTAATTTTAGGACGCATATATTTGGGGCGCAATCTTCTTGGGACGCATGTATGTACTATGATGATTCTCTCATGGGACGCATAAAGGTTCATGGGACGCTTGCCCTATACTAGAGACGAAAATAACTAGATTAAAACTTTAAAATTTAATAGGTGGAAAGATAATGGAATTAACAAAATATGTTTGTTTTTAATGATTATATTTATTTTAAAATTTAAAGAAAATTTCAGGAAATTAAATTAGAAAAATTTATTTATGGCTTCAAATACACTAAATATGATATTACTGAATTATCTAGAGAATTTGAACTTGATGAAGTGCAATTGCGTGTATGTCTTTGTTAAAAATTAATTTAATTAATTTGTTTAAAATTTTCAGAAAATAATCAAAGTATGTATTTGATATATACCTATTTCTCCCAATACTTTTTCTTTTCTTCTAATTTATTACCAGGTAGAGGTTAAGCGGTATCGGGATTTAGAGAAAAACCCGGGATCGGGATTTAGGAATAGTGATCCCGATCACGGATCCCGACACGGGATCGCCTTCCCAAAAAACGGAAGGCTAAATAAGGCGGACAAAATAACTTACGGCAGGCGAACACGGAAGCGGAAGCGTAAAAAAGCGGAAGACAGTCCATCCATGACAACTATTAAAACAGTGGGACCTCGAAAATACTAATTTCCGATAATGCGTCGCCTACGTCCGAAGCTTTGGTTCCTAGGGTGTTATATTATTGAGATACTACTGTAACAGATTTTAACTAAATAAGGTAAAAAGAAGCTCGTACAAATTGAATGGAGTAAAAGTTAAAACAATTAAAACAAATTTTAATAAAATAAAAAATAAAAATTCAACAAGAAATTCAGGTTATATTTTTAAAACTACAGCCAAACTCCATAATAAGATGACCCTTTAGCCGATAAAGTTATACCTTTATATTATACCTTAATCGAGATTTTAATGATAGAACTTGGAAAAAAAATGTAGTTTTTCGTATTTATTCATGCTACGATTTTATAATTTAAAATAGGTATAATATTTCATAGAAGGTTTATGAGGACTATTGAATGTTTATGGAAATAATTAGGGTTGCCAGCTCGCCCGAACCGAAACTTGAAAATCGAGCGAGCCGTGGCTTTTCAGCTCGAAAAGCTCGAAAACGAACCAAATCGAAAAAATCCAAGCTCGAAAAAATGCACCGAACGTCGGCTCGAACCGAAAACGGCAACCCTAAAAATAATTATCACCTTATAAACTTCTATGAAAGTTTCAAATTAATTGGACAAGGAGAAAATACGAAAACCTGACCTTATAACAATTTCCTACCCCAATCGGATCCCCTCTACATACCAGGGATGGGGCCTGCGGTATTTTAAAAATGGAAGGCGGGAGAAGGGGAAACAAAAAAAGAGTATCTAGAAGAGTCAAAAAAAGACGGAAATGAAAGTTTCATCCCCACTAATCCCCACTAATATTTAATTAAATAAAAATTTTCAGTCAAAGTGTTTAATGTTTATTTGAATGAAAAACCATTAATTTTGACTGGTGTAGAATTTAAAAGAATTACAGTATATAGAATTAAACATCCTTTTAATAAATTACTCGAGAATTATTCTCTTGATTTCAACTTTAACCAATTTTATTTTAATAAGAATAAAAAATTTAAAAAAGTAAAAAAAGTTCAAAATCCTGTAAAAAGATGGGTAAATATTGAAATTAATTATTTGGAGGATATTAAATTGTGTAAATTAACCCATAAAATTGAGATTGAAGAAGAAGAGTTTACTAAAATGATTAAAGATGAAGAGGATATTGAAATTAAATTGGAAGATATTGAAGTTTAGAGTTAGAGAATTTTTTTAAAATTATTGAAACCCTTTGTCACATACCGTAAATGCTCAAATAATTACTCTGGGTAATTATTGTTTCGATCTTTCGCTGTATGGGGTAATTAATCGAGAGGAGGTGCTAAATTTGGGGTATATCTCAATAGATCGAGAAGGAAATCTATTTATTTTTTGATATTATGTCTTAAAATGTTTCAATAATTAAAAATTACAATGATTTTTTCAATATTTTTAAATTTTGTGTATGAAAAAGAGGGGGTAATTATTGTTTCGATCTTTCGCTGTATTAAAAGGAGTAATTATTTGAGAGAGGCTAATTGTTCAAGCATTTACGGTAACAGAGGTGTGCCGAAACAGATTTTATAAAGCGAAACGCGAAAGGCAAAATTAAATTTAAAAAGTAAAACGCGAAATGGTAAAGTCGAAAAAAACGCGAAAATCCGCGTAAGGTGAAACGCGAAACTGGCACACCACTGTTACATAACTAATAATTGAAGTCCCTTTGTAATATATCCCTATGCTATGTAAATATTCCATTGTTATATAAGATAAATACTATTTTTCAATCCTCTCGTAGAGTGTGCTTATATTAGAGACTGTGCTTGAAATAGAGACTATGCTTCTATTAGAGCATTTACGATAATTATTAATTAAGGATAGTAGTGCTGTTTAAAATATGGAAAATTTATAGAAGTTGGGTAATTAATGAGAAAATATGTATGTTATTTTAATCAACGATTTGGTTTTCTAAATTATAAAATTAAAAAAATAACTTGCCTGTGTCATTAAATCAGACTGACTGGCAACAAGTAATTGAGCTCCACCCTCAGCTTTTTTTATTTCCTTGAAGTAATTAAAAAGAAAGGAGGCAATAGTTCCACTTGGATCTATCACAAAAGGTGTTTGCTTGCTTCGGAAAATTATAGCTCCATTTTCAAGAGCTAATCGGTTAGAAGGAATTCCAGCTTGTTTCCAATTTAATTGTTCACTTTCTGTTGATAAAAAGCGAAGAATATCGAATCCTTCAGGCAGTTGAGGGAATTGCGATTGCCAATTTTGCATTGTACGGGTTCGAACTTCTTCCGTGCTGGGTCCCAAGAATGTTAGAAAGGCAGCACCTTAATAAAATTTAAAATAAAGTTTGAAGACGTTGTTGACTACACTGGTGCTTTCTGTTAAATTTTTTCCCAAAATTAATATCAAATAATATTATATCACTTGTTCTCATGCTATGAATATTGAGAATTTTCTCTAAGATTTGGTTAATCTTTATGTGCTTTATCTGAGGTTATCACAACAGATTAATCACCCCCGGGTTTCGGCTATTTTTTAGACCCCGTTTTTCATTTTATAGTAGGGTTAAACCCCCGTTCCACGGGGCAGGGAATTCCCCGGAGAATGGGGGGAGGTCTCCCCCCCTCCAGACCACCCGTTCCCCGCCCCCGAATTCAATTTTCAGGTTTATTTGGCTAGCGGGTCTTTAAATAATAATTCAAAAACAAAACCTAAAAGACAACAATTCTCAATTGTTGCCAATTCTGTTTCTAATTGTTTACTTTGTTGTTGCCAACGAGTGTATTCATCACCTAATCTCTCTACTAGAGTACTCGCAACAACTAAAGTTGCCTGTTCTCTTTCCAACCCAATTTTAATTTCAGTTGCTTCTTTCATATAAACTTCAAAATTTGATTTTAAACTTTCCACTCGTTTATCTACAGTTTTTAAGCCTTTTGATAAGGAGGCCATTTGTTTTTCTGCAGCATTTAAATTACGTTCAAGAGTTTCTTTCTTTTGCTCTAACGGCGCAATTTTTTCTACAATTAATGCATATTGTAGATTGGCGCTAACCCATGCTGCTAGTGGGGCGGCAGCTAAAGAAATAAAAGTTAAATTAGAGATTAGACTTTGGAGTCGAGAAGGGGTCCGAGACTGAAGATTTCAAAGACTCTAGACCAAGCTACTTTCAAGAATAAATAATAGTGAGATGCTAATCTCGCAAAATTTTTTGGTTTCAAGATTATCTGTCGATTTGTCATTGTAGAAAACTTGTGATTATCGATATCAACTCCCGAAAAAACTATTTTCCAAACATTATGGAATCAAATCGAGACCAAGACCATAAAAGCCAAGTCTTGAATCAAGACTCAGACCAAGAGTTTCGACATCTCTCGATCACAAAATTTTGACGCTTGGGATATGTGAACTTCGATTCATTTTTAAACTCCAACCTGCTGACGCCCTCTTAGCATTTTTAGGATCAAAGGATGTTGCCTTTGACTTGACTAAAGCACTAACACGTTTTGCCGTATCTGGTGATATTCGTCGGGCATCAAAATTAATTATTTCCTAATATTAAAAAGTATATTTTTATAAGTTATTTAAATTTAAATACTTCTTTAACACCACTTTTGGCTAAAAATTTTCGCATTGCCTTAAAAATATTTTTAAGAACTTTAAAGAATTTTTATTCACCTCCCACGAAACATCTAAAATACCCATAAAAAACAGAACAGCTTGTAAAATATCCCTAATAGCTTCTGGAGGAGCGCGCAAACTTCTTACTTCTGATAAACTTTCAGATTTAATTGAACCAACAGCTTCTCGAGCTTCTTTTAACAATGGCTCAACCTAAAATAATAATTAAAAATTAGTAATAAATAGGTGAATTTTGGTATGATTCGACCTATCTTGCCGAGATGCGTTGGAAGGTAATAAAAGGCTCGTATTAGTAGGAAAAACACAATAGAGATGTATTCCGAGAAAGGAATACCACCGAGAGAATATTTCCATTCCGGGATTTTCCCATAATTTAACGCGTCTTTCAATTGTCTCAGGATACCCGAATTTCTCATTCACAAATAAAATGACTTAAAAAACTCAACTCGCTTAATTGTTGATCAATAAGCTTTTTCTGCTCCTCAATTTTCAAATTTTCAGCTTCAGTAGCACTTTTCAATCCCTCCATATCAGCCTTTTGTTCATTTGCACTAGTCATACTTTTAGTTATTTCTGCAAGTGCAGAATCTGCCTCCGCCTGTTTTTCAGCTAATTGTTTTGATTTTTTAGCTGCCCTTTTTTGAAGTTTAGCAACAGCAGTTCTCGTTTCTGTTAATTTTGTAACACCCCCTCTAAGAGAATTTACACGTCTTTCAATTGTTGCCCTTTTTGCAGACAAAAGTTGATGGAAATTTTCTACAAAAATTGAAAAACGTTCGGGTGATTGACTTTCTGAAGGTGCCAATTGAAATAATTGAACAAATGATTGTAACAACCAATTAGCTGGCGGTTGTGCATTTTTGTCTGAATCATCTTTCTTTTGTATAAGAGATAATTCGGCAATTTGTTTTAGCGTTTCAGGAGATAAATTTGGTTGCCAAATCTGTATTAAAAAAGGTAATAATAAAAATATTTCAAGTAATAGCGGTTTCAATTTTAAAGTTTCGATAACAAAGAGCTTTACTCCCGATGGATGTGTTTTCTATCTACTAGCATGCTTCTTTCCCTATTAATTTTCACAATACAAGCTCCAGAATTCACTAGTCGCTATCACTAGGAATAGTGACCCACGAATCGTGGAAAGCCAAGATTTTCGATTTACCAGAATTAAAGTTGAATTTACATACAATATTACATCGCTTATAAAGCGACGGATTTGAAAGAATCCTTGATGCAAATTTTTGATGTCCAGTATTCATAATCATAGCTACATGAACATTCTGCTGAATTTTGTAAGCGAAATAATCATGCAGATTTCCTGTTGTACTTCCCCCTCCTCCAAACCCCTCTTCCATTGCAGAATCTCTTAAAAATGAACTTGACTGGTTTTGATATAATCCAAGTACCTCAGACGGGACAGGAGTGAGTCAACTTCCTGTTGACTATTGTACAATCCTGGTACATTCCCTGAGGCAATCAAAGAGTTGATGTGTTGAAGGAATGATTCATCAAGCAACTGGTAATCCTCTATTACTAGCAGTACTTGTTCACCATCCACACAAGCCATTTGAATTGCATCTCTCAAGTCTTGATTGAATTGCCGCAATGAGTAAGAAGAGGAGACACGAAGATTACAAAGTCTGTTTAAGTAAATTAGAAGTTAACATTTAAGAAATATCGTATAAATAATGACAAGATATTTGAGGGGTATAACCAGATCTACCGGTATAATGGTATAATCAGGGCTTATAACTAGAGCTTCGGCCCTCTTATTTGGAGAAGTGTATTTGCTTAAGAGAAGATTGCTTTCTCAATGAGCATTACTCAGATAATATTCAGAAATAAGTGCTTCTCAATCAGGTAACAGATCCTATTTAGGAGCTTGTTCCTGAAAGATTGGAATCTTAAGAGATTTGAATTGGTGGGAAAAATGGGACTGTCCGATTTTTGATTTTTTGAATCTAATATATTACTTCATTTGATGCATTTGACTCATAATTTCAATCGCAGCTCTGCTTCCAATTCCTGACTGTCCGGCCAACAAAACTGATCCTCCTGATGATGTGAGAGCTCTAAAAACAACTAAAAAATTATTTTTCAGAATTTATCCAGCCTGTCCAAAGCTAGGCACATTTCCATAAATATATCACTAATAGGCAAAGAAATAGCTTCTTCATAATCAGCCTTCAACCGATTGATAGCCCGTTGTAGTTGTGAAGAATAATCTGATTTGCTAATAAGTTGCATAGACTTGCCCCCACGTTTTTTGTTTTCTTTTGTTAAAATTCCTGTCACTGGTGCATAAATTAAAGATCTTTCACGTAGAGGAAGATGCTCATTAAGAATAGTTTGTAATTGTAAACGATGTTCAGTACTTATTAAACGATCGGAAAAAATTCTAAGAGCTTCAAAATAAAGACATTGATAGAGTTGATCGGTGTCTGCTGAAAATATAAATTAAATTAATTTTATAATTCTTGAACCAAATCATTAAAATTTCTAGTTATTCGGGTAAGATAATGTTAGTCAACGGCTTCTTCCTCCGCAAGGAAATACTATTATCATTTTTTTAAATATAACATCAAAACACTCAGAAATTTTTATAACCAAACCGTTCCTTTTCCTCTCCTTTTCTCACATATTTAGAGGTATTAGCTGGAGCCATGAGGATTGAAAGTTGAGCTCCGGCTCCAGCATTTAAATTTTTCCGGTATCATACAAAAGCCGATTTTCATTTACTTTGTTATAGTAATCAATGTGTACGGAAACTTGCAAATTTCCATAATACAGATTCATAACTTCAACCTCCATACATTGCCCATTAAATCGAGACGGTCATAATTTTATTAAAAACCCAAAACTTAAGTAAATACTATAAATGTTTTTTACCCTCATCAAGATCATAACGTTGTAAACTGCAAACCCAATTTGACAAATCACCAGTAGTAAAAACATAATGAAAATGTTCATTGGGTGTAAATATTTTAGTTAATTTAATAAAAGTAGTTGCCATTGCTGAGACAATCATTTCAATTTTACTAGAAGAATTGTTAGAGCCTCCTTTAGATATTTTTGAATCAAAAAATGGCCGAAGATTTGTAGCACAGATTGACTTTAATTCTTTCTCATCTGGTGAATCCAAAATAAGAACACGTAGTTTGGAAGCAAATCTGTTTATTTAAGAAAAAATTTTATAAAAATAATTTATTCATTAAATTTAAATTCGTTAAGCTTGGATTCCTCCCATCAAATATTTGTTTGAATACAAGCTAATTTTTATCACCTTTTTTATTCTATTCGAAATCAAATTCGGTTTGATCAAATTCAAAAAAAATCTCTGTTGTATTACCAAAAATTCAATGTAGATCAGGGTGGCCTTTTCCAAACCACTAAAATAGGGCGCAGGTACTCAAAAATAGGGAAAAAATAGGGCGAAATCGGTCAAAAGTAGGGCAAAAAATTGGAATTATTTTAAAAATATAAAAATAATTAAAATTTTGAATAAAAATCTTTATTCCGCATGTTTTCGAATAGTTTTAACTAAATTGAGCAGATCAAGATGAAGCTGTATCGACCACGACCACGGTCGTCGACCACGACCACGTCAAGATGACTGTCGTTGACTACGACCACGTCAAGATGAATGTCGTTGACCACGACCACGGTCGACGACCACGTCAAGATGACCGTCGTAGACCACGACCACGTCAAGATGACCGTCGTTGACCACGACCACGTCAAGATGACTGTCTTCGACCACGACCACGTCAAGATGACCGTCGTAGACCACGACCACGGTCGACGACCACGTCAAGATGACCGTCGTAGACCACGACCACGTCAAGATGACCGTCGTTGACCACGACCACGTCAAGATGACCGTCGTAGACCACGACCACGTCAAGATGACCGTCGTTGACCACGACCACGTCAAGATGACCGTCGTTGACCACGACCACGTCAAGATGACTGTCTTCGACCACGACCACGTCAAGATGACCGTCGTAGACCACGACCACGGTCGACGACCACGTCAAGATGACCGTCGTAGACCACGACCACGTCAAGATGACCGTCGTTGACCACGACCACGTCACGATGACCGTCGTAGACCACGTCAAGATGACCGTCGTTGACCACGACCACGTCAAGATGACTGTCTTCGACCACGACCACGGTCGTCGACCACGACCACGTCAAGATGAATGTCTTCGACCACGACCACGTCAAGATGACTGTCGCCGACCACGACCTCGGTCGTTGACCACGACCACGTCAAGATGACAGTCGTTGACCACGACCACGGTCGACGACCTCGTCAAGATGACTGTCGACGACCACGACCACGTCAAGATGACTGTCGCCGACCACGACCTCGGTCGTCGACCACGAATACGTCAGGATGACCGTCGTCGACCACAACCACGTCAAGATGACTGTCGTCATCTTGAAATTTTAAAAATTGATAAAAATAGGGCAAAATATGGCAATTGTACAAAATAGGGAAAAAAGGGCGAAAAGATCAAAAATAGGGGAAATCCTCTATAAATAGGGTAAAAAGGCCACCCTGATGTAGATTAAACAGATAGTTCTCCACATGAGTGGCCGGTCGCCCTATCTTTTAATCCCCTGTCAAAGGGCACTCTAATGAATATTGCCGTTCAACTGGAGACGACCGCTCAATTGGAGAAAGTATGATATAATATGTATGTTTGTGTATTTGATATGCTATAACCTCGCTCCTTTTTCTGTTTATCCCCATTTGTGCTTATAGCTTGTGTTTATCAGTCTTCGTTCCTTTATGTGCTTATTTTTATCGTATTAAAATTAGATACCTTTCTGGTAAAGGAAATCTTTCTGCTCCACTTGCAGTTGAAACGTTTAAAATAATTTGGACATTTTCTAATCCAATCCATTCCAAATTTTTATCGTAAAATCCATTGTAGTCCAATGCTTGCTCAAGAAAAGCAATTAATTGGGAAGTGCCGTAAATATCTGTTGCAGAAAGATTTGGAGATTTTAAATGTAATAATAATCGTTCATGTTCTTTCGGCTTTAACACACGACCGCTTGAACCTCCACTGCCGCTTACTTGAACACAATGTTCTAACAACTAAATAATTGAAATAAATGTTGCAAAAAAACAAAAATTGACAAGATTTTTGTCCAAAATATCTAACTGGATTTTTGGGATTTAAAGTAGAGTTGCACGAGATCGATATCTCGACCGAGACCGAGACGAGAATCTCGGCCATTTTCCAATCTCGGTCTCGGTTTTGCCGAGACGAGATCACCTAACCGAGACGAGATTCTCGGCACTTAATCTCGCCGAGATCCGAGATCAGTATACACCCCTAAAGATTGACCTTCTTGAGATTTATTTTTATTTTGACAAAATATTTAAAATTTCGCTATTGGTATATTGTTGTGCTCACTTTAATTTACTTGTCTAGAGAGCGGAGCAGGACAAAAAAGCGCGGCCGAATACACATCAATCTTCGCGGAAAAAAGTTTTTGCCGCTGCGGGGGAAGCCCGGCATGTCGAGCGGAACGACGGCCGCCGCTTCGCTACGGTCGCCGCGACCATTCCTTACCTGGGACCATTCCTTACCCTATTCTTCGAAATTTCTTAAGGTTATAATCTTTTTCTGAAATTTTTAAAAGTCGGCTATAACTTTCAGAAATGTCCCCTACCCTTTATACTTAAGTCTTTCTGGAGAAATGGTGGAAAAAATTCTAGTTGTAAAGGCAAATATGGATAAACTGTTGCTTGGTCCACCAACTGAAATTGATTCTGATGAAACAGATGATTTTGATGATGATTTAGATGATATTTAATTAATTTAAATGGGTTTTGGTGGATAAAAAAAGTTTTGAAAAATCTCGGTTTATCTCGGATCTCGATATCGGTCTCGGGTCAAATTTTGCATCTCGGTCTCGGTCTCGGTCATGCGGGTCTCGGTCAATCTCGGTCTCGGATTTTTTCTAAAATCTCGATCTCGTGCAACTCTAATTTAAAGCCAGAAATTGTGGAATCTTTGGTCTCCGAATTTTTGTGGAGGGGATACCGTATATCAATGTTAAATATGAACAATAAGAGTATTTGGTAGGGCTGACAGATGTCAGTAATCAGTATCGAGATTCTGATAATGGCCAACCCTAATATTTAGTGTTAATTAATTCTTATATCGTAGACAGTTATTTCAAAAATCCATTAGAGCCTATCAATCAGGGCTGTCCACAACTGAAGATTGTGGACTGCGGATTGCGTGAAATTGGATGTTTTTTGGACTTGCGAACTGCGGATTGCGGTTGCGGAAAATCTACTTTCAATTGCGGACAGTCCTTCTATTAATACCTATCAACTTATCTAAAAAGCATTTTTATTATTAGAATATCTAATTTCCAAATAGTAATTCAAATATCTTTTCCTTCACCAAAAAATTCAAACTGACCAATTGTTCAATATGTAAAGCATTACTTTGTGCTCCACAATGCATTGTTAAAAGACAAGTTCTTTGTAATATCCCAGTTTCTTCAAAACAACTTTTTAACAAATATTCTTTACCAGAACCATCTGGCCCTAATAAAAGAATATTTTCAAATTTTGGATAAAAAGAAGTTATTTCTGATTCGTTTATTTTATTTTGTTGGGTTTTATTAATTTGGAGCCATTTAAGAAGAGTTTCTCTAGCTGTTTGCATTCTTGGACTTATTAAAATATTTAAATTATCAAATGTTGTTAGAATCTAATAAAATATGTAAAGTCGAGTTTATTTTATTAATTTAATTTTTGGTTATTTTGATGGTAAAGTGATTCATATAAAAATCTATCGAGGATTGTAGAACCTTTGAGAAAATAAGGAAATTCGACCGTAAAACAGAGATGGGTCACATTGAGAATATAGAAAAATTTTTACTATTTATCGGGTCGGAGGTTCGGGTCGAAAAAAGTTCAAATTTTGGATAACTCGATTCACCCTTACTGTGAGACCATTCTACTATATTGTAAAGCGGAAATAAGATTGAGAAATATGTATTAAATTAACTTTCCCAACGACCCTGCCTATCCATAAACAATATAATCCTGGAAATAAGCGAAGGAAGGATCAGTCCATTAGGCAGTCCGTCAATCAATCAAGTGAATTATCATTATTATTTATTGCCCGATAGGTGGAACTTGTCATCACCCGTTTAATCGCTCGTAAGGAGTGAGCGGTAAATATTGTCCGGCCGGACTAACAACATTAATTAATTAGTATCCCCTTATATTCTATTATTCTTGGCTCATTATTGGGTATGGATTCAGCAAACTTCCATACTCTGGAACAGAGAGAACACTTTAGAAAATTTTCAGTGATCGAAAACTGTGAAAAATAATTTTTAAAGTTCATGTAAGATTTTAGGTTGGTCTCTATTCAAGATAAGATTAATGAGAAAGTTGGATATCCCAAAATATTTTTTCTAAAAATTAGATAAATTTCTTTACATTTCCATCATCTTCACTATAAGCCATCAAAATATCACTACGAGAATCTGCAAAAATATTCAAAGGCGCTCTTGGATCAGGCAAAGATATTCCATTAAATACTACACGTTCAGCAAATTCGTTTCTAGAATCGAATTCAATATAAGGAAGTAAAGTTCTCAGAACATAAACCAAAAATTGATTTAATGTTTGGATATATCTGATTTGTGATAGTACATTTTTTACGATACCTAAATTGAAAAAAAGAATTTTTAGTTAAAATTTTTATAATACAGTCAACAATTTTAACGCCAAAATAAAGCACCTACTCTTTAATTCAAAAAATAGGTATTTTTTAATATTTTTGACTTAGTTAGGTACTGACAGTGGGTACCGAATGGTTAGACTGAATTTTTCAATTTCAAGGGTTTATTGAGATCCGACTGTATTTTGAGATTCAAATTTATTTAAATAATTATTTAAATTATTTTAACAATATACTTACCAACTTGGCTACAAATAAAGTCCCTATTAAGATGTTCAAAGGTCCATTCAACGGCTGGCACTAAATGCTTGTTAATCCAATCAGGCAATTGGGCTGGTAAAGAATGCCCATATTGTACAATAAATCTTGGAATAAATTATTTTATTTTCTGATATTTTATTAGATCTCTTGAGCATAATAGTAAATGATCTACTCTCAATTTCGACTTTCAATTTCTGAAACCCTACTAGATCCTCAACCCAAAACATTATTTTTACCTGTCAATAACAGATTTCAAGGGCAAATCTTCTCTACTCAATAAGATCATCCCTACACGGGAGATAGTTGCTGGAGAAGCATGACTCAGATCAACACATTCAAAAATAAAATTGACATTTGGACCGAATTGTATTCGTTCTCCAGAAGGTAAAGTCAATAATCGGTTATCGTCCAAAACAGAATTTAAAGCTTCAATCCATTCTGGATCAACATCTCCATCACAAACAATCCAAGCAGGTTTCCCTGGATCTCGAGTTGCAACGCGAGAGGCTTGACTTAGTGTTCCATCCGTCCATTCACGAGTGTCAGGTTCCAAATTTCCAAGAAGTCGTGAACGTGGCATTGATTTTGGATTCATTCTTTAAAATTATTTAAAGCTTGATTAAAGTGAATGAATCCAACTAGTTGAAACTCTTCATAAACTGAACTCTTCCAATACCCCAATTAGGAATTCTTTCCCAAAATTATCCTCTATATAGTGAACCTCTCTCTATAATGAACACTTCCCACCGGTGCTTATTTAGCTACATATGTATTTATTTACTTGTAGACATCAATCATTTGAAAACCACTATTAGACAAAGCTCCCTGTAGTAAATGCCAAAGTGTAGATTTCCCAGTTCCTGGTGGCCCAACAATTATTACACCGACTCTTTGACGTAATTGTTCATAAAGTTCAAAAATTTTGTGCATTTGGACTATACTTAGAGTTATTTGCATATTTTGAGCAGCACGTTCCAAATGTGGACGAAGTTCATCAAATTGCATCTAAAACACATTTATTTAAGAAGAATGAGCTAAATATTGTTTAGTTTGGCTCATTTTTACCACCTACATATCAACCTGCCTCTTTGTGTAAGACCTCAACGAGGTTCAATTTTAATTAGATTCAAAGAGACTTCCTATATTTCATAACTTTGATAAATAAATTGGCACCGTTCGATTTGGCACACCCGGAAAAATATCTTCTAATAAAATCCTAAAACGTTGCGCATCTTCAAAAGTTAGTTTAGACATTGTATTTAAATGTAAATTTTGAACAATAAGTTCCCTTTCCTCTTCAACTGTTAATTTTTGTTGTTTCTGTTGACTTTTAATATCTTGTCTTCTTTTAGCTATTGAATCTGCACATCCTTTTAATACTGTTTTAAGAGCTCTAAGTCCCCAATCATAATGTTGTTGAGTACTCAGCATTGCAGAGGCAAGTGAAAATGTTGTAACCAATTTTTTGGCTAGAGATTTTGCCTGGGAATTTTTAAAAGTTGGATTAACCCAATAAATGTATACTTGTGTATAACCCTCCGAAAAAAGCAGAGTTTCGGCAATTAATTCGTTATCTGGCACAGACATAGCCACTGGACGGAAGAGTTGTTTTAGATTATCTGGTAACCTTTGCCGGCCACCATAACCCTTTCCTGCTGGATTGAGGGTAACAAAAATTGCCGAATTTCCATTGACTGGAACAGAAGAATGATCTCCTATTTGGCAATTGCTTGCGCGGACACGGACCGCCTCTTGAATAATTTGAACTTGGCTAGAAACAGCAGAAAGAACTCCTTTTGTAAGACGATTGAATTCATCAAAGCATCCCCAGGCACCGCATTGAACGAGCCCAACAAATATGCGACTGATAGCATTAACGTCAATGCCCTCATCGCAGTTGAAAACCAAGACCTGAACAGAAGAGAAAATTAATGTTAAAAAATTGAAAGTTGAGTTTCCTTGCCTGTCTACCCAAAAGTCCAGCAAGTGCTTTAACAGATTCAGTTTTTCCTGTCCCAGCAGGGCCATAAGGATTTCCTCCCAACCCCATAGCAAGTGCATGTGTTAAAGTCAAGTAGCATTTATCAGTTAGTGGTGTGTTGACCAATTTTTGAGCATTTCCTTGATATTCGTAAGAATAGTTAAATTCATGGTCAGCGTGCCGTACAATAACAAGACCAGAAACCTGATAAATTTTTCCTAATTTTTATGAAAGTAATCATTTTTTAAAATCCCGCCTGAGAACCCTAAAGTCTATCATACCAAATAAAATCTTAATTGTCTTCTCCACGTCCAGCAAATAACTGATTGATTATTTTCTGCAACCACAAGTTGATCTAATATTGAAATATGATGAATCAAATCCAGTACGAGAGCTTTCAGTTTTAACTGTCCTAAAGGGTCATCTGTAGAAGACCCACTCAGTTGTTCAAGTTGTTTAATTAATTGACGTCTATATGCCGTTAAATTTTCGGTAGGATTTCCCCCAACATTAGAAAGACATTTTTCGACATCGCTACAAAACCTGATTTGTTCGGAGAGACATAAGACTTGTGAAGGATATCGACTTGGGTCTAATGAACGTTCATGAAGACAGTCAACAACCTTTTCAAAAAATTATTAATTTATCAGCCTTTTTAAAGGTTTTCGACTATTTAATTACCAATTTTTGTAAAGTATTCCTCATTTCCTCACTCAAAGCCTCCAACCATATTTCAACTTTTGGCACTATTTGAACCGGTTTAATAAGTTGAACTGTCTCTCCTTCAGCAGAAATCATTGCACGAATGTTTTGTAATTGTGTATCAAATGCTACTCTGTTGATTCCTTAAAGTTTAGGTTATTTCAAAAAACGTTTTGCAGTTATTCAAAGTTAAAACTAAAATCTTGAAAATTTTTGACACAAAATAAATGATATCTGATAGAAAAGCACTTAAACCTAAAAATTTCAGAAAAGGCCTTTGAATGTTAGAAATTATCCTTAAAATACGATTTGGAGAAAATCAAAGATTGGTCTAGATGAACCTCAAAAGTAAATGCTAACAACCGGTACCGCCAGCTATAGTGAGACTCCTAAGAATAGGCATCTAAAATCTTGAAATTACTGATATTCAACTTTTAAAGCACCTTGAAACAATTTTTTCAAATGTGATTGAATAACTGTTGGATTTGTAGATTGCCCAACAATTTCAAGAAGGTCATCATCCCCCAGAAAGTAGAATCGAGGAAATGCACCCCGTTTCTCTTCGAGAAAATCATTTAAAGCTCGTTGGCATCTATTTAATTGATCCACTAATTGTTCCAAAGTTCGACCCAAAGCTATACTATTTCCAGAACATAATGAAATGATACGATTGTCTCTTAAAATATTACATAATTATATTATGAGTATGTCAAGTCCGACTAGCTTGCTTATGTAATTGAACGCTCAAATCCTTTGGTATTAGATTCAGAATTGAACTATCTGTTTTAGGGCTCCCAGTGATCTCAATTTAATTAGGTAAATTTGGGTTACCTAAGATTAGCAATTTATGTCCACGAAAAATTGAGAAAGAAAATTTGCCCTGATTAGTTTACTTAAAATTTATAGACTTTTTGTTTACAGAATATAATGTAGGTAACAGGATCCTATATGTAACAGGGATCTAGATGTCTGATTCCTCAAAATCCAAAATCGTGAGTTCACAAAGTTTGAGTTAGGAATCCAGATTACAGAAATCGGAAATCTATGTATTTTTTATGTCGTCTAGACCCCAAATGCATATGAAATCTAAAGTGCTTTTATTTAATTTATAGCCACTCCAATTCTTAAAAAATCCATTTACTAAACTTACCTTGAAATATCATTAATAATAATCCGAAATTCAGCATCTATTCGGTTAAAACGTGCTGCTTCTGAAGGCAAAGAACCCCTCCCAAAGATAGGTTCTAAATATACCCATTTGCGTTGTATTTCACTAAGATGATGTAAAAATAATTCTAAATCAGATATTTTCCTTTCCCATATGCCTATTTGTTCGGCGAATTGAGCATAATAAGAAGAATTTCGAAGAGACGAAATTAAAGCTTGATTATCACGAACTTGATTAAGTATAGGCTTCCATTCTTTAACTATTTTGAGAGATGCTCCGCTAGCATGTCTGTACGAGAAAAATATTACTTTAAATTTTTAAGATTGATCTTTGTGAGAATTGTTTTTTCAAGGTTTACTCAACGAATTACTCTCCGTCGATTATTACCCTCTTCAGTAGGATGTTAAGGAATATCGGTTCCTGGAAAACTCTGATATTCGAAATCCTCGGTCAGTAATTTTTAAAACTCAGTTGCCTATTTTAGGTTCTCAAAAATAAACAGGATTATTTTTTAATCTTCTCACACAGGCCTATTATGTAGAAAATATTATTAAAATTTATTTTTTTCAAATTCACTACTTGTAGTCTGTTAATGAAAAATCCGCTTGTGCTGCCCACATTTCAAGCTCCTGTATTGCTTCACGAATACTAACTTCACCGTGGGCACGGGCATTTAATTCTTTTAATTTTTCCAAATTTGCGATTAGTTTTTGTTGAGAATTAAGAAGATTTCCAAATGTCAGCTTTTCAAGAGAAGTGCCGCGAGGAAGACCAAGTAAACGAAACATTTCAAGCCTTTCAATTTTTTAAAGTAAAAATATTGGGAATTCCCAAAGTGACAAAATTGAGTCCAGAAAATATTTAAAGAGAAAATCCAATCTTGGAGATTTTAAGTTTCCAAAGCTGAAAGTTTCCAAAGCTAAAAATTAAGCTCAGACTTAGTCAGCGCTAAAAGATAGTTTTGATTATTAGGATAATTTGTTTTTAGTGAATTTATCAATAGGGTTTTGCTGTTTTCTTGCATACCTCTAATAATTTCCCAACTTTAAACCAAGCTTTAGGAGTAAATTATAATTTAAATTCACCAATGATCTGCACTAAAAATATCTCCACGACAAAATTTTAGATTAATAGAGAATTCACGCATTTGTTCAATATCTTTCTGTAATCTAACAGATACATTACTAGTCTGAATTGCTTTTAGTTTCTCAAGCCATTGTTGTAAAAATTCATCAAAAATGTATGTTTTGCTTCGGAAAAGTATCCATTCCTATAAAAAAATTTTTCAAAATTTTTTCCTTTGATTACCTGATCAGAAATAGGTTGGAGGGCATTACTAAAATCCTCATACAAAAGATAATTTGATTCATAATTTTCTAAGTCAATTTTAAATTCATTAAGAAGAGGCCAGTCGGGTTGTTCAACTTCAAATTGCTCACATTCGACTTTTACTTTTTCAATTTTTACAAAAATTTTGTCAAATTCTTGACGTTTTTCTCGAATAAATTCTACAGCACGGATAAGAGCCATTCTGTCATCCTAAAATTATCAAATAATCTTTTATTCTAAATTTGAATCAAACACATTTGCTTTTTTGTAAATCACCTGAGAAGTAAATATTTCAGAACGCGGTTTAAATTGGTTCCAAAGTGAATGAAGCTTTTCTAACTCCTCCCCCAATGTTTTTATGGATGCTCCAACATTTCCTTTCATAGCTTTTACTTGATCATGCATCATTAATTCATGAGTTTCTAATAAATTTAGAAAATTCGCAAACTGTTCACGCGTTTGTTTAACAGTATCTGCGAGACCTTGCTCGCTGCCAAATAAAGATCTGAATAATTTGAATTAGTGAACATGATTTAATGGGAAAGATTATTTTTCAACCTGAGAACTTGATCCTTTTCTTCAGCAATATTAACTTTTGTTCTAAAACTAGAAACACTCTTAGCCAAAGTTATTTGAGCCGTACATGCCTCTGATACTTCTTCCATGCTTTGGGGTAGAGCAGAGAGTTGTTCAATACCTTGAGTTAATTGTTGGTCTAATACTGACAGTTCTGTTCTTATTGAATGTTTAAGCGTCCAACATAAAGCATCATGCATTCTTAGAATAAAATTTTCAATAAAAACTGCATTTACTAATAAGAAATTATCGAAAGTTTGAATAAGAGTCAACAAATGAAATAAGAAGGATTGTAAAATTTGTAGCTAAATATTTTAGAAAGGGATGTATGAGTGGATAACAAATACGCTATAGAGAGCGCTCAAGATCAACCCCTTTCAACCTTTTACTAATTCTTGGAAGGGTAAATTATTTCAACTGGTACCTTCTCAACAAATCATTGGCCAATAATCGAACCCCATTGGTCGAGACATGAATACATTCTATACAAATTTCCATAGGAATGCGATCAAGTTCCCGCTGCTTAAGGCGAATAACACGGAATTGGCGTTCCCAATCTTCAGCTTCTTTTAAATGTTGTTCAAGTAGTTCTTCTAGATTTACCTAAAATCAGATACTATGTATTAAAACAAGACTGATCTGATAGGAAATGGAAAGAATATCCGGTATGGAGTTAATTAGTGAAAGAAAAAAGGATCTAGAAGAAGACAACCCTCTATCATTTACTGATTTAAATTCAAGAAAATAATCGTCTAAATATTTTTTTATTTCTAAACACCTGTGCCAAAGCTGTCCATTCATCAAATTCTCTATCAATTTGTTTTAATCTCGAAAATATTTGTTCTGAACGCTCATATAGTGAATGAAAACGCCTTGATTCACTGCTAACTATACTAGCAAAAAGATTGGATTCATTCTCAGTATTTTGAACTCCCCGCATTCTTAGAGGTATTCCAAGTAATTTACGAAGAGCTCCGTAAAAGTTTTGACGTAATTCCTTCAAATTTTATTTTTTTATTTATTATATCCAATACAGTCGAACTTCAAGACATCAATGACTCGGGAAAAATATTAAAATATGAAATGAAGTGTAACCTAAATAGTGCTAAATTGCCCAAGTATCTCCCATCACTCAGTGGACAAAAAATTTAAGAAATGTACCTTCAATTAAGGTGCATTTACTATTAGTGATTTGGAACATAGCAGGCCCGGTAGTCCTGATTCTTGTATTTTTGTAAAGCTAAGTTTTTCAAGGTTTCAGTTTTTTCAGGGCCTAGCTCTGAAACCCCTGATTTGTCACGTCAAAACCCCTAGAGCCTGGCTCAAAACTCTATTATTTATTATTGGGTGCATCTTAAAGTGAGATCTAACTGTACTTATTTTATAATTAAAGGACCTCTAATGGAGGCCTTAATTGTAATCGCTGATCACGAAATATAAGTTGAGCGTGAAGTACAGGCATTTGGCCCTAATAAAATATTTAAACGAATAATTATTTTAAATGAAAGGTGAAGTGCCTGTAAATCTGCTAAGGCCCAGCAAAATTGTTGTTGTAAAACTTTATATAATTGTTTATTTAAATGGTTAGCCCATGGTTGCATATTTGCCTTAACTGCAACAAAATTTTGTTCTTCCAAAAATTTCTGCCGTATAGTGAGCATAATAGCATTCCATTTTTCTTCGTCTCGAAGTAAATCGGTTTCGCCCAATTCAAGTATATTTTGAATAATTTCAGTATGTGCCTTTCGTAATCGACTAATTTTGTGAATAATTTTAGAATTAAAAAAATAATTCTTGTAATATGAGAACAGGTTTTGGAATATCTAGCTAAATATTTGTACTTTTAATTGGGGTTGCTCGAGACAAATGCCGTATTATCTCTAATTTATCATTTCAATCAACTCTCGAAAGGGTCGCTCTATTCACTCACTCAATTTAAAAAATTATATTTTATCTGACCGGTTATGGCTAGTTAATTGGAGGGCAGCTTCACGTAAACGTTCAATATATCCCTTCAACTTTTCTGGACTTTCCCATGTTAAATTAACAGCTGTTTTTTGTTTTCTATCTCCTCCAGATTTAGAAGATGGTACAACTAATTGTTCAAATGCCAAAGCCTCATCTAATAACATTGCCTGTTGGCATGGAAGCATTTGTTTTTCTATTGTATTATAAAAGTGTGCAACCTTAATAATTTATTAAATTAAATATTGGAACATGTTTTCCTTTTATCGAAGGTAAAAAGTATTTACCTGCTTCAAAAGCACTCCATATTCGTAGAAACGTTCCCCTTGTTGGACACATGCCAGTATTTTTACTGGCACTTTAAACCCCATGGATTGGAGTTGGGAGACTTCACGAAGCAAACGAGCAAGTCTATCACTGAAACTGACAGTGAGAATGCCACGGGCTCTTTCCAAAACCATTAAACGTCCAGTTGTCTAGGAAAATCAAATTAGTTGAAATATTGGATAGCTCTCGATCAGTGATTCGAAAATTCCTGACTTCGGGAGTTTGTGAGAAAATCAAGTATTACCTGTAAAGAAATAGAATCTCCATCATTTACTCCCCCATCCACAATATGTGCAATCATATCACGACACCACGCATCAAACTGTTCTTGTTCCGCTGCAATTAACTGTTCTGACAGTTCCTTAAGTGTTTGTTCAAAACGTTCATAATTTGGAAGGTCTTCGAAAAAGGCAACGCCGGCCTTTTGAAGTTTATCAACTTGAGAACGTTGAGCACGTAGAGCATAAATTTTTGCTGCAATTTCGGTTAGAAATCGGCCAGTTGGAAGATTAGAAGCACTTAGAAGACGTTCAAAGTTATGCTGTTGAGAATTCATTTCATCATAAAGTCGAGCAAATAGTGTTTGACGTTCAGCCTATGAAAAAGTGAAAAAAAGGATAATGGAATCGAGAGATGAAGGGAGCAATTTTTATAATCCCAAATCACCTGTAGTTTATCTTTAACTGGTTTTCGAGCAAGGAAATGCCTAAAACGATGTAATTCATCAATTATCAACTCTCTTTCATCCCCCATTGCTCCACCATTTCCGCCTGACTCCAATATTCGTTCACGAAGTTCAGGTAATAATAACTCAATGTAAGGACCGAGTGCCCTTTCTGTGGCAGTCAATCTAGATTTCCATTGTTGTTCAGTATGAGGGCCGAATTCAAAAGGATTTGCGTTTGCCATAGAATTGTTTATTGCCTTCTGAATTTGGTCACGTAAAGAAGTGGACCTTCATATTTTTTAATTTACTAACATAAAAACTGTTAGATATTATACTCTTCTTGCTGCCCATTTCTGTTTTCCAATAAACGAACAATTTGTTCTCCCAGAGTCATTAGAGAATATACCTAAATTTTATCTTAATTTTTATAAATAAATTTTTGTTGCCTCATCTATTCGTTTATGAAATCTTTCAAATTGTTCCATTTGATGGGGTGAACCCTCCCACGGATGTAACCCATTTTGTGGCCAACTTTTTGCTGTCAATAACTCAACAGCATCTATCCATTGTTGGGTTAATGAAAGAGCTGTTTTTGATAATTCTGACGAACGGAAATACTCTTCTTTTGTTATTCGACGAACAATGGATGCACAAATCAGTTGACCTTTTTTTAGAAAATTTCTTTCACAAATAGTTCAAAATTTTACAAAAAATTGTTTAAACTGAATATCCCCTAATTTAAAAACGGAGATACATCTGGCTAGCTAAAAGGTTAGATGATTGCTCATTATCTATAGGGTATAATCATCGTGAGGTGATGATTACCAGGGCTCGTAACAAGTGACCTTACCAGTAGTAATATGAGACGGTCTTATGGTTAGCCATAAACTTGATGGTTAGTTAAATGACCGTTGTAATTTGCCCTTTTTTATGTTTATGTGGCAAAAAAAATTTTTTTCTAATTAAATAGACCTGCCCGGTTCTAAACTTTTGCTTAACTATTAGAATAAATACATAAATTGAAAACTCAAATCCACCTATACAATTAAGTAATTGTTTCATTCTCTGTTGTGGATAAGGTTCATCAACAGCCAGATTCCATAATGCATCTACACTCTGTTCTGCTGCTTCAATAGCCGTGTAAAGCTCATCTAAATCCAAATCATTTCCCTATTTTTATAAATAATTATTTTATTTCGGAAGTAAAATACTTCCAAAATTTCTAAATGTTCTGCCAAAGGTTCTAAAGCATCATAATAATTTTGTGCCTGATCAGACCCTCTTTTTGACCTTAAACGCCATAACTCGATTTCTGAACGTAGAGAAGAAACAACTCCGCCTCCTTTTTAAATTAATAAATTAAGGAAAATACGATGTATTTTTTGATATTAATAGGTAACTTTTTATGATTATGGGCAATAAACTGGGCAATTTTAATCAGAGTGATCCCTTTCAATTCACCAAAAAGGGTAATAACTTGCAGAAAAAGGCAAAATGGGACAGATGCCCCGTAAAAGAAGGTCACCCTGCCGTAATCCAAAAAATTATTCTTATTGTTACTTGGAATTCTAACTTAACCACACCCTCTGCTGAAAGGAGTACACTCTCTAATATAAGCACACCTTACGAGAGTATCGAAAAATACAAGCACATGTGGTTCTATTAGATCTTTTACGGTTTTCCATCTTTCACTCAAAATTATTTTTACAAATTATTTATTTCTTTACCAGTTTCTTCTCTACCACCAAAATTATTATTTCCTGTACTATTAATCAAACTTTCTTCTAATTCCCCAACTAAATTATTTAAACGTGCTTCTTGTCCAGACTCTGTTGCTTGTGAAATTAAAACTTTCGAGAAAACCTTTAAAAATAAATTTAAATTTAATTTAAATTTATTTTTTACTTGTTTGAGTGTTCCAAGTAAAGTTTCACTTGCATTTTTGTGTATACTAATAACACAAACATTGTTTTTATAATCTTCTAGACTAAGAGGAGTATTTTTGATTTTGTAGAAAACAGCTCTAAGTTGGGCTGTTTGATGGCTATTTATCTTTTTAAAAAATAAAATTTCATAGGAAATTTTATAGAATTGACATGAAAAGATTTTCCACAATGCATCCAATAAACCGATAAAAAATTCAGAAATGTTTTTAATAAAATTCGAAAATAATTTTTATAGCCCTTTTTTGATACCCTTCAGAATAATTATTGATTAAAAATTTCAAGAAAATTTTCAAAAGCAGGTTAGGTTTAAAAAATTATTTTAAACCCTGAACTCAGTTAAGGTTTTAAAATGCGTGTTAAATCATTATGTACCTAGTCTAATTTAATTTACATTGATATACCTCATTACTTAGATCCACATGTCCTTTCTGTAAATTTTTAAATTTATACAAAATTTAATTTTAATACCTACTTGATCCAAACGAGAAATTGCCAGTAAAGGAACATCCGACAAACAAAAATTATTAAGTGCTGTAACATTTGGCAATCTTTCTTCGGTCAAATTGAGGGAAAGAATGTGTGAAGCAACCTATAGATTTAAATTGTTTATGGAATAACTTGTTGGTTTTAAAATAAAATTGTATAGGATTAAAAAAGGGGTGGTAAAAAATTTTTAATTTTCTAACAGAGATTATATTTTTGTTTTAAAAAATTTTTTAGAAAAAATTAACGTCATCTTTAAAATTTTTTTTTATTTTTCCTTAACCTTAAGTAGATATGCCTTTCTCTGATCATTTCCTGTTAAATTCTCGTTACGTCGGGACATTTAGTTTGCAAAAAAGGGGAAATATAAGTTTAAAATATGTATTAATTTTAAAATAAATTTATTAATTTTTCTTTTAAAATAAAATATAAAATTATCCTTTTTCTTGAAAAAAGTTGTTTTATTTATTATTCATTTCCATGACAACAACAAAAAATAATAAAAATAAATTTATTTTACTTAAAAATAAATAAAATTAAACAATTCAAAAATGAAAAATAAACATATAAAAATATTATTTTGTAAAAATTAAAATGTTTTTCAAAAAATATTAAAGATTTCATATTTTTATGAATTTAACCTGAGTATTTATTGCTTCAATCTTTCGCAGGTAATTATTTGAGAGGAAGTAAAAAATATTAAAACTAAATTGATTAATAAAAATTAGGGTTGCCGTTTTCGAGCATTTTTTCATGCCTAAATTTATCGCGCCGGGCCGTACGAGTCTTTTTTGGGCCAGATATCTTTCTGTCAAAGTCGGTCCATTTTTGCAACTCTAATAATAATATTTTTATATCGTTTATTTTTCTGTAATAATCTTCGCTATAAAAATATTAGAGATCGGCCGAAGAGGTCGGTCAAATATTGAAAAAAATCGTATCGGTCCGATCTCTAATAAATACAAATTATTCGAATTTTATTGGCGTCGAATATCATTTATTTTTTAATAATTATTTTTTTGAATTTTTGGCTTTAATAATAAAAATGTTATAGAAGAGTTATATATAAAATACCGGGAAGTAAACGGTTAAAAATGGACGGAATTATAAAGAAAAATATTAAAATAATATAGGAATATAGAAATAATTTTTGGGCGATGAGCAAATTGGAAAATTTAATAAAAAATAATTTGGCTTAATAAAACTTGACAAGATATATAAATTAAAGAAATTAAATGACCAGTACATATTGAAATACGAGAGGTTTAATATTTGGATTTTGTGATAGTTTATAAAATGAAGAGAAAATATAGTTGACCGAAAGAGAATGCAGAAGATTCATTGTGGAAAATACAATTAACTGGTCTTAATCTATGAGTAAGCTAATTCAAGACTGAGCGACTCAAGACTAAACAAAACTGGATTAAAATGGGGAAGGAAGTAGACTACAAAGAATTCGAACTTTTCAGATTTCAGGGCCCCGTATACGGATTGTCATTTTAAACTAACCGGGCTGGGTATTCCGAGTTAACCCCACTCCGCTCTTTCCATGAATTAATCAAACCAGACTTGGTAATGGTTAAGGATATAGATACAGATAATTTCAAAATGCCTGCGGTTATCTGCCTGTATCCGCAGTAAATATCAGGATACCAAAACACATGTCCATTACCAAGTCTGAATCAAACCCTTTAGTTCAATATTAAATAAAAAAAGAAAAATTGTCTGACTGTATTTACTTCTCAAAAATAGGAAAGTCTTCAATTATCCATTTCTCGCGTACCAAATAAGAAGGAAAAAGGCCAGAACGACCAGTACGTTTATTCTTCCCCATTGACCAACCATTCCAATGATTACCCGCTATTCCTAAAGAAATTTTAGAAAATTTTTTATTGAAATAATTTTTAAAAACCAATTATATCTCCTTTATTTAAATCTATTTGCTCATCGTTTTCTGCTTTAAATCCATCAATAGCTTCCATTTCGTGAGCTTAATAAAAAGAATCATAAGAATAAGTTAAGAGAATTGTTTAAGAGAATAATTAATTTAAAGGAGGGAAAATAAGTAAGGTAGTTTTTTTAAATTTAAACTTATCGATGGTGAATGAAATTTTTTGGAAAAAAATTTCTTTAAATTTGATATTACCCGATTGTCCACCAAAGTAGTAAATATCATCTATAGAATGTACATCGTTACCAGCATCGCCTACTCTTGTCTGCATTAATTCATAACCAATTCGACAAACCTTCAAAAATTATTTCAAAATCAAAAAAAGTTGTGAATATGTTGGCGGATATGGGAGATTATTGGATATCTAGAACCGATCCGATTCCAGAACCAAGAATTTCAGGCAAGATTTATTATTATTACCTGACTACTAAAAGTACAAACAATGTAACTACATTCAGCTAATAATCTAACATCTGTAATAACACCAAGAAGTGAGCGATCGGTATAACGGGTATTTGGCTTTGCTGCTAAAATATTTTTTAGATTAAATTAATTATTTTATTAATTTTAAAAGATTCGAAGACCCCACGAATATTCAAAAATAAACCCCCACCATTTGCTATTTCATCATTTCCAAATATCATCCATCCATTACTTCCATATTTCTCCCTAGCTTCAGTAATAACAGAAGGATCGTCAGTTGCAATAAATACACGTTTAGGCAATAAAGGGAAATTTAAACGTTTTCTTTCTATCTTAAACCAAAGATCGGCCCATTCCATATATTCCTCTAAGTTATGAAAGGCAGCTTCAGTTCCAACTTTGTCTGTACGTCGAATCTGTAGACCGACTATTGGACCTGAATTGGTTTTTGAAATTTTTTATTTTGAAGATTTCTTGGAATAATTAAATCAAACATAAAGCTACTTAGTGTGAGTAGGGGTTGTTTGGATATGTAGATTTCTTATCAGGATTTCAGGCTTTTCACCAATAGGTGTTTATTCATCTCACTAGCAGAATTATTCACTAGCAGAAAAGCCCGAAAGTGACTTGTACAAGCCCAACTCGATATATGTCTCACAGCCGGCCCGATCCGTAAACGGCAACCCTACTTGAGAATAATGCACCCGAGACAAGTGAGAAGCACATACCTGAGTTATGGAAAAATGATACCAAATAATTTTAAGCTATTACACCAGTCCAGTTTAAATAAGTAATGCTTTAGTATACTCAATGAATTAAAATATATCTAGGTATCAATCAGGGGTGGCTCTCGTCTCGTATCTCGTGTCTCGTATCTCGTGAAATCTCGTGTTTTTTAGAGGTCTCGTATCTCGTGTCTCGTATCTCGTATTTTGCCACGAGACACGAGATATTTTCGATCTATTTTAGAAAAAATGTCAAAAATTTGGGACTATTTTAAAATTCTATAATTAGGAAAAAATGAAGAAATCTTGCCCATTGATCTTCCAAAATTCTAAAATTTTCGCTGCGGCGCTGAAATGGTGAATTTTTTGGCCTACGGCCTTCTAAAATTCCCAAAATTTTCGCCTGCGGCGCTGAAAATGATGAAATCTGGCTTGCTGGCCTTCTAAAATTCACAAAATTTTCGACTGCGACGCTGAAAAAGGAAGAGGAATAAAGTTGGTCAAGCGGGAATTATCGGTGGACCTGAAGGGATAGAAGAATATCGGGCGATTTACTGGGATTAAGGCGAATTTAAATAGATATGAGGATTCGGATGGATATCTGGGAATCCATCAAGTTCGAGAGATATCAATGGATTGTGAGAGTTTAATAGGTTATCTAGTGACTAAGCGGATATTATGAAGATATTTATATTTTATACCTTAATCATGGAGTGGCTCAGAAAAACTTCGACTCCTTATCGAGCGTCCATTTCTCCCGGTATCCGATATCACTTAAATCAGTTGACAACCTCATAATCCCATGGTATCTGTTTCTTTAAATATCCTTGATCCTTCCAAACCTCATGATTCTCCGTAATCCCCGATATTTAATAGATCCCCTTGATCCTCTAAATCCCCAATATCCTTCATAATCCAGTTGTAATCATTATCCATTCAAACCCATATATTTTCGGCTTTACAATTTTAGGTGTGTCTAATTTTGAAAAAAATACTTAATATCTCGTATCTCGTGGTCTCGTATCTCGTGAAATCTCGTATTTTTTGAGAGATCTCGTATCTCGTTTTATCTCGTTCTCGTATTTTTTTGAGAATCTCGTATCTCGTGAATCTCGTGTCTCGTATTTTATGGCACTCGCGCCACCCCTGGTATCAATGTAGAAAAGAATCAATAATTAAAAAAAAACCCCAATTAACTAATAACAAATTACCAAGATGGAAAGGTATTTTCTCTTTTGCTTGCAAAACAAATTTCTTTACTTCTTCATTTTCCCGCATAAGAAAATTTAAAAATTGGCCAATAAAAAAGGCTGGAGGGGCTGAATGATGCATGAGCAATAAATCAGAAAATTGGGACGGAAATGCAAGAGGAAGTTGTTTTGGTTTAGTTGTAAGAACATCTACTATTGGCAATCGAACAATTTTGGTAGTTTGGGATAATCCATTAAATGGTTCTATATGAAGGTTATTTGTTATCTGAAAAAATACAATCAGATTTTACTATCACCTAATAATAGATACTCGAGTTAGACATCGAGCCATGCCTAAAACGGGGTTTTCCTGGCACAGTAGCCCGGAAACTGAGTATTTTAAAAGTCCGGTTTCTAGGACTCAGGATCTTATCTGAAAAACTTGATCCTACCCCGGCCATTAGATACTTTCATTTAAGATACCATTATAAAATTATTAGTCAGCAAAATGAATGCCTGACCAAGCGATATCCTCTATTTAAGATACACCTAATTTTAAGACAGATTTTATGCCTCAAGAAGGTATCTCATAATGAGGTCCGGTATGTCAGAAATTTCAAAAGAAAAATTTTCTAAAATTCTTGCAAAATTACATGCTCGGCCCATGAACATTTTCCAATGGGCAAAAAGGCCGCATTCCAACCATTTTCAGAATAACGCCAGGACGACCCGTCTCTTTCAAGTACTAGTCTTAAAACATATTTAAATAAGTATTTAATAGAAAATTAAATTACGTTCTATTAGAAGCTGCAGCCATTATAAGGCAATAGGTTACATGATGTATTTGGCAACCAAAGCCGCAACCTTTATTTAACTGGGAAAGAATTGAAAGAATTATTTGAATTAAATAGTTGAATCTCGATATAACGAACTCAAAGGACCAATAAAAAGTCCCTGTTATATCGAGAGTAATTAATTAAAATAATTACCTCACAAACTAAAAACTTTGCAGTTTTGCAATCAGAAGGATTTTGTAATTTAAATAAACTTTCTCTAATTCTATCAGCTATTTTATCTAAAACTTTTTTATGCCATTCATGAGCTCTATCGACAACAGAAAGTATTCTAGATTGTGTCAGAATGTGTTCAAACTAGTAAAAAATAAAATTAGATTTTTAAAATTAAAGTAGCGATATGCTTTACAAAAATTAATTTTGCTAAAACATCATATGCGCGAGAAAAGGATTAGCTGGCAATTAAGCTAAATATCTTTTTAAAAAACAAAATGTTAGCTGGGCAAAAGCACACAGTACTTTGGCATTTTTTTCCTAAGACTTTTCTCAAAAATCTTTTTTACGATTTTTAGATTATTTTAATTCTTCTTTGGAGGATATTAAAAAAATTCAGGAGCTTTATCAACAAAAGAAATTATGTATACTAGATTGCGTCAGAATATTTTATTAATTTTTAAAAATAATTCCCAAATATTTTTCTCTCTCATTCCTAATTTTAACTCATTAATTTTCATTCGCAAACTGACTTGTTGTTTTAAAATTTCTGTGTTCGCTTTTCCAATTAATTTTCCAAATTCCTGACTATTAATTCTCAAAAATAATTCCCAAATATTATTTTGAAGATTCCTCCTAGCCTCTTCATGTTCTTTAGAATATAACTGTCCCTTTAAACGTTGTTCTGCTGCAACAACGAGTGGGGCAACCTTTCTAAGCGCTGTATCAGCTCCCCCATAATCACTTGCTAAATTTTCTGCCGGCGGCTGTAATTATTTTTTATTTTCTTTTAAATAAAATTTTAATTACTTTATGTATTAAAAATTGGTCCGGTTCAACAGGACGAAAATCGCGGCTGCTAGCCAATTTTTTTAATTGTTTATTTTCTTCTTGTAATTCGATAAGCTCATTTTTTAATCTTTCCAATTCGTTAATATAATGAAAACAAACTTTCCCTTCCAAATTTTTTGGATGTAAAAAATTATTTTGTTGTTGTCCTATACTATCTAAAATTTAGATATTTAGTAAGTCGAAGATTTAAAAATTTTTATGTTAAAAAATAGATAAATGATTAATTTATATCTATGTTGAATAAGCTCAGTTTCTTTAAATTTAGTCTGGTTTAACGTGATAGCTTTCTTCGTGTTTTAGATTCAGCACTAAAAGCAGATAGGTATGTTTATTGTATAGGAACAGCTTTTAGATTTCAAGAGCTGGTTGTGTGTCTACTAGTTATAAGAAAAAGACGAAACCTCCTCCAAAAATATTAAGTATCGAAATTAAGAGATTTTTCGAGTTATCTATTTTGAATCTCGATCTATCTGCGAGTCCGATCTCTAGAGTTCAGTACCTTATAGGTATTTTTTGTATGATTAATTTTTTTTATTTTTGTGGACCCTGATGAGCAGTGATGTCAAAGTTCCAGTTCCAGTTCCGGAACTAATTAGTTCTAGTTCCAGTTCCGGAACTAGAACTACGGAACTAACAATTATCTGGAACTAGTTTGGAACTAGAACTACGGAACTAGTAAATGCCTGGAACTAGCTTGGAACTGGAACTACGGAACTAGTAAATGTCTGGAACTAGCTTTGGAACTAGTTCTGGAACTAGTTCTTGGGGGTATATTTTTGACAAAATTTCATCGAAAATTACCTGCAGCGCGCTGAGTTTGGAAGAAATCTGGCTACTTGAGCTCCAAAATTCTAAAAATTTTCGCCTGCGGCGCTGAAAAAGTGGATTTTTTCGGCCTGCGACCTCAGAAATTCTCAAAATTTTCGCCTGCGGCGCTTAAAAAGTGAATTTTTTCGGCCTACGACCTCAGAAATTCTCAAAATTTTCGCCTGCGGCGCTCAAAAGTGAATTTTTTATGCCTACGACCTCAGAAATTCTCAAAATTTTCGCCTGCGGCGCTTAAATCCCGTGAATCGATTTTGCCGCACACTAAATGATTTTTTAAATTAATTTACTCCCACAATGACATCCGTGTCGAGTGTTTTGTCGAGTGTCAAGTGCACACTCCCACAATACTCCGTGTTTTGTCGAGTGTCAAGTGTTCCGTGCAGGCATTCGTGCGTGTGTCCGTGTCAAGTGCACCCTCCTACAATGACATCCGTGTTAAGTTTGAGTGTTTTAACTTTCAAAAAAATCTTGAAAAGCACTTGACACTCAACACTAGAGAGTACATGGTGCAGACTGCATGAGAAACCACTCGACACTCAACATTCGATACGGACAACTATAGTAAAGCTTGTGCTGGGCCAGGATGGTATTGGGATGTTGGGCGGGTTGCGTGCGATGTTAAGGGTCCCGAGAGGCGATGCCGATGAGTATATTGCGGAGCGGAGGGTAGGCCTTTCTGTGCGCCGGTGCTGCTGGTCGGTTACGAGACCGACTTGCCCGGGAATAGTATGCGCTGACTGATAAGCTCTAGGCTTCTTCTGCAGGATTAATGAATAAGCTCTCAGCTTCTTCGGCCGGTTTATTCACTTCTCTATTGATTACTTTCCAACTGACTGGTAAACAGTCGACTGAACCCCTTTTCACTATTTTCCACTTAGTTTTATCCTAAGGCCTTATTTGTCATTCCCCTCCCCTTATTCAATCCTTTCCCAGAGGAACTAAAGATCCTTTTCTCCATCCTTGCCCATCCGGATCAAAGTACGCCTTACACCTCCAACCCCGGGGAAGACCGTCCCCTGGTCTTTTCCTAATTTCCCAAATTTTAATTTTATTTTTTCATTTATTTTATTTTTTTTTAAACCCACCACAATTTACAGCTTTACCATGTGCCCCAAGTCTGTGCCTCCATTTTCTATCTTCTTCTTCTCTCATCTTCTTCTACAGTCTCTTGCCAAGTGTCCGGGATTTCCACATCTGTTGCAAATCATTTTTCCTCTTCCTGTTCTTAGTTCACCACCACGTATTAGTTTAACTTCTTCTACTTTAACTTCAATTGACCTTCCTTTTAAATCATTGAGTACTCCATTCGAGTCGCGTGTTGGTTCCTCATTTTCCATAACCTCCAAATAGCGTTCGTCAACAAAGGGAGTGTGTTGCTTTGCCGCAGTGATGAATCTTCTCCACGTCTCGCCTTCTCGTATAGCTTCAAAATCGGCAATAATGATTAGTCCACTTTGTGCCCTGGACAATGCAACCGTGGCACGTCGGCTGTCTTTCAAAAAGTCAGAAGCATCGGCGCGAGCTGCTGATCCAGGCGATTTGGTGCTCGTTGTTACAAGAATGATTAAACGGTGCTCGCGGCTTTGAAACGCGTCTACAGAGTTCACAGATACTTGTAGATTTTCTTGTTGGAGCCTTTCTCTTATCTTTTCGCATTGGTACGTGTAGAGACAAATAATGGCAACACCTTGAGGATCTCGGTGTTCCAGCGCTTTTGCAATTATAATCGCTGCTTCTGTCTGTTCAGGTGAGGATAACGAGTAGGAGGAGCTGTCCTGCTCTATTGTTCCTCTTATATTAAGAAGTATGAGTGGAATGTCATTCACCGGAAGATTTATTCCAAGATTTGTCAATCCTGTACGCTTTGATGCGGGAACAGCTGCGATTACTCTTTCGCCGTGTTTCTCATATGAAGAATAGTCGAAGCATTCAGTTATAATCGGGTGCGAGCGGTAACATCGTTCCAAGATTGTGACTGATACTCTTTCGCAGTTTTCCATTTGATCAGTTACACTTTCAAGACCGTAACCAGTTTGAATAACTTCTGGTAGTTCTTTTAGGTGAGTGCCCAATTGACGGACATCTCCCGTCAAGAGAACGGATCGGACAAGTGGTAATTTGCACAGGAGGTGAACCATCATGGAGAAGCTTGTCTGAGTAACCTCGTCGATTATGAGGTGTGTAGTCGATACATGAGCGCGTGGTATTCCTAAACACATGTAGATTGTTCCGAAGATCGCATTTTTAAATTCTCTAGCCAAATAAATTTCTCCTACTTTCCTTTCTTTGGTGTGTCGTGGTTTATCTTTGATGTGTGCCAGGTAATCCGTTACGTCTCTCTTCTCAGAACCTTCTAACTTCTCTACAAATTTTCCTTTTATTTTATTTTCAAGTTGGTGTTCATTTAGTAAGAGTATTTGATCTCCATATCGAATGCGTGCTGTCGAGGCGAAGAATGCCAACATCTCACTTCCTAGATTAATTTGGGCACTCTCGTCGATCAACTTGCTCACAGGCAAATTTGAATTTGCTGTAGCCAGCACTGCAATTTTCGGGTCCTTCTTCAAAGCTGCGGCAATACATGCGGCTGCTAGACGCGTTTTACCCGTTCCTGGGGGCGCCTGCTGATAATGTAGGCGCCCCCTTCCTTCATGCAGCCAATTAGAGAGTGTATTTTGCTGTTCTTCATTTAAACTCTTTACACACTCCAATTCCTTCGGAATATCACCTCCAACCACCGAATCGTCCGTCCCTGGACGACCAAATAAATCCACTTCTTCAATTTGTTCTTCTATTTCTTCATTTATTTCCATATCTTCTTCAAGAATAAGCTTTTCCATACTTTCAGAAATTTCTTGTCTTTCTTCTTTTTCAGCTTCTTCCATGATCTTTTGGAAGGCTTTTTCTTCTTCCACACTTGTGTGTGTGGTTGATTTTGGTTTTTGTGAACCCGTGGGTTCCATGGTCAGAAGACCAGCATTTTTATTTAGAGTTTTTGAATCCGTGGATTCCATGGTCAACAGACCAGCAATTTTATTTGTTTTTGAATCCGTGGATTCCATGGTCAAAAGACCAGCAGTTTTATTTGTTTTTGAATCCGTGGATTCCATGGTCAAAAGACCAGCAGTTTTATTTGTTTTTGAATCCGTGGATTCCATGGTCAAAAGACCAGCAGTTTTAGTAAAGCTTTTTGAATCCGTGGATTCCATGGTCAAAAGACCAGCTTTATTTGTTGTTGTTGTTTCATTTTTCTCAGACTTGAAATAGAAATGACCGCGGCCACGTTTTCGAACATTTTGATTGTTGTCCATTGATAACTGAAATTTAGTTTTTAATTTAAAAAAAATTTGTAATTGGGAGAGAAAAGAAAAAAAAAATTAAATGTGAGTTAAACACGCGGTTATGTAAAAAAAAATTAAATGTGAGATAAAATACACGAATAAAGAAAATTGATTAATTGAAATAGTTTTAAATGATTTTGTTAGAAAAATGAAGGTTAAGAGATTGATTAAGTGAAATTAGATGAATAGAGTGAGAGATTTGAATTAGAGCCCGGACGGAGGGCTCGGTCGATATTTTTTCGATAAATACCGAAAAATACCGAATATCGAAAAATATCGAAAAAGCCAAAATTTTCTCGGTCGATATTTTTTCGATAAATATCGAAAAATATCGAAACCGAAAAATATCGAAAAAAAAAGTCTCGATATTTTTCGATTTTTTCAAAAAAATTTAAAAAAATTTTAAATGGTAAAATAAATGTTAAAATTTTGAGATTAAGATTGATTATATGAGAAACTGATATCAGGGGATTTATATGTGGATTGATTGAGAGGATATGATAGGATATCAGTAGATATACATATCAGTAGATATGTATAGAGGTGGATTAAGGGGATATTGGAGGATTATGATGTATAACATATCGAGAGATTTAGAGTGAATAAGATGGATATTGTGGAGTTGGGCGTAGGAGGGATATCATGGGATTTTGGTGGATTACGGGGGATAAAGCGGATATCTTGTAATTTGGAAAATCGAAAAAGACAAAATTATCGAAAAAGACAAAATTTTCTCGGTCGATATTTTTTCGATAATATCGAAAAATATATATCGAAAAATACCGAAAAATATCGAAAAAATATCGTATCGGTCCGGGCTCTAATTTGAATGTATGACCCCTATCAATTTTAAAAGGAAAACTTTTTCTTTCTTGGATTTTCTCGTAAATTATATTTCGTTCGAGTGTTCTTTTCTACTAATTCAGTGTTTGAGTTTTGATTTTCCTGTATATCGGGAGTTTCGATTTCTTGGGAAATATTTTCATTTTCAATACCTTCGTTTTCTTCAGCTCTTGCCAGAGCTTTTTCTTCATCACTCGATAATTCAGGTACTGTACAAGCGGGTGTTAGTGCTTCAAAACACTTCTTTAGTTGATTTATATGCACTTTTCTGGGTGTACCCTGAGGTGAGTTACAACTTACTATTGTGACGTGTACTCCTTCAATTTTTACTACTCTGAATACACCTTTCCAAGGCATATGAAATTTCTTGGAAGTTCCTATTTTCCCTGCATAGTTTCTGAGTAATACTCTATCTCCTACTGTGACTGTGGGATTTCTTACTAATTTGTCATATTGAGTCTTTGCTCTTAGCTGTGCTTGCTTATTTGCTTCATCTGCAGCCTCCCAGGCGCATCTAAGTGAAGTGATTAGTCTTTGCTTAAATTCTGAAATGTCTGTAAACGCAACTGGACTGTACACTGACGGGTCTAGTATTTGGTCTACGCAAAAGATAGGATCGCGCCCAAACATGAGAAAGAATGGCGTTTCACCTGTCGACGCGTGTATCGAAGTATTATAACAAAAGCATGCGCAGTCTAAAAATTCGTCAAAATCTGGTTGATCCTTACTTATATACTTTGAGAGAATATTATGGAATGTTCTAAAGGATCTTTCAGTAACTGAGTTTCCTTGAGACCAATGTGGTGTGGCATAGCTTTTATTAATGTATAGCATTGAACAGAAATCCTTAAAGAATTCGCTTGTGAAGGCTGTGGCATTGTCAGTTACTAGTTCAACACAGCCACCATATTTTAAGTAACAATTATTGAGAAATGCTTTTGCTAGAGTCATTGCTTTAGTGTCTGGTACCGGTACTGAAATAACGTATTTAGTGAACCAGCAAATTATATTCATTACATGCTTATTGCCATTTTGTGTTAATGGGAATGGTCCTGCTAGATCTAATCCGACTTTAGCAAATAGTGTGTTCACTGGTACCATTTGCATTTCTGCCCTGTATGGTGGATTGGGTGAGTGTCTAAGTTGACAAGTTATGCAATTTCGTGTCCAGGTTAAAATATCAGCGTGCATTCTTGGCCAATAGTATTTTCTACACTTCTTGAGGGTCTTTTTCAAATTCATGTGTCCACCCCCTAGTTGAGAGGAGTGAAATGAGTCAAAGATTAGAGCCCTGAGTGAAGATGGTACGAATATTCTTGGTTTTAAGTTCGGAAGTTTGTGACATAGTATATCCCCTATAATTCTCAAATTTTCAGCATTTAATACAAATTTCTCCTGATTAGTGGGTGATATGTCTTCTGGAATTTCCCCGGTTTTTATAAATTTAATATAGTCTGCAGCTTCCATGTCATTTTCTTGTTCTTGCTTAATGTCTATCGCATAATTTTCATTTTCTTTCCTAAGTGTTAAAACTGAAGCATAATGTTCATTAATAAGCCCATCTTTTATAGGAAGCGTGAAACAAACTGGGAATTCTGCAATGTCTTCTAGTTCAGTTTGCTCTTCTTCAGGCTGGTTTTGCAATCGCGAAAGTGCATCAGCGAGTAGATTTTCTTTACCAGCTATGTGTACAATTTTAATATTGTAATTTTGCAATTCTATAAGCCAGCGTGCTAAATTTGGACTTGCATCTGCTTTCTTTAGTAGGTAAGCAAGAGGTTTGTGATCAGTGTGTAGTTCTATTTCAGCCATATAAATAAAAGGTCTGAATTGTCTTAGAGAGAATATTATGGCTCCCAGTTCGATTTGGACGGGTGCCCATTTGCGTTCTGAAATTGTTAGAGTCCTGCTACAGTACGCGATTGCTTTATATGTATTATTTTCAATATCTTTTTGCATTAGAGCGCCTCCCTGTCCAGTAAGGGATGCATCAGTAAATATGTGGAAAGGTTTTTCGTAATCCGGAAATACAAGAACTGGTTGACTAGTTAAAATTTTCTTAATTTTATCAAATGCTTGCTGTTGTTCGTCACCCCAATGGAATTCGATTTCCTTCCTAGTAAGCTTTGTGAGTGGTTCAACTATTAGCGAGAAGTTTTGAATATGCTTTCTGAAAAATGAAGCCATGCCTATCGCTTGCCTAACTTCTTTGACAGTGGTGGGTGCAGGTAAATTATTTATTGTTTCAACTTTTGCAATACTGGGAGTGTACCCTTTGGCATTTATTGTGTATCCTAAGAAATTCATTTCCCTTGAGGCAAATATGCATTTCTTGGGGCTTATTTTTAGAAAATACTTTCTTAATCTGGTAAAGACCTGCCTTAATGCTTTTAAATGTTCATCAAAGTCTGGAGATTTTGTAAAGACTAGAAAATCATCTACATATGCTAGAACACACTCATCTAATCCGCTAATTACATGCGCCATTACTCTTGCGAACGCGCTTGTTGCGTTCCTTAGCCCAAAAGGCATGTGTGTCATTTGGTATATCTCATCTTCCATAATTACTCCGCACTTTCTTGAAGCTCTTTCTGTTAATCTAATTTGTAGGTAACCGCTTGACAAATCTAATGAGGAATAATAGTTGCAGTTTCCTATTCTTTCCATTATTGACTCTAATCGCGGTAGAGGAAAGTGGTCGGGGACTGTTACTTCGTTAAGCTTCCTAAAATCAATGCATGGTCTTAATCCTCCGTCCTTCTTTTGTACTAGAACTATGTTCGATACCCATGGAGTGTCAGATTTAACCATTACTCCAGATTTTAAAAGTGCTTCAATGTGTTTCTGAAGTTCTTCTCGGTATTTAAATGGAACTCTATGTGGCCTAGATGTTATAGGTTCTTCAGTTGTGGTAATAATGTCATATTCACCTGCTATACATGACCCTAGATCATATTGTGTTTTACTAAATACATCAGAAAATTCTTCACACAATTTTTCTAATTTTTGTCTATCTTCTCCCTGTACTGAGCTTTTAGAAAAGTCTACCTTGAATGTCGGATTTGCTTCTACAGTGTTTACATATTCATTGACATTAATGTTTTCTACCTGTGTTAACCATGGCTGTTCATAAATTGACCAAACCTCATCAGCCAGAGCAATGTGCATTCCTTTACATATGTGCTTTGGTTCAGTTGTTGGGTTGGCAATCAGAATTTTGTTTTCTTTTGCATTTGGTGTGACCACTGCCTCAATGAGTGCAAGATGGTCCTTCTCAAGCCTTTGGTCCAGTGAGTGTACAAGTGCCAACTTTTCTCCACCATTAGTTTTAATTTTCACTGAAACAAGTCCGTGTTTTCCTGGTAAAATTGTTTTAGCTTCAATAGCTGCTACACGCATGTTTTTTGACTTTGACTTATTTTTATCTGAATAATTAAATTTATTTTCAAAATTAATTTTTCCTTTATTAAAATCGAATGTTATTGGCGGAAGTCTTTTTAGAATGTCACATCCTATAATTAATTGGTATGTTCTATTTCCTGTAATTTGATTGTCTTCAACCACTCTTATAGTTACAGGTAATTTAGTTCCCGCCATTTCTAATAATACTTCAGCTTGAGCTAGTACATTAATTTCATGCCCAGAGGCAGAAGTTATACTAATTGTAGCTGGTGTTAGGTTTAGTCCTAAAGTTCTTGCGAGTGAGATGGGAGCAATCGATATGCTCGCACCTGTATCAATTAAACACTTTACTGCTTTATTGTTTATAAACACCCCAGTAATTGTGGGACATGACTGTAGGGTATTTATAGAAAAATTTTGTGATGCCGTGGCATCCATGTCTATTGACAACTTTTCACCACACATTTTATTTACTCTCATGGCATTTACTGTGTGACCTTCAGTTTCTATTGATTGAGGAAATTTAGAAACCTTTGGGATCCAAGACATTTTCCGTTTTTGTGACCTTACACTTGGAGTTTTGTCTCTTTTAAACTCAGGATTTTTGTTAACTTTTACCATTGGAATCTCTTCTGTGTTTCTGTTAATGCTTATCTGTCTAGCTCTGTTAATTATATTTCGACTTTGACCAAATAGCATATTTCCTAACTGTCCTTGTCCTAAATAATTTTCTGCTGCTTTAATTCCCCATCTTATCACTAAATCTAGAGTTAATATGGCTATTAAAATTGATATTATGACCTTCCAAATCCATGTATAGTCCCCAATAATTTCAGTAACGAGACTATTTCCTGCCTCTTTCCATTGATCGGAGAGCGTTTTTACTATATGCATGTCTTTTTGTTCGATGCGATATGAGATTTCGCTTGCACGGACTAGGTTACTCATGAATGTATGCGTTTTGAGATCCGTGAGATTTACTAGCATTAATTGATGGAATGAGTGTGATTTTATTTCAGGTATGCTGTAGGATTTGAGTTCCCTTAAATTGATTGGACGGGGTTGAATTTTTCTAAATTCCCCTGAGGTCTGGTTTACTTCTAGTACCTCATGATTTATTTCTACGATTATTTTCCCATATGTTGAACAAGGTGCTTTTCGAGCTGTGGGTTCAATTGTCATGGTTAGCGGGTTAAGAAATGCTAAGTGTTCCCGGTTTTCTGCTTTGAACTGGATTGGGATTAAGTCGAAACATTCGCTAAGGTTAGTAGCTTTGAATGAGTATTCATCATTTTTAATTGGTATGCATGGCCATACGCGTAGTAGTGATGACCCTTCTCTTTTGGCGGTAACATAGTCATTTTCAAATATCATTCTAGCCAGGCCCGTTGGGTTAGACAGATATGCGGCAAGTGCCCATTTCTTAACTAGATCCAGATTTTGGCAAAAGGTTTTAAGCGAATGCGTGAAAGTAAATGTTAGAGTGTCAGCCATTTCTTTGTCTAGGTAAGTTAATTTCGCTGCCATTTCAGGTGATGTTACCAAGCTAAGTTTTTGGTTACTGTGGCTTCTTTTAGAGCGACGCCTAGTGACTGTAGCTAATCCTTGTTCGGAAATTTCTAGAATGTTACTGCAATCCCAAAATTTTGGAGCAGGTTTAGCGAAATGCAATGCTAGTTGTGCGTCATCCGATAACCAGGTGTTATCTAAAAATTTTCCTTCCCAAGTCCCAATCTTGATATATCGACACATTCTATCCTTTGTGGGTTCCCATTTTAGTACAGTATTGTCACTTAATACACAAAGACCCTTCGAATAGGAGCAGTTATTACTTTCCCCAAATGAGGTTCCTATACCTTCTTCACCCCAGTGGGAATTAATTTTTACACTAAATAATAAGCAATTTTCGGATTGGACCTCGGTCCACCAAAACGATCCTATAAACCACATTTTCGGACTTGAGTCTATTTTATTTGAAGTGGTCCAAAGATCATTTTCTTCCGTTAATTTACCTAAACTACATTCTTTATTCTTAATCATTCTCTTACATTCTTGTTCATCTACTGGGAGAATTTCAGAGCCTACAGGTTCATTGATTGGTACATTAGAAAGTGTTGTAAATTTTTTAAGAGTTTTTCTTATTTTTCTACAAGCCCATCCTTGGGTTGTGTATCAAGGTCATTTAGCATATAGACATTTCTAGTTTGTGAAATTGGTACATGAGAAATATTTGGAGAGGGTATTGGACAGTCTGTCATGTCAGGAAGAGACCATAAAGTAGACTGTTTTTCAGTTTGACATATCATTGGGTACTGTGGAATTGATAGTCTTTCAATGGCCTGCAGCGGTACTGCTAGCGCTAGTACTAGAATTACCATTGGGAGTAGTTTGGGACTTAGTTTAAAAGGTTCCCAAGAGACAATCGAAGGTTTTTCCTTCTTAACATTTAATTGCTTTTCTTCGGGTTCCTCATTTATTGGCTTTGTTTCACCATGTAAGAGATTAACATTTTGTGAGGATCCGCTATTTTTAGAACTTCCCACCTGCATGTTCCTTAGGGTTGATAATATTTCTTTTAGCATACCACTATCATTTGACATATTTGATGGACCAACATCTGGTTCCCTTCGGCTTTGACCACGTTGTGTTTGAAAGTCTGCAATTCTGGTGCGACATACATTTGCAAAGTGACCAACTTTCATGCAGTAATTACAAATAGGTCTGTTGTTCCATCGTCGATCATTAGTTGGTGTTCGCATTTGTCTTGTGTCACGATAGTTCATGTCTCGTCGAAGGTTGTTTTGCCTAAATTCTCCAAAATTATTTCGATTATTTTGAAATTCATTTCTATTTTGACTTTGTCCCCACCTTTGTCCGAGCTTTTGTCTATTTGGATTGGTGGGATTTAGTGATTCGAACTTCCCTGGTACATTAAAGGAATTTGATTGTTGCATTGCATGCACTTCTTGATTTGGCATCTCAAACATTGATCCAGTGCCTCCAGGTAACATGATTTCGACTTCGCGAAGATCTAAGCATAATTGTTCAAAACCTCTATCTGTCTGTGAAAAGTTTAGTAATTTCATACAAAACGCTATGTTAGGTCTTAAACGTTCTAATAAGAGTTCACATAAGTACCGTTCCTTGTTTGGACCAGAAATATCAGCAGCTGTAGCCATTGCCAGAGGTCTAAAGCGTGATAGGAAATCTTTGACTGACTCACCTTCATGTTGACGGCACATTAAAAGCGCTTGCCTTGAGAGAGCACGTCGTTGAGGAGAGTCCAACTCTTTTCTTATGCTTTGAAGTGCCATTTCACACGTTAATTTTTGAGTTGGAGACAATTCTTCAAAGATTCTTTTGGGTGTGTCCTCCAAAAATAAAGACAAGCGAGCAAGTTTTTCTTCTTCTGAAAGTTTTACCCCAAAGACCTTAATTCTTTCTAAAAATTTCTTTCCCCATTTATCAAATGATATAATATTATCATCAGAGTATACCTCAAGCGATGGGATACCTTCGTGGTGAAGCATGTTGAGAGTGTGCAATCCTTCATTAGTTGTCATGGGTGGGTGTCTAACTTGTCCATCCACCTGTGATTCATCAGCCCAATTATTGTCATTATTTTCACTAAGATTCGAAATATTTAATTCTGGAATAATAAGAGGCATTAATGTTTGTTGTCCAACCCTAATTTTGGTTGGGGAGGCAGACCTAGCCTTTCTTTTAGATAATTCATTGATGTTTTGCTCACAACTATTTATTTTGTCACCCAAAGTGGAAAACCCTTGATTAACCTCCTCAGCTAATTTAGTTAACCCTGTTGAATTTTGGTTTACCTTGCGACTCATGAGTCGAAGAGAGCGGTTTACACCCTCCTCTAAACGTATTGTTTCACCAAATACCTGTTCCAGGTCCTGTATCTTCAGCTGAGCTGTGTTGGATTTACCTATTAGTAGTTTCTTGTCCACTACATTGATTGGCGTTTCCTCCAAACTGGAAGAAGACGAGGAATTTTGTGGTACCTTGGTACCCGCGGGCGTGATGCCCTTGTTGCTTGAGTCTTCATTACCAACCATGAAGACAAATTAGTCGTTGCTTTTTGATAGCTTTTAAATTTTCTTATCTGTAATTGATACTTTAATTTAAATAGAAATTTAATAAAAAAATTCTTAGTGTTAGCCTTGCTACAAGCTAAAGAGACAACTTGAAAGTGAATCTGTAAATCTTAAAATGACTCCTGTTTACAGCTTACATGAATGTTAAACAAATGTTGAAATGCTTCTTCATTTAAATGTTTAAATAACTGTGAATGCTTATTCATCCCTCACGGATGTTTACATAAATGTTTAGATGCTTATCCTTTCCTTTAACCATTTTCCCATTAATTTATCTTTACTTTACACTGAATTTTTCTCAAACATAATGTTTAGATAAATGTTTAAATGCTTATCCTTTTTCCCATTAATTTCTTTTTACTTTACACTGTTGTTTTCCCAACAAACTTTTCACTTTTTTTGAGATTGTGATTGTTTATCTTTACTTCCGCTCTTTTCCCTTTCCCCTGCTCTTTGCTTTAACTTTTTTTTCAAACCTTTGACCCCTTTTGGATTGGATGTAAAAAAAAATTTTGGTTCATACATTCAAAATTCTTTAAAGAAGATTTAGGAGATATTGTAAAAGAGGAATTTTATAATGAACGCGAAAATTTTGAAGAGAGTTACGAAAATAATAAAAAATTAAAACTGTTGGACAGTGAAATCATTTAGGGGAAAAATAACACGAATAAACAAAAAAAAATTTTGAGTAGAGCAATGGATTTTACCTTTATTTGAATATAGATAAAAGCAGTTTTAAATAATTGATAGAAAAGATGCGCTTTGCTTTTTGAATTATTTTTGTTAAGTCTAAACAGTTTTGCGTTTCTTTAGTTTTTAGCGTTTTGTTTTCTTTTGCAATGCGTTCTGGCGTTTTTTTTCAGTTGAATGCGCCTGAAGTACGAAAATGCCAGATCATTTTTCAAAACTCCCAAAAAAAACTTTGGATTTTGACTGAGTCATTGCAGAGGTACCAACCATACATACACGAAACGTTTCGATTATTTGTTTCTTATGTTTCGTCTTATTTTTGGTGTTTCGTGATTTTTTTTTTGAATTTTGTGAGACCTCTGATTTTATAATTTTAAAGCCGAAATAATAGCCAAATGCTAAAAATTTGCCCACGTTTATTGATAATTTAAAATTTTCGCCTGCGGCGCGAAATGGTGATAAGAAAATGTGTCCTTTTTTTGTATTTATTAGAATATTTAATATAAGTGTTCATTAGTCGTCGTTTTAAATAATAAGAATAATAAAAATATATATATAAAAATCGAGTATTTTTGTGAGAAAAATTAATATTATGTTCGTTTAATAAGGGATTATAACATTTGAAATATGGTCTAATAAAACAAAAGGAATTTTTTTTGAGCAATGATTTTAGTATATTGTAGAAAATAATAAAATATATGTTGTAATGTTTATATATCATATCCTATACATTTTTATTGGAGTTGCTGGCGTTTTCGAAAGAAAATTTTTTGAAAATTAACCGTTTTTAGAAAATTTTGAAGCCCGAAAGCACCATTGAAAATATGCGATTTTCTTTAAAAAAAATTCTTCCTAGATAAAACCGGTATGTGCAACTCCAATTTATATGTATATTTAAAAATATTTGTGTAAAACTATATATATATTTTGTGGAAAGTATTTTGGAGGACAGACGGAATAAATAAAAATGTTTTATTTGAAAAAAGGAAAAGAATAAAGGTCGTTCCTTTCTATCTTATGACTTTTCTGTAGTGATTCATTAATAGAAGAAAAAATTTTTTTTGAAAAGAGTGAACAATGTATAAAAGAGTAAAGATTTAAAGATTAATGGTTTTTTTTTAAGTGTTGAATCATAAAATAATTAAAACATTTTTTTTTGAAAGAAAAATTTTTTTTTTTGATGTTGACAGATTTAGAACACAATTTTTGAAAAAACTATAACACAAACTAAAAGAAAAGAAAAATTTTGTTGAATTTTAAAAAGATATTTTTTTCCCTGGGAAAGAGGAATAACATTATACAAAAAAAAATTTTTTTGAAAGAAAATGTAAATGTAGAAAGGCTGTCTCTTTTTAATGAATAATGTCTGTGTATATTTTGAAAAAGAGAATTTTATTACGAAAAATTACAGAATTTAATTGTGTGTTTAGTTGTGTTTTAATCTATCAAAATAAATTATGTTTGTTGCTGAATTGAAGAATTTTGATATGTGAAATTGTTGAAATTAAAAAAAAATTTTGAAGAATTTTTTGAAGAGTTTAAAAGAAAAAAAATATTTTTTTGAATAATTTTTGAAGAATTATATACTTTTTCTTTTGAGGAAAATTAGAAAAATTTTTTTTGAAGTGTTTTTGATGTTGAATTTTTAAAAGGGAAGTTGAGGAATTTTGTTGTTAAAGTAATAAAAATTTTTTTTTGTATATATATTTTTATATACATTATTATTTTTTTTTGTAGGCCCGTGGGCCTCATGCCACGATGGCAGCTTTTCTTCCTCCATTCCGCACCTCACCTGGATCTCCCTCCCCACCGCCATGGCCAGTGGCGGGGGGAGGTGGGACGGTGCTACCAGTAAAGCTTGTGCTGGGCCAGGATGGTATTGGGATGTTGGGCGGGTTGCGTGCGATGTTAAGGGTCCCGAGAGGCGATGCCGATGAGTATATTGCGGAGCGGAGGGTAGGCCTTTCTGTGCGCCGGTGCTGCTGGTCGGTTACGAGACCGACTTGCCCGGGAATAGTATGCGCTGACTGATAAGCTCTAGGCTTCTTCTGCAGGATTAATGAATAAGCTCTCAGCTTCTTCGGCCGGTTTATTCACTTCTCTATTGATTACTTTCCAACTGACTGGTAAACAGTCGACTGAACCCCTTTTCACTATTTTCCACTTAGTTTTATCCTAAGGCCTTATTTGTCATTCCCCTCCCCTTATTCAATCCTTTCCCAGAGGAACTAAAGATCCTTTTCTCCATCCTTGCCCATCCGGATCAAAGTACGCCTTACACTATCAATTGTTGAGTGTCGATTAGTACGTATCCTTCCTACATTGAAATAAAAAAGGCACGGACCAAAACACTTGACACTCAACGCTCAACACTCGACACTGATCAATTGTGGGAGTAGTGTTATTATTGTTAAAATTTATAAATTCTTTCATATTCAAAAATTTAAAAATTTGGAACTAGAACTAGCTTGGAACTAGTTCCAGAACTGGAACTGGAACTAAGGAATTTTAAAAATGGAGTTCCGGAACTGGAACTGGAACTAAAGAAATTTAAAACCTGGTTCCGGAACTGGAACTGGAACTACAAAAATTAAAAACCTAGTTCTGGAACTGGAACTAGTTCCAGAGAAATTTTGGAACTTTGACATCACTGCTGATGAGGTCTTCAGCATAAACGCAATAAGATAAATATTAAGATAATTTAATTGACCTCCTGATTCTGTAAATCTCTGTACTTTCGTTGTAGGGCAAGAAGCAATGTCTTGTTGGAGAAAAACTAATGCAAGTAATGTTAGCCATAAAAGTGCTAATGCAGCCAAAACATAACGTACCCAATAAAATGTAAAACCTCCAATGTGTGTTAAAGACCATTTATTGTGCCATTTCATGGACTCCGTTAATTGGAGTTAATAATAATGTAATGACTAAAAATGGATGGGATTTTATAGAAAATGTTTGTTAAATAAGAAAGGAATTGAAAAATTTAGAAAAACTGAAATAAAATTCGAAAGATTGGATATTTACAAAAAATGGTATCAATTAGAGGGGCTGGAATCCGTTCGAGTATATACGTGGGTAAATTATTAATTTAAAAATTTTTTTCTAATCTTTCCCCTTGAGTTAACCCCATCCCCCATAAATTAACCACTTCCTCCTATTTTTTTGTTTCCCCATCCTCATGCGTAAAAGACTATTAGGCATAAGATTAAACAAATGAAAGATATAAATTGTATAAAATAATTAATTTAAAAAAATATTAAATTAAAATAATTTTTAATAAAAATAATCTCCAATAAAAAAATAAAACTGAAGCTGTATTAGTAGAAGAATTGAAGCAATATATCAAATTTTAATATTAAATTAATAATGTTTTTATTTAAAAAATAAATTAAAGGATTAATACATAAAATATTAAAAAACAAAAAAAATATGTGGGAGGGTTGATTAAAAGATTAATTTAAAAATAAAAATATTTTTATTTTATAATTTTTGCAAAAAATGTAAAAAATATCAAAAATATTACAAAAAATATACACAAATATCTAGTAAATGAATAAATTATTAATTTATAAAAAAAAATATATTCATCAGCTACAAACAACTAAAAATATTTATCTATATGTGTTATGACTGTTTAGACGTAGCGGCATCCCGTCCCCCCATTTACTGGCCAAGTTAATGTTTATAGTGGGACAAAAAAGAGAAAAAATTGTTTATAAACTAGAGAAAAAGATAAAAAAGAAAAAACGTTATAGTGCCAGCTTTCAAGTTAAAAAAATATTTTTTGTTTCAGAGGCATTTTGGAGACACGGCATTTATTTTTAAAGAAAAAAGGGAGTTAGAGTAGTTATTCAAAGTTAAAAAAGAGGGGAGAGGATAAAGAGTAGCTGGCAGACTTGGATTTTTTTCTTTCCTTTAAAAAATCCTTTAAAAACAGTGGTTGTGGTATTTTGTTATTTTTTATTCCAAAATGTTAGTTTTCAGTCATAAATACTAATAAAACTAAATTTTAATTCCTTAGGGCACTCTAATATCTTTAAATCCTTCAAGAAAGCCTCAAAAAAAATTTTTTAGTTTGACAAATAAATTGTAAAATATTTTCTTTTGTCCTGAAAATATAACAGCTGACTGATGAGAAAAGAAATTGAATTGGTGGGCCCTAAAATGTGGATATGGAATTGATAGATAAAGAAGGGATATGAAAATAAATATTTATTTATTTTCATGTATAAGATTTTTAATTTTTTATTTTTATTAAAATTAACTACATATTTAATTGACTTTAACAATAAATATCATTCTTTAAATTTAAATATGAAATTAAGTCTTTTAAAGGAACGTTTTAAAAATTAAATATATTTTGAAAATTTATAAAGTTTGAAAATTTTATTTTTATTAAGTGTTTAGATTTTTAAGAAAATTTGGGAAAAATGCCGAATTTGTTAATGCCTAATTTTAGTAAAAATATAAAAATCTAGACTTTTCGCCAATTATACTATGAACTATATTTCTTTAATCCTATCTCTTTCTTTGGAACAAAATTTTAAAAATTAAGAAATAATTTTAAAAATAGATTTTTTAATTAAAAATTTATTAAAAGATAAATGTAAAAATAAAAAAAAATATAAAAAAATTTGATGAGCGGATTACTTAAAGTAAAAATTCTATAATAAAAAAGAGCCAATCGAATTAATAAATAATAAAAAAAACAAAAAAAAAAGTTTTCACAAATATTAAAATAGAAAGTTTGGAAAAGTTTAAGTACCACCTGCTAGTTATTGCTACCACTAATAATTACCACTAAGCAGGGTTGCGTTATAATTACGAATTACGAATTACGAAAATAAAAAATAAAGATTACGAAAAAATATTATTGCTGAAAAACCCAACTCTTACTTTGTCCATTAAATTTTTGAAGGAAAAAGAAAGATGTGTTTATATTTTCTCTAACATTTGCTTTTGTTGGTTGGTGGTTGAGTGGGATTACGATTACGAAAAAAAATTTTCAATTACGACGCAGCCCTTCCACTAAGGAGCTCACTGAGCTCTACCACTGAGCTACTACAGGAGCTCAGCCACTGAGCTACCGGGGCATCTCTTTTTCCTTTTTAGATCGTTTAACCCCCGCCTAAGCATTTTAAATGCTGCTAGGTGAATCATGTTTACAAAATTATTAATAGATAATGAACATGAAAATTATGGTTGGCATCAGAGATGGGCGAAAAATTTTCGTATTTGTTTCGTTGAGAGCGAAATTCTATTTTCGCCCAGCTCTGGTTGGCATTTATGAATCAGGCCGATGTTATTATATTTTATTTCTGTAACTTTTCTATATTTTAATTTTTAGATTATGGACAAAAAAGTCAAAAAATGACTTGACAGTTGACTACGTATAATAATTACCCTGGCTAATTATTCTTCAACCTCTTGCTTGAGGAAGTAATTATTAGAGAGGGGGCAATTATATTATCAGCAAATTAATAGATAGAAATTCTACTCAATAGTATAGAAATTTTAAGAATTTGAATTGTTACATTGAGAGATATAATAGGTAGACCCTATGAGTTGCTTTACTAAATAGTAATTATTAGTGACCGGACCGGGGTACGAGTCCCAAATCCGGGTTTTTTGCGGTCTGGGTTAATCCGGAAGAATTGATCCTATCCGGATCAAGTTACAAATCCGGATCCGAGAAAATCGATTTTGGCGGTCTTTAATAATTATAAAACTAATTAACGAGATTAGAATTTTCAAAAATTAAACCAAAATTTAAAATAATAATTTTTTATTTAAAGTTTATTTTATTCGTGTGGTGGATACAAAAAAAATATTAAATACCAATTTAAAAAATTTAAAGGGATTTACATTTAAAAGGGTTAAAACGAGACAGAAATTTATTGTTTATATTGTTTTTATATTTTAATAAAAGTTTGTGAACATAAAAAAATAAAAATAATAACATTATTTATTTTTAAATATTTTAATTTTCTATTAATTTCTTCAAAAATTCCTTTATTTAAATAGAAACAAGCCCTTGAGTATCGCCAAATCCAAATTTATTTCTTTTAATATAAAATACAATTAAAGCAATAAATTGTATAATGGCCACAATAATAAAAATAATGGCAGTAACCTTTTAAATTTTGTAATTAATTTAATTTTAGTTAAGAAATTATAAGATTAAGTGTTTTTTTGTGTTAATTACCTTCCAATTAACCTATCGAATTTAAAAATAGGTTAAGGATGTCGGTTAACCAGAAACTAGAGTTGGGCGGGATCAGGATCCCGGTCGGGATCAGGTGGGATTATCTCGGTTTTTTTCAATCCCGATCCCAAGTTGGGGTCATTATTCCAAAATCCCGATCCCATTTTTATGTCGGGATCCCGATCCTGAACAACCCTACCAGAAACTTAATCCAAAGAGAAAACCAGATAAGAAAAAATAAGAAGAGAAAACCAGATACGAAACTGAACAGACTTACTCATCCCTGATTGGGAGTTATATAAACTTAAAACGCTTGGTATAATAATTTCTTGAATAAAATTAACTTTCAATTATTTAAACTAAAATTGGCCCTTTCTATTTCTAATTTTCTAATTAAAAAAATCAACCATCCATCCAACACTTTTAACATAAATATAATTTATTGGTTTATCTGTTGTTGTAATATTACTTAAATCTGTTGTTGTTTCTAATGTAGATAATGTAGTTGATAGTGTACTTGTTGTAGGTAATGATGTTGTTTTAGTAGTTAATGTAGTGGTTGGTAAGGTTTTGGTTGTTGTAGTAGATAAATGAGTTGTTAATAATTTGGTTGTTTTTGTTGAAGCAGTAGAGGTTTTAACAGTGGTGGTACCTTTTAATTTTAAAATTAAAAATCGAAAAAATTGTTTTAGTAAAAAGACACAGATGTGATTGAACACAATAAAGTTTCATGATCAGAAAGCACTATAAAGTTGGGGAACACGTTAACTTAAAATAATTTTAGGTATATTTTATTTAGTTGGTTATTGAAAGAGGTATAGAATCCTGATTCTCCACTATTTTTAAAAAATAATTAAACCTTCAGTTGTAGTTTTAATTTTTGCAGTAGTCGTATCAGGAATAACTATATTATCATTTTCTTTTATGTTTAAGAATTTAAAGATCTAAAAATTAAAAAAAAATAATTTAAATGCAGTAATAGTATATTGAATTTATAGTAACTCCCTGTCACCCGTTCCCGTCCATTTTTGGCAAAAACCCCGACCCGAACACCGAAGACTCTACCCAGGCAAGCCCCGATTCACGTCGATCCCGACCCCGAAGTCTCAAGGGCTACCCTAATTTATAAATAACATAATTATTTAAAAATTCGAAAAATATATAAATAATAATTTTGCATTTTACCTTTTGCAATAAATGATCATTATTGTCATATTTAAAGCTTGAAGCATTATTAATTGAAATTGAATAAAAGAATACAAATAATAAAAGTTTAAACATTTTAAAATTCAAAAAAAATATAATAACTTTAATTTAAAATTTTTTAACTACCTACCTAATTTAGTTTGACTATTTAGTTTAAGTTTACATTTATGGATGGACTAGGTCAAAAATTAATAATTTTCATATGGATATTTAACGGGGGAGGGCATAAGTTTGCGATTTATAGTGTATCGTAAAATAATTTTTAATTTTAATTTCTTTCTTCAAAGGGAACTAGTTAAATGTTTGTTTATTTTCTCGTAAAATTGTATTTTCTGAATTCATATTATTAAAAACCGCAATTAGAACTAGGGCTTTAATTTATTCTATAACCTTATGATTTTTATTTTTTATTAATTAATTAAATTATTTTTTAATAAACAGATAAAATCAGAAAATATTTATTTGATAATGAAGAGAAAAATAATTTTTTATGAAATATAAATTTATAAAAAATGATTAAAAAAATATTTTTTGAACATTTTTCCATACGAGTATTCATATTTATTTTATGATAAATCGTTGTTAAACCCCTACTAACATTTTCTAATTTTTTGTTTTAAATGATTCACAGAGTTTATTTGGAAAAATATTTAATTACATAAATGCTAAATTTTTTTATTAAATTCTAATAAAAAATTATTTAAAAATATTTAGTAAAATATATCTAAAAATTTTTAAAATTTGTTCAAAAATTAAAACTGAAAGAACTGAAAGAATCTCTTTGAATCTCCCAGAATTTTCTCTCTTTTGCTTTACCTTTACTTAACTTTTCGTTTACATGGAACCTTAAAAATTCAACTCGATTGGCGGAAACAACAATATGTAGTAGCTTATTCTTTACAATTTTAAAAATCCTAAACATCTATTTCTTAATATCTGTTTGCCAGTCTTTAATAGCCTTCCTTGCCATCATCTCAGACGAGCTCAAAACCGCAAATAATGGATGATGAAACAAAACAAAAATTAAAATTTGTTTGTTAAGTGTCGGCCACATTTTTTGGATATAATTATGAAATTATTTTCAAAATTGTTTTGAAAATTATCAAATAAAAAAAACAATTTGATGATTAAAAATAATAAAAAATTTTTAAGGAAATTTTGTAATATGGCGTTGAAGTTCACATTTTTATTTTTCTAAATTTCTTTGAATTTTTGATTCCAAACAAATAACTTCATTTAGGGGTTTTAAAGGATGTTTTTCTACGTTAATTTTGTTAATTCACCTCAAATAGCGCAATATGCCAGTCTCTAAATTTATTCAGTCTTTACTCTCATTCTCTTTTGAATCTCTGGTTAGGGCAACGAAAAATCGCTTAACAGCTTGTGATGAAGAATAGCATTGAGGATTAAAAGACTTGATTTCTTTCCTTTTTTGTCCGTTTATGTACTTACACAAGACATAATTACATTAACCCCCCCCCCCCCTCTTTTTCCTTTGACTTTTTAATATTCATTTATGTTCGATTTTATATTCACATATGTATATACAAAATAAAAATTTTTAGCCAAAATTTACCATTTATAAAAAAAATTTAAAAAATTTTAATGTTAAAAAAGCCGTTTTTAATATTAAAGTTAATTTTGTTGATTTGTGTTAATCAAATATGGAGTGACCAGGTTTTGGAGAAACTTGATGAATTAACAGAGAAGAGTGTTATAAAATTGTTAAACAAAGCTAAAATTTGTATTGACCCAGAAAGTTGTGGAAATCAACTTTTAAATGGGTTGGCTTTTTACAATGACCGTTCTCGATTTAAAGGAATTCTTGCATTTTGTAATGAAAAGAGAAATCAAATAAAGGATCCAATCAAAGCAAGTTTTAAAACATTAAAAAATAACTTTTAATATATCAAAGAGTATATCCCACATATCGGCCGGTCTCCAGGAGGTGGGCATAAGATGCTTCGTCTGAAAAGGATTTTCCTTAAAATTCCCCTCGTTAACGCGGCTATATTTTTAAATTAAGGGAATTATTGAAAATAAGATGACTGATAAAAATGTGATTAAACATCTTAATCGTTATATTAAATGTGTTGATGAATTCTTCATACAAATTGAAAATCAAGAAGAGACTGCCCAATATGAAGGATTATTTTATTTGGATAAATTAGAAGGACAAGAACCTTTGGCAATCAACGAAAATTACAAAATATTTTTGCGGTCCTTTATGCTTACTAGACCTTTGTATATAGCAGAAGTAATTTACGAATCTATTCAAAAGTTGGACATACAAGCAATATTGGGAATTGTGGGCACACAAAAAAGGGAGGAATTGAAATTGGCAATGAAAATAATGAAGTTGTTACATCCAGATTCCGAATCTGGATTTAACAGACTTGTTAAAGAGCAAAATATTTTTGATCCAGTAAAGCTGGAGGAGTTGTTGAATTGGTATTTTAATCCAGAATGCTACAAGAAGCCAGTAATTAACAGTCAGGTATTTACAACAAAAACATACGTGGAATCTCTAAATGACAACGCGCGATATCGAATCTCATTTTCCTCCAAATATTACCTCAATTCATTTACGAGTGGTGGTTTTGGCCTGATTTGGTCCTACGTTAATTTCCTTCGAACGTCAAAAGTTCGACCTGATAGATGTCGTTATATTGAGATACCACTTTATCTACTTTTACAAAATAATTTAATATTTAGACGAACGAGAGTATTAACTTCACTGATTGGCATCCATTTTTTGGATATAATAACTATTCAAAGAATAATTCGAGTCTTGATTACTACATTGAACTTATTGAAAATAAAGAGAAAATACGTGATTTCTTTATTTCCCAGTTCAAAAGTTCTTTAAATAATCTGGATTTAAATCTTTTAATCAGAACAATAATACTTTCCTATAGAGTTGGAGAGGAGCAATCTTCACCCCTAAATGGGGGAAGATTCAAGTAAAATTCAGTTCCTACTAAATAATTAATTTTAAAGATAATTCCAATTTCACATTTACATTTGAACAAATTGATTTTCAAACTACACCAATCTACAATACCAACAATTCTAAGCAGATTAACCAAAATCAATTAGGATTTTTTAAAAATTTAATTGCTCAAATTGAAAAGAAGGCCAACAAAAGTAAAAATAAAATATTCAAAAAAAGTTGGGAATTATTTAATCCTTTATTTAATGAAATTATTAATTTAATGTTTGAAATAACGACAGTTATAAATCAAAATAATGAAGAAAATAAAAATAAAATATTTATTCCAATTTATTATTATGGGAGGAAACATGCCAAAGAATTTCTAATTAAATTAACAAGAATTATTATAAATTGGAATAATCAAAAATTAAATCCAGAAAATATTAAAATTGGATTTAAAGGCATATTTAATTTAATAAATAAATTTATTAAAATAATTAAATGGGGGAAAGGAGGAAATAATAGAGAAATTATGTTACAAAAAATAATTATTGAGAGTCAAGAAATAAATGATTCTGATGAAATTTTAAATTTGATAAATATAAATTTAGAAGAAGCAAAAAAAGCTGTATTATCGGAAAATTTGGAAAAAAATATTTCAAATTTTAACAATAATTTAAGCAATGTAGTTTGGTCAGATGTTAACGAAGTGAGCGATAATTAGGTTTATTTAAAATAAATTATGAGACCGATTATCTTTGCCAAAAGTGATAGGCTCGATTCTATAGAGACTGAGGATCTAGCCGATATGAGGCCCAAAAAAACACAAATTACACTTAATTTTTTGGCTGATCAGTGCATGAGGGGAGCTTCTAAACCCTTTAGTTTCATGTACATCGAAATCTGACTGACAATGAGTTATGAATAAAATAATGACTACTGTTTGTAAATCTAACATTTTAAAATAAACATATCATTAAAATTAAAACACAATTAAATTACAAATAACGGAGTGTATATTTATTTAATTAAATTTTATAGAACAATATAAAACAGAATCCATATATGCTTCAATATAACAATTCGGAAAATTATCATCGTAAAAAGCGTTCACCTAGTAGTAGCGAGAGAGATAGAAGATCAAGAGAACAAAGACACGCAATATTGAAAGCTTTATTTCCTGATGTGCCAATGAAAAAAATAAATTATTTAGAAACTTATGTGACATTTGGTTTGCTTTATCTTGTCTGGATTGTTGGACGTATTGTTGAATACCTATATGAAGTTCGCTGCACTTTACCTGATTTGAATTGGTTAAGAAATGTTTGGCATTTTAGACGAGCACACGGACAGAATGGCGGAAATAACGAGGGGAATAATGGCGGAAATAATGAACAAATGAATGAAATCCAACAACCAATACAACAACCAATACATCCACAATTACAGCCACAATTACACCCACCAATACAGCCACATGTAAATCCACAAATACAGCCTCAAAACATTATTCACCACCATAATCCACACCACCCTCACCAACAACAACCAATACCCTGGTTTCAACCACATCAACCAGCTGTTTCATATTCCGATGATAATTATCCTAATAGTCCATCTTCAAGCAATACACAATCAGTATATTCATCTGTCTATTATCTAAATCAACCACAAGATTCTGATACTGAAAGTACTGCTTCTGATGGACATTCACCACCATCTCCAAGTTATTCTGCCCAAGATCGTAAACGTCGTTCAATTTCTTTAATGGGCCAGAATTATAAAGAAGAAGAGAAAAAAGAAGATATTCGACAATACAATTCTGATAAAAATCTATTTATTAATTCCGATTTAAACCAAAATAACAGTAAAAGTCACGATACTTATTTAAAGAGTGACAAGAAAATTATTGAAGACAATCCACAACAGCAATCTACATGTGTTGTGATTAAAAATTTTAAAAATTATTAGTTGCAAGTGGCAGTTTTTGATTTTCTCTTAAATAGTCTAGAATTTTCTGATATGGAGAACAAACATAAAATAGCAAACATAAAATCCCCGCCATGTCTCCTAGATTATTAAAAATAAATTAAAAATGATGCCAAATATTAATTATTACGATAAACTAATAAAACATGAGATACCGTATTTTCCCGATTAATTCCCCTCCCTTGAATAATTCACCTCTCTCGATTAATTCCACCTGCCAGAGATAGGTTCAAACAATAATTCCCCAGGGGAATTAATCGAGAACATAAGTAATGGTGATCCAAAAAAGCTGGTCACCAAAATTTGTCCATATCGGCGGAATTTTAAGTGCAAACAAATTCTTAAGTAATTAACCATTTTAAAACAATTTTATATTAAAAAATCTTTCATGAAATAAAATTAATTTTAAGAAACAAAAGGAGCATGTTCAGCTACTTTGGATGGAAATTTTTTTAATTATTTAACTTTTGGTGAAGATTCTAAAGATAAAAAGTCTTCCTTTCCTTTAATTTTTCCAAAAAATTCCAAGACGCAAACCCGCAAAAAAAGAGACATTCTTGAAGCTATTCGCCAAGCATGGATAAATTGTGGTAAATGGATGGCAGCTATTTTTGCATTAATCAACATTATAGCATATTTTGGTATATTTATTTATCTTTGCTATATTCTCTGAAACTATCCTCTTTTATTTTTCTTTTGATTGTATTTCTTTTAATATTTAAATTTAGAATTAAGCGGTATCGGTATCAAGAAATAATCGGCATTGCGATTTGGAATAAGGATACAGATCCCGATACCGCCTCGTGATTGAAAAATCGGTGCTCATTAAAAAAATTTTTATGTATGAGCAAAAACATTGGTTCCAAAGGGAGCAGGCCAGTGTACCGCGAGCCCAATGTACCGCCGAGCTATAACTTTGCTCAAAATTGTCAAATCCGTGGCGCCCTGGTATGGTTCGATTCAGCTGGTCAAGACGCATCGAACCATACCAGGGCGTCACGGATTCGACAATTTTGAACAAAGTTATAACTCGGCGGTACATTGGGCTCGCGGTACATCGGGGTGTACCCGTTCCAAATGCCCCTTGCGAACAACTTTTCCACTACTAGACGGAATGGAACAAATTCCCGCATGTCCTTAAAACAACTTTCCTGGTTTGGGATTTGGACAAACTTCACCGCTGAGTAATCAAGAAGGATCAAAAAGGATATATGTAGGTGGATTTGGAGAAATTAATAATTCCCCCCCCCGTTCTCCGCGAGAAGAGGGCACAGGGATTGGGAGTTACTTAAGTTTTTCTGGACGTCAACTCTAAGGAGGTCTACCTCTGTAAAAATTGCGTAGATTTTTGCCTCTGTCGGCGGTAAACCACCCTTCCCAGGACGGGGTTGAATTCTACGTGAAAATGGAATTTTTGAAGGTTTATAAATTCCAATTTATTATAAATTCCAAAAAAACATAGTAAAAAAATTTCAGAAAAAAGGGATGTCATAAAAATGGTCCATTTAAATCATTTAATTAGTTTCTTTATCTTTTTCCAATTTTTCTAAAATCATTCCAATTTGTGCATTTAAATTAGGTTGACCTTTTCTCGTTCTAAGTTGCAAAACTTGATTTTTTCTAAATTCAAGGATAAATTTAAAAATTTATTTTTTTATTTTTAATTTTACTTTTTACGCCATTCTTTTTCAAATTTAGCTTTTTCCCTCTTCTTTTCTTGTTCAATCTTTTGCCGTTCAATTTCGTTTTTTCTTTCTTCTCGTAATTTTTTATAATTTTGTTGAGCACGTTTATAAGCACTTACATAATCTTTTCTAAATTTATTGAGAATTTTTATCAATTAAATTGTAAAAAACAATTATTTTTTATTAGCAGGGTGTAAAAAGTAGAAACATTTTCAAGGTAATTTTTATTAAATCAGTTCGTAATCTGACAAATGAGTTCCAAAAATCCAGTTTTTCTATTTTAATGTCAATTACTAGCTTACTATATAGAGATTGAAAACGGGTACACCCCGACACGAGCCCAATGTACCGCCGAGTTATAACCTCGTTTAAAATTATCGAATCCGGGATGCAATGTTGTTAGACTCAACTCGCCGAGATGAAGCAAACCATACCACGGCGTATTGGATTTGATAATCTTAAACGAAGTTATATCTCGGCGGTACATCGCACACGCGGTACATTAGCCCGCTCCCATTGATAACAAGTATCAAATTAGTGTTTTATATAATTTGGGTTAGTGACAAACTTCATTCCCCACAAAAGGGAATTTTACTTTTGAAGGAATTATTTGAAAAATATCATCTTTTAATTACCGTTGACAGTTTTTAAGTAACTTTGGTTTTTAAATAATTCCGGTCACTTCCCCCAATGTAAAAAATAAATACCGTTTCGGGATATCTGGTTCACCTTTGTCATCAGCTTCACCCTTTGCTTTATTAAATTTTCTTTGATGAACAAATTTTTTATTTATGTTTCTCGAAGAATCCTCTCTATTGACCTTCTCCATGTCTAATTAAATTTTATATTCAAAAATTTTTTTATAATTTTAAAAATATTATTCACTAAACTATGCATGAATTAAAAATTATTTACAGATAAATTATTTTATTTTAAAAATTCGAATTAAATGAAATTTATAATGATTTAAGTAAATGATTAAGTGAGTAAAATAAATGATTTAGGCAACTATATTTTGGATAAATTAAACGAAAAAAACATTATGAAATATAGTCGAGCCTCACTATAAAAATTTTTTGGATGGAAAATTTGTATCTTACAATTAAAGTTGTTCCCTAAGCAGTATCGCCAAAGCAGTTTGTATTTTATATATTTTATAATGAGGTCTGATTGAAATATTTCTAAGGCTTTAAGGCAATAACAACAAAAATTGCCTGAGATCAAAGTTAATTTTATTGATAGGAGTTAGATTGTTTAAAAAATCTTTACAGAATTATGTATGCCAAATATTTACAAATAAACCAAAAATATCCAGTTTTAAATTAATCTTTTCTTTTATTGCATCGTAATAAAAACTGCATTATTTTAATTAAACTTCAACCATTTGTTGGTGGTGCTCTAATATGCTCACATTTGCCACGAAATAAACAAACATATTGATCTTTAAAAATTACATATAGATAATATTTCATGTATATTTTTGGCTCATGTTTATGAACAGAGTTGTGTCGAAGATAAAAAATTTTTTTGAAATTCAACATAAAATTTTCTAGTCATGAATTGACACATCAACACATCAATTTTTAAAGTATGTATGTTTGTTATAACTGGGATTACCAAAATGGCCCGACTCGGACCGAAAGATCGAGTCGGGCATAAGATATTTGGCCCGAAAAAGACTCGTATGGCCCGACTCGATAAAAATGAAGCCCGAAAAAAATGACTTGACCGTCGGCACGTCTCGAAAACGGCAACCCTAGTAATAACCAAGAATCCTATTTTATTTAGAAAATTACCATATTTCTTTCGTTCACGGATACCATTTTCGGAATTATTCAAATTACAACTTCGATAGTGTTTAACCATAACGACTTTGTCAACGCAAAACCAAACATGTAAACTAGCACCATTAAAAGATGACACTTCTGGTATTACCATCTTAACTGCTTTTGTTAAATCAAACCGACGGAGCTTTAAAGAAATTTAAATTTTTTTAAAGAAATTATAAAAGAAAAACCTTAAAATCTGGAGCGTCTATTTGTAAACTTGACATTTCCTGAGGTTGCTAAAAAATGAGAAAATATTTATATAAAAATATTTAGGGGCCACTCCAATTTATCTAGAAAAATTAGGCTAAAAAGTTCTCATAAAATTTCCTACTTAACTCCATAAAATTAATAAAAATATAATTATTTCCTCGCAAAATTAAAAAAAATCCTTCTAAATACCTGATTGTATAAGATAGAATGAGACCCATCTGAACGAAGAGACATTGCAGACGTATTGGGAACAAACTCTTCTCTTTCCCATTGAGTTGAAGCTTTCAATCGAAAAGCGGTTCCATTTGGAAGATAACTTTAAATTTATAGAATTTTTATAAGAAAAAATAAAAAAACAAACATTTCCATATAATAATCAGGTTTTTCTGGATTAAAAAATTCATGTCTTTCACCATCTGGGCGTACTATTGTTTTATCGCCACATTTCCAGTAAACTTCTAATTGGCCAGAAAGAAAGAATTTAATAACATTTCCTATTGGCGTTATTATTTGATAGAAATTGTTTTTTTGAAGGAAATTGATCTGTAAAAATTTTAAAAAATTATTTGAAAGCTTTTGGTAATTCTAATAATTATTCCACGCCCTCCTCACATTTTCATTTCTTCCGGATTCGTGGTGGGGTATGCCTTGAGAAAATCGGGATTGCCATGAGCAGGCCCGTAGCCCCCTACCCCCTGGCTACGGGCCTGGCTATGAGAATAAACTTTTGCGTGTCTACGTGTTCCAAAACATAAACTATTTTTTCAATAGGACAAAGTACTATCCAAAACCCAGTAGACGTAGGTTTCGGAATCAGTAGGAAATATCCCAATATGTGCGGAAATATCCGAATATGTGCGTCACGCTTATGCAGGTCTTTAAGTCAATTAAATAAATCCAGTGTTTACAAATATAATAACAAATTTTATATCTCAAGAATCAATTTGACTGATTTAATTGCCATGAGTTATTAATTAATTATAAACTAAAAATTACTTCAATTTTGTGTTTGTTTTCATTAGAATTAAATATTGGCAACGTTGAAACGCTTATCCAACGAAAATCAATTGAATTCTCAGAATTCCTTTCATTTTCCCCAGTTAATTTTGTCGAATATTCATATAAAAGACAATATCTACAATATAAAAGCTGATCACATCCTGAAAGTTCAACAACAATAATTTGACTATTTCCATCACTAAATGTATGTTCTTTTCCACGTTCTGTCATTTGATACGCTGTATAAATCTAAAAAAAATTAAGATATAAAAATCAAAAAAGAAACAAACCATTTCAGAAGGCAATTCAAAACGTTTATTTAAAGAAATTTCTTCGCTAGTAGTAGAAGACATTGAGCGATTAGACGAAGCAGGAAATAAGTTAATAGGATCATCAGCAAAGTGGACACGTGGAGCAGACTAAAAAAAATAAATCGTGAAAAAAGTAAAAAAAAATTAGGCAGTTTATAGGCAATTCTTTGCCTAAATCCTTAGGCTTCTCAATCTTTAGACAACTTTCTTTTTTAAAAATTTTTGAAACAATTTTCAAGAAAAGCAAAAAAAGAAACAAAAAACAATTTCAAATCTCTAAAGATAACCTGAATATTTTGTCCACCATTCGTGAAAGATTGATTATTTCGCAAAATATTAGACTGTTGTTGGTGTTGGTTATTTGAGAATGAAAAAGAATTATTTCGACGAAAGGCTGATGAAGATGAACAGAAAGACGAAGAATTCTATAAAAATTAAAGTAAACTTTTCATTTAAAATAAAATTACATGTAAGCTCGTATCCATCCGACTTGAAAGTTGATTTGCACGAAAAACATTCATAAGTGTGTTTCTAGGCCCAGCCTGGTTAGCACGTTGCAGAGTCTGTTGAGATGCAGCCTCTGATTGTTGTTTTTCTTTTTCTGCTTTCATTAAAGTTAATTTTGTTCGAAGATTGGAATTTTCTTGCTGAAATTAAAAATCTTTAAAAATAAAATTTTCAAAAAAACCTGTGTCCTAGCCAATTGGTCTCGATAATTGTTAATTTTTACAATATTTTCTTTAAACGATTTTTCACGGACATTAACTTCTCCTTCCAATTCTTTAATTTTTATACGTAATTCGCTAAGTTTTTGAGAGGAAAGAAGATCTTTTGTTCTTAACTTTTCAAGCTTAAAAGAAAATTAAGTCATTGGAGATTTTAGTCAAAAATTTAGAAATTTTTATCCGAATCTAATTTTACCTACTCCTAAAGGGCTGAAAAATGTACGTAAGAATAAGATGTGCCTACAATAGAGAACATCTCCTAAATAGCTCACCACCCAATGTCTCTAAAAAATCCCTAAAAATAAGACGAAATGCGAATCTCAAAAACAACGGATTTGGAATTCGAATGAATTTTTATAATAAGTGCTTAGTCTTAAACTCTATAAATCAAACGTCGTAGTTATTGTTAATAATTTTTATTAATTAACCTGTAATTCCAAATGTTTTATTGTATCAGAATCCTTTTTAGCCATTGCAATATCTTTATTTCGTTGAAGTCTGCTACGAACAGCTGCAATCTTTGCCCATTCATCGCTTTTTTCTTGTTGAAATTTTGCCCTTTCTGAATTAAGTTTTTCCCACTGTACATTCAAATCGTCCTGTTGCCGTCCAAAATACTTGAGAAAATAAAAAAAAATTAAAAAAATATTTAAAAAATAATTTTATACAATTTTGGCCACTTGTCTATGCCTCGCTTGAGCCACGTCCCATTTAGCAATCATATTTCTTAATTGGGCAGCCAAATTTTGAACAATTTTGTCGCCTGCATCACCACGCAGTTTAATCACGTCTGAAACAAGTCTATCCAAATCATCTCGACCCTCTTCTGTAATTGGAGAAAAAGGACGGCCTCCAGGAGTTCGTAGATTGTTATAGCTTTAAAAAATAAAATTTTAAAAAATTGGAGAAAAAACTTTTTGAACAGTCCAGGCCTTTGCATTTTTCCAGATTGTTGCTGAGGAGTGCTGTGAAACAAGGGAGGATTTGGATCCGCTTGTTTGAAATTTGGTATATTCAGAGGCTGAATATTATAAAATAAAACGAAAAATTAATTTAAAAACCGCAAAAAGCGATGAATGTGGGGTTGCTGTAGAATCTGGAACTACTGGGGTTGCTGTAGAATTTGAAGCTTCAAGAGCAATCTCCTTTTCAATACGTTCAAAACTTCGAGACGTCTCATCTAAAGTTCCGGCCATCTATCGAATATTCCAAATAAAAACTTTAACTAAAATGATAAAATGAAAGTTAGTCGAAGGGTTAGAATTAGAGATCAAGATATCTAAAACGTGAGTGTGAACTATTTTTCAAAATTCAACTGGCGTGGACCTAATTACAAGGATAAATGACAGGGACGTGTAAGAAAATAAAGACCCAAATGGTCATTTTATAGGATAAAATGGGGTGGTGTTTGCAGTAATTTTCTAAGGAAAAGAAAGAGAGGAAAAAAGGGGAGGGCTTATGGGGGGTAAACTACACAAGTACCCCTAATCCTAGGACTGAATTACAGTAAAGAATCCTCAAGGAAGTCAAAACAAGGCAACATGCCTAGGCTTAACCCAGCCTCGACCTCTAATTAAAAACCCAATTAAAAGCGTGTCACAAGTATGTGTTGAACACAACAATTAAAAAAATATGCATTATTCACAATTAAAGACTTGTTTATTCAAATTTAATTTTGTATAAGCTACAAGAATGAAAAAATAGTAAAATAGCTTAACAGGTCATTAAAGAATAAAATCAGGCTTCGGCTTCATCTGCAGCAGACACCCAAAGAATATTATTGCATCTTAAAAATGTTAGTTAAAAATAATTTAAGAGAAGGTTAAATTCCCCTAGCCACATTTTCCCACGTAAGATCAAATTTAATCCCTCATGATTGATTAGTCTTTAAATGAGGAAAGGAGAAACTCTGACCCTTCTATATTCCAAGGGCGTATCCAGGGGGTCGGTTTCGGGGGGGGGGGGCTAACACTGGGTGGGCGCAAAAATTTTTGGCGTTTACCTTGGCGTTCCTACGGCAAATTTTTTTGTACATAACTTTTTATATTTTAAGCGCCGCAGGCGAAAATTTTTTAAAATTCGAAGGCCGTAGGCCAAAAAATTACACTTTTTCAGCGCCGCAGGCGAAAATTTTTTGGAATTTTGGTGCTCAAGAAGCCAGATTTCTTCCATTTTTTGCGCCGCAGGCGCAAATTTTTTAAATTTAGAAGGCCGTAGGCCAAAAAAATTCACTTTTTTTTGCCCCAGCCCTTCCCCAAATTTTTTCCTTTTCCCCATTTCGGGGGGGGGGGGGGGGGGGGGGCTCTAGCCCCCCCTGGATACGCCCTTGCTATATTCTATACAATTGTGTCCGCAAAAGTCCGTAGGGATAACCGACAAGTACCCTAATTCCTTAATAACGGAATGTCATGGGAAAATAGTGGATTTAGAGAGAAAGTCTACCCATTAAGCATATTTTTAAAGGAAAAACTAGAAGAAGGGAAGGGGGATTCAAAATCAACAAATTCCCCCTAAAAAATAAACAAACCTAATCAAAATTTCGCCAAGTGCCCCAGTATTAGTCCCGTCAATGTACTCTTCCGAATTGGCCAAATGTAAATTCATGTAGCCATCTACAGAGACCAAAATTCCTTAAAAAATTAGTCAGAAAAGAAACTATAAATATTTAAAACCTCGATATTCCATTCCCCATTTTAATTTGCATATAATTGGTTTACCAGCCAATGCATTCAAAAATGGCTTTGGATTTAGAGGTTGAATCATAGCCGACATTTTTAATTTTTGTCAATAGAAAGTTTGAAAATAAACAAAATCTAAAAGATTAATTAGACACGGTGGCCGAACGTTTCGTCACTGAACTTTTCGTCACCGAACCTTTCGTCAAAACCTTTCGTCATTGAACCTTCCGTCACCAAACCTTTCGTCACTGAACCTTTCGTCACTATTCACCATAAAAAAGAGAATGCACATCTGGATGGACAAATTTAACAAAATAGATTTATGGAAATTAAGTTGAATAAAAGAAAGTCATATGAATGAAGATGAAATATAATAAACAAAATTAATAACTTTTTGATAAAAAACAAATAATAATAAGGATGTTAAGTGAAATAAATTTATTTTGATTTACTATTTTTACTACTATTTTTATTTTTACTAAAAAATTATTTTCATAAATTTTTTTACTCATATTGGCTAAAATGGACGTAGGTTCATCATCAGATGAGGGGCAAATTTTTTCTTCATCTTCCGAGGAGATGGAGGATTTACTCGAATTTATTGAAGTAAAATCTAAAAGAGGTTCATCTCTCTTAACTCGTGACGGCTTTGAATACCAATTTGAACGTTATTCTGCCGTGGATAATCAAGTTGAATATTGAAAATGCCCAAAAGTATGGATTATGTTTGGTTTTTATTTAAGTATTTGTTAGAGACCTCCGTACTGTCCGGGCCGTATCCATGTCGCGTCAGCATGGCATGAAGGAGACGGGAACCGTTTTAAAATCGGATGGATAAAAAATGCTAACCATTCACATAATGCTGAGCCTTACAAAAAAGAGGCTAATGATCCAATTGGGTACCTACGTACTGTCTCCTATCATTTAGCAACACAGTAAATATAACTAAATTACCGATTATGATCAATTTGTCATTTTTGACAACTTCTTATTTGATTTTTAAAAATAAAGTCTTGGTGACGAAATGTTCAGTGACGAAAGGTTTGGTGACGGAAGGTTCAGTGACGAAAGGTTTTGACGAAAGGTTCGGTGACGAAAAATTCAGTGACGAAACGTTAGGGAACCATTAGACACAATTAAACAAATCAAGAAGCAAAAGAGAAAAAACGTAAGTGCGCAAAAAACTCAAACTGCAACGAAAGTCCCGCGACAAACCGGCTAGATTAATTAATAATTTTGTAGCTGTCATTTTGTCGCAAAAATAAGGCGCGTCATTTCTGCATACTATAAGGGAGTGAAATTCCGGTGTCTGGTGAAAACGGCAGTGGTGAATTGGGCAGTGAGTGATTTGGGCAGTAAGTGATTTGGGCAGTAAACGTTTTTTCAAAAATAATTTCACGCGCAAAAACAATTTGAGTAACGTTAGAAGAATAATTTTGAGTGACTTGGGCAGTAACTTAGAATTTTTAAATTATTTACACAAAAATTCAAAGAACCGCACCCCTTTTTCATTTTGATAACGTTGTAGGTACAACATTACCCTTTGTTGAAATCGTCTTGGTCTTAATTATGACGTTTCCCTAAGTGATAAGTAGATTTAAGGTATGAGAAATTGAAAAATTATTCCTATTTTAAGTTTTTAGGTCTCAAGATACGTCCAAAATATCTGAAAAAGGTTAAAATAGTTTTAGAAAAATATGTTCAAATTTTTGATTTACTTTAAGTTAAATAGAAATTTCCGGAATTTTTCTTAACAATTTTAAATAATTTAAAAATTCTAAGTTACTGCCCAAATCACTCAAAATTATTCTTCTACCGTTACTCAAATTGTTTTTGCGTGTAAAATTATTTTTTAAAAAATGTTTACTGCCCAAATCACTCACTGCCCAAATTACTCACTGCCCAATTCACCACTGCCCAAATCACACGGCACCAATTTTCCATAAATTGTCAACAAATTCTCGGTCTCGAGTCTCGGGGCTGATTCCCGGTCTCGACTCTCGGCTTTTTTCATTCCCGAACATCACTAGTATACAGAAAAAAAGAATTAGCAAAGATACAAGAATATACAAATCAGCCCGATTGATTTGATAGAAGTTAAGAAATTCGAAAATTTAGGGTGAACTTATAGTTATGTGGAGAAGTGTATAAGTATTTTTGATTTTATTAAAATAAATTGAAAAATTCAAGAATTATTTCATTTATTTCTTTAAATAAAATTATTAAAATACAAAAAATAATCACCAAAGAGAACATTTTAAATAAGGGTTCATTGCTGACCCTAAAGGACATTTAAATGCCTTGGCAAATTTCGGAAAATTCTGAAGCGGCACATTGACTCTCGCAGGTGTTACAGAGTGTTGTCCCACACTGAGACGTTGCCTAAGCCATATTTGACCCATCTTGGAGCATTGGCGCTGTAAACATAAAAATTATGCATAGACCCTCAATTTTAAAGTATATTTTTAAATTGAATGGAGTGTGGAAAAGAGGTCTGAAAAATTGTGTATGCTTAGTCCCGCATGCGGGAGTAAATTTCAAAAAAGTGTGCGGGAGTAACTCCTGCGGGATTAATCCCGGACTCCCGCAAAATCCCGCAAATCGAAAAATTGCAGATTGCGGGAGCGGTATCTCGCAACGCGGGATCCCGTCCCGCACCGACCTCTAGTGTGGAAGGATTTTACAAACATTCTCAGCCTCGTGTGTGTAAAATCAAAATTTGAATTCATAAAAATTATTTTTCTATTTAAATTAAGAGCAAAGAGTGTCTACTAAATATTTTCAAAAAAATATTTCATACATAAGCATAGTGAATGAAGAAAAGTTGTTCGTCATTATATTGTCTTAAACCATTAAATACATGCTTGGGATAATTAACTTTTTGTCTAAGCAGTTGAAAAGCATTAAATGCTGCAATAAGTCCACCGTTGTCAGCAATATTTTCATTAGCTGTCAATGAGCCATTTATTGATAAAAGTGTTCCATCAACTTGTACCTTGAATTAGAACCAAAATCCTTTGAGTTTGAAAAGTTAATAAATTATTCAAACTCAAAGGACTTTCGAGCTCGTACTTTTACTAAGAGACCAAGTTTGCATACAGATATAGAAAGGAGATGTATTAGCAAATCCCTAATAATCTTCTATTCTCCTCTTCTCTGCAATAGTCCTATTTCCCTAACAATTTAATCCATTAAATACCCTAATATTTCCATATTGTTTCACAAAACATTGCTTTCGCTCTTGAAATTTACGACGTATATCTGGTAGCAACCAATCATTGTTGTACTTTCCCTCTGCGTCGTAATAAGATCCCCAAGCATCGAAAGCATGAGTTAGTTCATGTCCAAGAGTTACTCCTTTTTTTAAAAAATATTAAATTATTAAAATCTAATAATTTTTAAAACCAATTCCCGCATAATTAAATGCTGCTGGAAAATCATGGTTAAATATAGGTGGCTGTAAATAAGCATTAAGTGTAACTAAAGCATTGTTTTCTCTGCTGTAGTAAGCATTAACACCCCAAGAAGGATCATAGTAATCTAACGTAGCCATTTGTCGAAGTAAACTTAAACCTGAAATAAATATTTAATTTTTATTGAAATTCCCCTATAAAGATGGATTAAATTGGAGTTGGTAATAAATAAATTCCAGGCAGGTTCGGTTTACGCCTTCGCCTTCCGCAGAATACCGTTTTTTCGGCCTTCCGCTTCTACGTTACGTTTTACGCTTTTAATTTTTCGTTTTTTCCGCCTTCCGCCAATTCGGTTTCGCTTTTAAAAATTTAAAAATGCAACATGACCCCATCCCTGGTATGTACATATATTCATTAATTTCCAATTTACCAGTTAATTGATAAACAATCTGAGGAAATAAAGCATCAGTTTTTAGTAAATAGAATGGTCTATAAATTTGTTGAAGATAATTGTCATTAAATATCTGATCAAAATAAGCACTCACAGAACGTATTCCTTTAAGCTTTATTAAAGCGTTTTGTTTTGCCTTTAAATCTAGCCATGAATTTGCTGAAAATATATTTTAGAATCTGATATAGATTAGTGAAGCAACTCCTACCCCAGAAAAATTATAACAGTCTAAACCCAATCCCCGTCTTGATATGATTTAAAGCAGTAAGGCCTTCTTCAGAATTCCGCATTTCAGAAATCAGCTCTTCGAAATTCCGATTACTTGTACTTCATATCAAAATATGATTATACGAGTACAAACTTTAGTAAGAACTGTAAAACAGTGATAGAAACCACTAACACAGAAATATTTTAGTTTTTGCTTAATAATTTTTGTAACAAGAGTATTTTAAAGTGTTCATTGCTCCCAATCAAACATTAATCAACATCTTTACTTACTTTCAAGCATTTGTTTAAATGCAGCATATATATCAGTAAATATTTGTTTAACTTGCTCCTTAACCCCTCTTCCCAAATATTTTTTGATATAAAGATGATCGAGAAAATGTGGGAAATACCATTCAATAAATTTTCTACATTTTTCTCCCATTTTCATCCAACGCCTATCCATGGGGCATTTTTTAACGCTAAAAGAATCTAAGCAAAAATTCATTTAAAAATTTCATTTTAAATTTTATTTATCACCTTTCATTTTATTTACATCAACATATGGATGGGTATAACGTGAATCTAATTGAGGCAAAAATGTCCATAATATTTGCCAATCTAATAATTTTACTTTTAAATAATAAATATTTCTCAATGAATTTAAATTAGAGATTGATATGTTTTGGGATTGGAACTTGAAGGAATTGGATAAAGATTTGTATAAAGATCCCCAACAGCAATAGAAACAAATTAAACATAGCCACAATTTAAGTCCGCTATTAATTTACAAAAATCCAAGCCGCAGTCTTTAGCAGCTAACAGTCTTCATGATTAAGAATTTTTGTTATCCGGATTTTTAAAATAAGTCGAGGCACGATTTCAAACGGGAATCAAGATAAAATCCTAATTCCAGAAACTGTCTAAATTAAATTTGCCGGGATTCAGGAACGGGGACCTAAGCGTCAACACAATCCCTTCAGTCACTGGTTTAATTCTTAGCTCTTTAAATATTAATAAAAGGACCTAAATAATCAGCAATTTGTTGATCTGTTAATTTTTCTATAGTTTTAGCTAATCTTTGCAATAATCCAACTTCAGAAACATAAATTTCTGTTCTCCAATTTATTTTATAATTTATTGGAGACAATATTGAACGTAAATAATTAGTCCAATTAAATGATGGTAAAAATTCCCCAGGCTTGTCAAGTTGTGATAATCTAATATAATTTTGATGTGACAAAGGGTCATTTTCGTAGAGAGGGTCTGTGTCTAAAAAAATAAAAGAATTAAACATTGTGCTTAAAATAAGTGTGATTTTAAATAGATAAGTGTGCTTCTATTAGAGAGTGAGCCTTTATTAGATTTTTTAGTCTTAAATTCGAGTTTCTTATTTTCTTACCTTTAATGAAAAATAACTAAAGACATGAAAAAATTATGCTTAAAATTTTTAAGGAATTTATTCCCACCAAAATGTTTTGCCAACATTTGTTCAACTAACAATAAATTTTTTACACGCCTCTCAGCCTCTGATTTAACCATTTGTTTTAAACGTTCACTCATTGGACATTTTGTTTTTGAACATGAAGGGGGTATTTCTCCCTTAAAAAATTATTTTTTAATTAAAAACTTCTGAAGAACCTTCAATATATAATTAGAGAAAGGAAAGAGTACAGGATTAACATTATATTGATGAGATCTGACAATATCGTCTTCAAGTAAAGAATTAATTATTTGGCCAAAACGGGTGGCCATTAATTTGTTTCCCTTAAATTTTATTTTTAAATTATTAAAAGAATTTTTTTACATTTCCATTAGAATTCCAATCACTTTGACTTGAAATTAATGACATTGGACGAACACCTATATTTTATTTATTGAAATTATATGTTTGTTTATACAGTCAAATCTTGATATAAGTAACTCAAAGGGCGAGCGAAGAAGTTTATTGTATCGAACAGAAGGTCATTTTAGAAAGAAATCTCGGTGACCAGTGAAAAAATTCGACAAGTTCAAGTTCATAACTAAAAGTCACTATATCGAGGTTTGACTGTAATAAGCTTTCCAACATTTCATTATACCCAGATTATATGTTATGTCATTATTTTGGATAAAAATATTAAAAAGGTAAAAAGGAAGGACGGAAGGTTGTAAGCAAAATCCTGCGCATCTCGGAAGAAAAGTAAAACTATTATGATACGAAAACTCCTTTAGTTATGGGATAATTGATAGTATTTGAATGCCCCAACCCTCACGCACAATTTTAAATTCACTTACCTACAATTTTTCTTTCTAAATTTGTTCGACCCTTCCTTGTATCGAATATAGTAACCAGCTGAAAAAATCCACCGACAGGAAATGCTTTAATTCCCCATTCCGTATTAAATTGTGGCCTTTTCATTTTTCCATCAGTATGTAATAATTCTAATTTATTTAATACAGCATTACTTCCAAATAATTCTTTGCCAGACCAAGTCATGCAAGAATGATGAAATTCAAACATTTTTTTAAATAATTGTTTTAGACCTTTTGAGAGATTTGGAGGTGGCGATTTTGTAGTTTTTAGTATTACTGTTAAAATTAAAGAAAATTTTTTCTATATTTTCAATCTTAATTATTGTTTGATTCAAACTTATTTTGGGAAGATAAATAATAAAGTGAAAAAATAATTTTAGAGTGAAAGGAAAAAATATTTAGAGATTATCATTAGGATTACATTTTCAAACGATCCTAAAACCAAGAACAAATTTTGAGAAAAAATGATGATTTTCTTAAATTTCCCCTAAGCTTCTTTGCCTCTTTTGAACGGTATAATTATTGATGCTCGGGAGAAGAGAAAATCCGGGAAACGGGAGTCGGGTCGGGAAATTAGCTAGGGAGTCCGGATCAGGATACCCGAGCATCAATAACATACATATGCCCTATTTTTTAATTTTTGTGGAGTAATGCCTGGGTATTTTGGAATAGGACATCTTGATCTGACCAAAAAATAAAGAAAAGTGGAGGTTTAAGAAGCAGACTATCCAAAAACCAAAGAGATAACGGTTAACAAAACAGACTGTCCCTATCTAATAATTACTTGGGGATAAACAAAATAAAAAGAATCAAAACTAAAAATAAATTATTTTTTAGGAGTAATATTCTCCAAGTAAAAAAAAATTTTATTTATTTATTACATTCTAGTTGATCATCTACTTCAGCCTTCCTTGTCGCTGCATTACTAATTTCATAACATTCTGAACTTAAATTTATAATTTTATAAATTTAATTTTAATTTTATTTAAACAAACACTTTAATTCTCCTTTCAAACCCGTCACAAACAAATTTATAAAAATCTTTGCAGGGGTCTAATTTTGTATTTAGAGAAGTTGTGATATCAGAAAAAATATTTTTGGAAGCAAAAATTAATTGAAGAAATTGAATAATTAAAATTAAGGAGGATGAGAACATTGTTAACGAATTAATGTATTTTACCCGAAAAGTGTTTTGATCTATCTAAATTTTGAGTAAAAAGAATATGTATGTAAAACATAAAAATGTGAATTTATAAATTAGATAAGTCTAAAACTAAAATTTTGTCAACGGCTACCGAGCAATTTTTTTCAAAATTATTCATGACGGTCTCCGTCACAGGATACAGAGAACATGAAAACCTAGATTTATACTCAACACAAGAATCCTTGTCACAAATCTAAAAAGAATTTCAGGCATTCTCAAAAGTAAGTTCCAGCTTGGAACTGAAAACTGGATATTTTAAAATTCCTCCTATTAAAAAAGTTGTCTAGACTAAGAGGAGAATTTTTGGCATTTGGCATGGGAAAATTTTCATGTGGACAACATGGCACTTGCCTTTGCAATTTAGTGTAATGGAAAAGAGAACATTTTTATTTGACTTAAACCCGAAAAAAAGAAAACGGGAGGTCTAGAAAGAAACCTAGAAAAAAAATCTAGAAAGAAACCATTCGATATTGGTGATCGAGATTAATAGAACAACAACAAAAATATCAATTTAAAAAATTTTTTAGAGAGGAAACTAGTTAATCTTTCCCAATAAAAAAAAATTTTTTTTTTAATTAAATTAAATTAATTTATTTAAAATAAAAATATTTATTTATATACCCTTACTTTTAAATTAACAGATCATTTATTTAAAAGGAAAAATTCAATTTCTTAATTTAATTTTGTGTACTTTTAAAATATTTAGAAGAAAAATATCAAAAACATTCTTCTATTGTTTTAAATGTGTTAATTGATCAATATTAAATTAAATTTTAATAAAAACAAAAGAAAAAGTTTTATAAATTAAATAATTCGATAAAGAATATTAAAAATTCATGATGAAAATATTTTAGAAGATCAAATTAAGATTTAACATATTTATTTTAGGATCTTTTGCTATTCGCAATTTGAAAGCACTATGAGTGATCTGAGTTTATCTATACAAATGGAAAAAATACCACTTTTCGAGGGCTTTCGAATCATAAATGATTTACTCGGACTGTATCAAGGCTGAATTGACTTAAAAATTAAATAAATAAAGATGTGGTTAACAACAGGGCTATGCACCAAAATTTTCGCGTTTTTCAAAATTTTAATTTACGCCATCCTTTTTGAAATACGCCAAAAAATCACTTTTGGCGGATTTTTGGCGTTTTGGTTTTAACGATTTTAAAATTTTGAAAAATTGCGTTGGCATTTGGCAGACCCACGTAAAAATTTTAGCGCACAGCCTAGTTGTTAATCGTATTTTTATTTTTAGGTCAGGGCGGCACAAATGTCGAGGCGCAAAGGTCGAGGCGCAAAAGGCAACGGCGTAAATGTCGGCGCACCGAATCGGCGACTTTAAACCTTTACCGAAAATTTTTTTTTCACAAGTAGCATTTATTAAAGATTTCGCTTTATCTGTTGAATTTAGCCACAGGCGTGAACTCGAGACAAACGGAAAAAAAAAGAAAAATAGTTGACTGTCGATTTTAGTCACTGTCGAACTTATTTAGCAACATTTTTTATGTTGTAAATTTGCGTCTTAATCAAGATATCAATTTATTTTCAGACTATTTAATTTCCTTATTAATGGTGCTCGATTCTGACATTATTAAATTTTTAATTGCTTCTGATATTCATGCAGGATATGGAGAAAACAAGCAATATATCGGAAATGATTCTTTTGAATCTTTACGCGAAGTTCTTTCAAATGCAAAAGAAGCCAAAGTTGATTTTGTTTTATTGGGTATTTTTTTAATTAAAAATTTTAATTTTCAAATTATTTTTTTAGCTGGAGATCTTTTCCATGAGAACCACCCATCACGTGAAACACAGCTTAAAGTTGTTCGTCTTTTGCGGACTTATTGCACTAAAGGGGAAAAGCCTGACTTGGATTTTGTTTCCGATCCAACAATCAACTTCCAACACAGCAACTTTCCTTCAGTGAATTATCTGGACGACAATTTGTGTATTACAGTGCCTATATTTACTATTCATGGAAATCATGATGATTTGTCGGGGAAGGTTTGTTGGATTAAAAATTTTTTTTATTTGGCTTTTATAGTGCTTATTAAGGATGGTGAATCCGTATCGGGAAAAGGGAGGATATCCGGAAATTTGCGGTTCAGATATCGGATCCGGGTATCCGTAGATCTCAAACTATTTTCCGACCTTAGAGCTTATCTGCCTAAAACCCCGAATTACTGTTTACTTAATATTCCGCTTTATTAAGGGCGTACTTTAGTGTCCGATTGGGGTCTTTGGGTAATCTGAAAAATCTTACCCATTTTCGAAAATCATGGGATTTGCCATTGCCTCATTCTCATCGGCGCGAGCGACTTTGAAATCATTGGGTCAGGCGTAAAATTAACACGTCAATTTTGCGTTTGTTTCTCGCTTTTTGATTTTAATCTTTTATTTTTTCAAAATTTGCTTTTTCTGTTTTAAATAAGTATTTTCATAAATTTCCGGGTAATTTGCGGATTTTCTGCAAAACTAATTTAATCTTATGATTTTTATTATTTTTAAGGGTTTATCAGCTCTCGATGTTCTTCACGAATCCGGCCTTTTAAATTTATTTGGAAAATATTCTGATTTAGATCATGTTTGTTAGATTTAAAAATAGAAAATTAAAATTAATTAAATTTAGCTTGAAGTTGCACCAATTCTTTTAAAACGAGGATGTACCAAAATTGCTTTGTATGGGATTGGAAGTCAGCGTGACGATCGTTTGGCGCGGGCTTTTTCGAGTAATTTAATTTTAAGATTTCTCTTTTGTTTAAAATAATTGGAATCTTTTACATAATTCATATCATACCAAATTAATTTTTAGGACCTTTAAGGACTATTTTTAGCTTTTAACTATAACTACATCGTTAAAGGTCCACTAGAGATCGAGATTTTTGAAAAGCCTGGACCTTTTTCTGAACTCTGGGTTTGATTTATTGACCTGGGCCTGTAGTACAGGAAAAACCCAGGAAGGTCAAAAATGCCTGGGTCTGGAACTCTGGATACATGAAAAACCTCTGCCTTGGTCCAGGTCCAGCTCGATCTCTAAAGTCCACAATCATTTTAATTCTTTAAATGATTTTAAGAAATTATGTTTTTAGAAGGAAAGATAAAATTCAAACGTCCGGAAGATGATGATTGGTTTTATATTCTTGTTCTTCATCAGAATCGTCCTCCTCGTAGCAAACTTCGAAGTACAAAATCACATGTTTCATTCAAATGTATTCCAGATTTTTTTGATGTTGTTATTTGGGGTCATGAACATGAGTGCCTTATTGGTTTTTTTAATTAATTAATTTTAATTTATTTTAAAAAATTTAGATCCAGATTTCAAATCTTTTGACGTTAATGGACAAAACAAATCTTTTTATATTATTCAACCAGGAAGTACAGTTGCTACTGCATTAAGTACTGAAGAAGCAAAAAGGAAGCATATTGGAATTATGTAATTTTTTTCAGAAATTTTTTAATATTTATAAGTATTTTTCATGAATTTTAAAGTAATATTTTGACAAAGGGTTGGGTTCTGGTTGAAATTAAATATTTGTAAGGGGTGCGGCCTTCTATCTCACATAACCTAATCTACTGAAAAGCTTATAACCAAGACCGTAGTCAGGAATTTTTTAGGGGTGGGGGGCATGTGGGGATAATTTTAGGCTCCGAATGTTTGGCCCTAAGGTGCCTAAAATTATGATTTTTTGCGCTTTAAATTTTGAGAATTTTGGAGGCCTTATTTGGTGGAAGGCCTTCTATGACAATGTTTATGTCTTTGAGATAGACGTTGTCCCATTTTTCGTTTTCCTATTAAATATCCTCAACTTTCTTGTCAGAGTTGTACGATGTTCTCACCCTATTATCATCGTAAAAGTTATAATTGATGTGGATTGTTGATGGTTGAACGATTTAAAAAAAATTCTTCATTTTTAAGGTCAGTACATAGAAAACAATTTAAATTAAAAAAGATTGAAATGAAGACTGTTAGGCAATTAATAATTGATGAACTTGATTTAAATGAAGCTGAACCTTCTGCAAAAATTTCAAAAACAACTATTCGACAAAAAAATATGAAGGTTTAATATAAAAAATAATTTTTAAAAATTAATAATTTTTTAAAGGATGAACAACTTATAGAAGATAAAATTGAACAAATGTTGGAATCGGCAGAGATTGCGCGCGAACCTAGTAGACCTTTTCCACCACGTGTCCGACTTAAAGTTGTTTACTCTGGAAAATGGTTGAATATTCCGGTAAATTTGTTTAAATTTATTATGTCTAGCCAGACTAAAATTTAAGATATTTGTTAAAATTTAATTGATTATTGGGTGGTGATCTGTCCTAAATTTAACATTTATTTTAGGGTACGATTTTTCCCACCCCAAGTGATAATGAAATTAGCTTAAATTATTAGAAATGGACAAATTAATTTTTTGCCGCTAACATTTGCAGAAAAAAAAATAAAATTTGAATATTCTATGCCTTTCTCATCGAATATAAAAATTTATAAAATTTTTATTTTAGCCTATCAATGGCCGAAAATTTGGGGCTAAATATATGGATCGCGTTGCTAATGCTACTGAAATGGTTACAATTTTTTAAAATATTTTTAGTGGAATAAATGAGAGAGGGGGTCCTCAACTGTTTTAATTAGGGTTTTGGTGTTTTCGAGTCGGGCTGACGTTAGAGTTATTTTTTCGTGCTTAATTTTTATCGGGCCGGCCCGACCGGGTCTTTTTGGGCCAAAATTTGATGCCCGACTCGATCTTTCTGACTGGGCCGGATCGTGCCCTCCTAATTTTAATGTATTTTTCATTTTGGATTAATAGTTTTAGAACAAGGAAAGGGTATTCCTTAAAAAGTCGAGAAATCTTTAGGACATTTTATTTTTTAATTTAAACAAAAAGTCTTTAATTTAAAAAATAGATTTTTGTGCGAGTCAAAAGAGAAGATAAAAAGGCTGTAAATGTGGATGATTCGATTATTCAATTTCTTGGACCTAGAACTGATGATGTTTCTACTGTTGATGAAATGGTTAGAAAATTTAAAAATATTATTTTCTGATTAAAAAAATTTTGTAGGTTAATAGATTTTATGGAAATTGTGAATTCAAAAAATGTTTAACAATAATCTCTGAAGGTATTATGGGAAAACAATTAGAAGAATACTCAAATACTGACACAAATACACAATTTAAATATACTCATGCTGATCGTGCACTGTCAGAAAGTATTAAAGAACAAATTGGGGAGACTGGAGACAAAGTGAAGGATATTATGAAGGATAAAGTTGATGATAATGTAAGTTTATTGAATTTATTTTTTTGATAAAAAAATTTTTTGGGATGAAGGAATGGGTAATAAGTGACGTTCGTTGCCGTTCTGAACTTATCCTTTGAATTTTACAAATTTTTGTATATCGGGGCAATTAAGAGTACGGGACACGCAGGCACGCGGCCATAACGGCGCAAAGCCATAACTTGCTAGAACTTTCCTGGCCCTTATCAATGGCGTAGTGACAGAAGACCCACAGACAGAAGACCCAAGGACAGAAGAACCACAGACAAAAGACCCACAGACAGAAGACCCACAGGGACAGAATACCCACAGACAAAAGACCCACAAGAATAATATTTTAACCAAAACTTAAAAAGAAATTTTCTGAAATTTTTGAAAAGACTAGTCTATTTTTCTAGGCACAAGATTTAAAAAAATATTTTTAAAATATTAAAAAAAATTTATTTCAAAATTAATCAATAATGTTTGATTAATGAAAAGTGGATTGAAGAGTCGGGTGATTAATTGGGATATGTAGGAATAGCGTGGGATTTAGACGATATAGGGGTAAAAACCCCTCAAATTCACCGATGTCTATTCTTATCCGTAAATTGTTTGAACAGGAAGCGGGAGAAGGATACTCCAATATCTCTTTTTAACAGAAAATCGGGTATGTCAGAAGATTTAAAGGGATGTAAACGGATTTAAACCTTTTAAGATTTTTTAATGATACTAATCCAATTTTATCAAGTGATATCCCTCCATTTTACTCAGAAATAATTACTTAATCTCTGCTAATACCGATGATCCACGACATCCTTGCATATCTCCAATACCCTTGGCCACTTCTAATCCTATATCCCTACATGTGGAGGGATATAGAAGTATAAAAGGGGTATTAGTTAATCTTTTATCATGGGGTATTAATCTTAAATCAAGGGGTATTAAGTTTTGGAAAATTTTGGAAGGCCAATTAGCTATTTTTATATCATTTTTATATCTGAACCCGATTAGATTATGTTTTTTGACACGACCTGGACCGGATTAAAAATCCTGAAAATCCGAAAAATCAAGATCCACTTTTGTTAAAAAAGCTCCCCTGACATTGGGACGAGATTCCCATGTTGGAACAACTTGTCCCGTTTTTGCAACAAACATGCCCATTGTTAAAATAACATCCGCGTTATTGGAACAACATTTTACATTGCTGGAACACCCTTCCCGATTATTGGAACGTCTTTCGCTAATATAGAAACAACTTTTCCCGTTGTTGGATCACCCTCTTATCAGGGAAAACTAATAAAATTAACAACATCCCTCGCGCCAAAATTCATGCACAATAAAACTGAAAAATAGTTGTGGGTCTTTTGTCTGTGGGTATTCTGTCCCTGTGGGTCTTCTGTCTGTGGGTCTTTTGCCTGTGGGTCTTCTGTCCTTGGGTCTTCTGTCTGTGGGTCTTCTGCGTCGACACGTTATCAATTTTGGTACCAATTTCTTTAGCTCGATGAGAGGAATCGTTTAATACTAAATTTGTTAAGATTCGGAAATCTTGAAGCAAGTTATGCGCCGTTATGTCCACGCGCCTACTTGGGTTTCACCCTATGAGTGCCAATAGCCTCCGGATGGTCACAGACTCGGTTGCCTTAGGTCCTGAAAATATTAAAAAATTCGAAATTAACTATAGAACCTAGCAACGAATTTAAGTGGAAAAATGAGGACGACAATATCGCCGAAAATATTAAATTACTTTTTTTCCCAGTATAATTTTAATTTAATATTTAAAGGATAATGATGTGCCTATTTTACAAAAAATTAGTGAATGCATACAAATTGTTAAAAGAGAACGTCTCGGTAGAACTGGACACCGTACTACAACTGACGCAAGTTCTCTCAACGATACAATGGATTCTTCATTTCATGAACGCGGAGGATTTGACCCAGAACGTATTGTTACTTCAACACCTAGAGCAAGTCAAGAGCGCGAAGTTCAATGGCTTCAAGCTGTTTCGAGTAATTCTCAAGTTACTGAAGAGGTGGAAATGAGTGAGGATATTTCAACAATTTGTGAGCATGATTTTAGTCCTTAAGAAGGCAAACAAATCTTTTTGAGCGAAAATTTTTTAAACAAAAAATTTTTTTATATTTATTATAAAGGCAGACCTCACTTGTAGGTACACCCTTTGGGAGTAAAAAATAATTACCTACCTTAAAATCCTTAAAAATGGGTGTATCGCCTATCCAGCCTCTCCCATCCAGGGATAAACTGAATTTTAAATCCCTACACGTGAGGCCTGACTGATTTTGATCTTACAAGACATTCCCAGAGAGATGAATTTTCTATTTATTTATTTCAATAAAAATGAATGTTTTATTGACTATGTTTTGTTATAAAATTAGTTGAGATAAAAATATACGGAATAAAAAAATGTAAAAAAATCAAAAATTCTGAATTAATTTTTGAAAATTTTAGGGAAAAATTTTTAGAAAAAAATTTAAAAAATGTTGAAGAGAATATAGTTCAAAAAATTAAAGCCTCTTTTTGGAACTATTATAATTAACGGGTATTTTAAAAATATTCTGTGAAGGGATATCAGAGGATATACATATGTATCTTGGCCCACAAAAATTCAAGGAGTTTCGCCTGCAACGCTTAAGAGGATTAGAGAAACTTTTAGAAAAACTAATAAATTTATAAAATACATAAATATAAAATACAAAACAAATATGTACATACTAGATTATAAAAATTCTTTCACAAATTCCATTTATTCTTTACTTGTTCACCAGTTAAATAAAAAACATTTAAATTAAATAAATTCCCCCCTTCTTTTGCTGAAATTTCTGGATATTTTTTTCTAAACCCAAAATGTTCAATATAATATACAAAATTTTTTAAAGCATTTTCCCAATCATTTCCTTCAAATTTTTGTTTATACCATTGTTTTGTTGAAATCCCTACTAACCAAATTGTACAATAATTATTTTCTTTTTCTTCTTTTAAAAAACATTTTTCATTTTCTTTTTTTAATTTTTTTGGATTTAAATGACAAAAAGAAATAAACGGCAATATTTCTATAGAAAATAATAATTGTAATCTAATTCTGGTTCCAACAAAATCACAAAAATCAGAACCATATTCACTTTTACTTGAATAACTACACACAATACACAAATAATGCTTGTACTTAAAATTTATTAATTAATATGTTTTCTATTTCAAATTTTTAATTTAGTGAACGGAATGATATTAGGAATATCCGAAAATCGTGCATTTTTGATGATTTTAGGGGGATAATTGCGTAAATGCCTGTGTACCTCGAAAATTGAAAACCATAAGGGGTAGTACGCCCACTTTTGCGTCAAAAATTCTTTTTTTTAATGATAGTGCATTCGGAACCTATAGCTAATGTTATTAATTGGAGATTCTTTTTTTAGGACATGTCCTGTGTATGAGAATGAGAGGATGCGCGATCATAGGACTTTCTTATTTCATAGAGACTTTGGAACCCTAACATTTTTTTAATCCTTTAAACCTTCCTATTTATCCAAATTTTGGTTAGTTTAGAAGGCTTCTAAATTCGTCATAAATAAACTATCGTCCATAATCAGAAAAATGTTATGGGGCATAAAGCGAACGTAATAAACACCCTCACGTGATAGGCGTCTTAAATCGGGTTAGCGTATCCTGGGAATTAACTAGATACCCAGAACCAATATTCGAACTAAAGTTTTTCGGATCTGAATCCGCCAACCATCCTAAATCAAAGCTATAACCTTCTTTTGACAAAAAATTAAAGAAACCTTTTCTTCAAACTTTTCTTCTTTCTTCAAAAAATTTCCCCAAAGATTTTTAACAGTCCATAAAGGTTTATTTTGATTAATGTTATCTTGTAACATCACCAATTTTTGTAATCCTTTATGTACTTCCCTCTCTATTATTTGTGAAGTAGAATCATTAATATTAAACAAAACATTTTGTGTAGGAAAACCAGGGGTTATAATTGGCCAAATAATTTGTGAATGTTTAATTAAATAATTACGTAAATTTGTTGGAATTAATTTTAAACGATTTTCTGCTTCTTTATTTAAATTCCAATCTAACAAATTTCGAATATTTAAATAATTTTGAGGAATTTCTAACATTAATGGTGAATTCCAAAATCTTTTTTAAAGAAATTATAATTTTTTTAAATTTATTTAATAATTACCTAAAAGTAAATAATTCTAAAGTATTTTTTAATAAAATAAAAATTGGAGGAGGAACATTATTGCCATATAAATTTAAAATATAACAAAGAATTATTGACAAAGCTGGACCTCCAAAGAAACCATATTGTGTTCCATAAATGTGATTATCTAAAAAATATTTGGAGATTTTAGATTTTTATGTAGAGTTTGTAGGAAGAGGGTAGGGCTTCAGGGGAATGAATGATGGATGCCTCTAAAATTTTGACGAAAATATGTCTCGATTTAACTATGAAACACGGTTTAGTTTTTTTTAAATTTTCTTAAATAATGTAAAGAAGGAAGGAGATCCATCTGGTTATAAGTTAAGGCGCATGTAAGCCAAATTGGCCTAGAAAGGGTATGGGAATAAATAACTGCCAGGAGGACGCAGGATCGTTGCTTGCCTAGTGATTTTAAAAATAAATACTTAATAAAGCTTGTTTGTCAAACAAAAATTTTATTATTACCTAAGTTTTACAACTTACTTTTCGCCCAAACTTTAAGTGTTAATAATGCTAAATGGAATGAATGTTTGTTGTATTCTGTCATTAAATTTATTTGTAAATTTGAACGATAACCTTTAAATAAATAAATATTTATTTTAAAAATTTCAACAAAAAATAACCAGAAAGTGCCAAAACCATTCCAAAATGTTTATTATTTCCATTATTTATTTCTTCAGGTCCCCCCAATTCAAAAACAAATTTTGCAATAATATCATCAATTTCATTTATTTTTGGTTGTTTATTGTTTTGATAAATTGAATTAAATTGGTTAAATAAATTTTTTGAAAATAAAATAAAAATGAAATCAAAATCATAACCAAGAAAATTAATTTTAATTAAAGGTACTCGACCAGGAATTTTTTTGATAAATTGAATTCTGACATCCTTTGAAAAAAATAAAATTAGGAGAGGAAAAAAATTTAAAAAAAAACTAGGAACAATATTTTTTAGTAGGGTAAGGAATATTTATTTTAAAATAATGTCGACAAACGTAGTCGTTGTCAGACGTCGATGTCGTCGTTAGTTAATCTCTTCAAATCCCCGATATTCCTCCAAACTAATATCCCTTAGAACCACCCTTTCAAAATCCGCTATCTTCCCAGTTGCCCATTATATACCCAGATTGCAGACACTGGATTACGAATTTTATGACCTAATATTTTGGACAACCTTGATCCATCTACGCTAATGAGCTGTGAGTCTTCATCTCATAGCTCATGAGCCCTTCATCGAGCCCTTCATGAGCTAATGAGCTCTTCATCGACGACACCAAAAACCCTAACTACCAAATTAATTCTCAACGAATTAAATCTCTCTAATAGTAAACAATTAAAAACAATTTTAACATACTTTACAAAGTAAACAATAAAGAGAATTATCCATCTCTTCCTCACATTTTCCTAATTTAATGTTACATTTATTAGAAATTTTTCCAAAAAATTTTTCTTCAAAAATAATTTCCCAATTATTAATTTCTATTTGTTTATTAGGTAAAACAACAAGGCAATCAATGTCTGAATCAAAAATCTGGGCATTTAATAAAAGTGAGCCAGAAATAATTAAACGAGAATCTTGATCCTTTTTTTAGAAAATTAAATAATAATTATTTCTTAAAATTCAAATATTTACCCATTTATTTAAAATCTGTTTTAAATAATTTATTGCATTGTCTACAAAATTTCTTCTCATTAAATCATTCATTCCGTATACTATTTTGTTATTGTGTTTCTCAAACATATATTGTTCGTGCCCGCTCAACTCATCTAATCCTTAACTCATCCACGCGCCCAAAAACGCTCAACTCATCTAAACGGCTAAAATTCCTTAACTCATCCACACGGCCAAAAACGCTCAACTCATCCAATCCTCAACTCATCTAATGCTTAACTCATCCACACGCCCAAAAACGCTCAACTCACCCAATCCTCAACTCATCTAATGCTTAACTCATCTACACGGCCAAAAACGCTCAACTCATTCAATCCTTTGGAACGAGACTATTGAGTACCAGTCGTTTGAGTTTCCGGCCGTTTGAGTCTCTGGCCGTTTGAGTCTCCGGCCGTTTGAGTCTCTGGCCGTTTGAGTCTCCGGCCGTTTGAGTCTCTGGCCGTTTGAGTCTCTGGCCGTTTGAGTCTCTGGTAAGTAGAGTCCATGACCAGTTGAGTCCATGGCCAGTTGAGTCCATGGCCAGTTGAGTCCATGGCCAGTTGAGTCCATGGCTAGTTGAGTCCATGACCAGTTGAGTCCATGACCAGTTGAGTCTCTAGCCGGTTAAGTCCCTGGTCAGTTGAGTCCCGGCCGTTTGAGTGGTTGATTACCGCCGGTTGAGTCTTGGGCCGGTTGAGACTCAACTGACCAGGGACTCAACCGGCTAGGGACTCAACCGGCCGATATTTCAAGTATTGGATGAGTTGAGCGTTTTTGGGCGTGTGGATGAGTTAAGCATTAGATGAGTTGAGGATTGGATGAGTTGAGCGTTTTTGGGCGTGTGGATGAGTTAAGCATTAGATGAGTTGAGGATTGGATGAGTTGAGCGTTTTTGGCCGTGTGGATGAGTTAAGTGTTAGATGAGTTAAGGATTGGATGAGTTGTAGGGTAGCCATATTGTTCATTATTAATCACTTCACTTAACTAAAGATTAAATAATTAGAAAAAACATTATTTATCTTTCAAATATATCTTTAAAAATCCCTCAATACTTCCACAACCTTTCACAGCTAATTATTTTTAAATTACCGCTTTAGTAACATAATCAAAAGATTCTTGAGAATAGCTACTACTATTTTCCATCGTTAAATATTGTGTGTTAATATTTCGGTTAAAATCATAGCCAAATATTGCCAAATTGACTGATT